TTTATTTTTTTTTTATAAAAAGTTATTGTGCGAGATTTTACCTGTTTTCGGGTGATCTGCATGGTTCCGACATATTCCCGAACCAGTAGTAGGTGGTATAATGGGAAAGTGTGCGAGATTTTACCTGTTTTCGGGTGATCTGCATGGTTCCGACATATTCCCGAACCAGTAGTAGGTGGTATAATGGGAAGGTGTCAGACTTTAGTGTTGGAGATGGGCGTGTATTGGAAGATTTTGTTTTTTGTTATGCTTATGTTTTACCGTTGTCAGTCATTACATCACATGTTTGCCCAACCGGGTTTATATGGTTTAAAAGAGACAGCATTTTATCATAAATTTTAAATTTTGTATTTTTCAATAATGTATTTGATATAATTTAGCCTGTCTCGAAATAATCACCATATTTTTGGCGCAATATATCCCGGTTGGCGCTGACGTGCCATAAAAAAACATTTCATTTCATTTGTTATGCTTATGCTTATGTTTGTTTTAATTTTTTTGAGTTAACGTACGTCATCCAGAGAACCAACATATTTCTATTTTACCTAGAAAATCTAGTAATTTAAGTAGAAATTACACTGAATCCCCTTCTTTTTGCTAGAAAAATAGCTTATATCAGACAAGAACATTGTTTTTTAATATCTGATTCCTCTAATGGTTGACTGCAGGAAGCCTGGTATATTTATAAAGTTGTGTTTGGTATTTTATAAAAGGAATGATTTTTGTAGAAACATTATACAATTAATTCCCCCAAATCTTATCCTATCTTAAATATCTCAACCCCACCTTGGTAAAGTCCAACTTTTATTGCGACGATGGAACTGCGTCTAAAAATCTATCAAATATAATGAAATATGTCTCCAAATATTTCGATGGTTAGGCAGAATATTCATATATATATATATATATATATATATATATAGGAAGTCTTACCTAGTTTTCCCGAATTATATATTATTATATATTATTATATATTATTATATACTATTATTAAATACCAGTCTGATTAAAATAAACATCTATATTTCGTTTTTTTATACTTTCGATGACCTTTACTACATAAAGATTTTACCAGATGTAGTGCCTGGGGTCATAATTGCGGCTTTTGACCAAATCGTTGACGTTTCTAGTGGTTTACCCACAGTTCCGTGCACAGCACAACACGCTAATTCCTCATATCAACCAGAAAACCTTTTATATAACAACTCTTCCGGATCCTAGTGTACGTAGTAAAGACAATTAAAGCGAAATCTTGAAGTATAAAAAACGAAACGAAATAGGATCTGTGTTTTAATCAGATTGTACTAAATACACGCCTCTGTTGCAAGATTTGACTATTGCAGATCTTTCTCCTTACAGTGTCATACCTCCACATTTCAGTGGGGGTATATTATGTCGTCACCCCAGTCCGATGCTAGAGCTTTTGGTACCGTGACTTTCTGTTCCGGGGTTATTCATCTTATCCAAAACCGGATATCTTTCAAATATATAGTGTGAAATATCGTAGTCACAAGTGGACGAACGTTAGCGATTTTCATTGATTCGCGAATTATGGCCCTTGTTTGTTTTTTGAATGATCCTTTTCACATTGGTGTGAATAATTTTCGTCATGATATCGATCATCATTGTAAAGGGGTCGGGGGTCGTGGTGTAGTGGTTTAACGTGTGTGCGTGAATTCACAAGGTCTGCCATTCAGTCAAGTGGCGTAGTTTCGATTCCCCGCTTGAATGTGACAAGGAGTAGGGTCGCCTTTCCAACCTCGTGGGTTTTCTCTGAGTTCTCCGGTTTCCTCCCACTGCTAAAGACCCCCCCCCCCCTCCACGCGCAAGCAGCCACATGTTAGTGCTGAAATGACCTAGTTTGTGTGGAGTAGACGACAAATCCAACTTCTCTCTCCATCTCTCATTACACCGCGAGTTCTGTTCCTGAGTTATCCCACTTTTCCGAAAACATTGTGAAGCCTATTGTGATCAGAATAAGTACTTTGACTAAAGGTTTCAAAGTATTCATTTTTTCTTGTCTATTTTAAACCATTATAGCGTGAAAACGACCAGCTCTTTACCTAAATTTTACTTAACACATCTTTAATACATTATAAATCCTTCGAGTACAGCACCGCACACACGTTATACAGCTACGCCAATCGACCACGACAACTCGCCACCGCGCACACTTTACAGACATGGTCAATAAAGTATTAATACGTATTTTTAATGCACTATTAAAAAACAATAGAAGATTGAAATTCGCTGGAATTTTGATCAAAAATTGTCAAGTTTGTACATAATGACGTAATAACATGACTTATTGTTTACGGTGTTTTCATGATGACGTAATAATATGTCATATTGTTTATCTTGTTTTCACACTAACTAAGGCTTATTCAGCTATGGAACGAAGAACGAGCCACTTGTTTAAATAAAGATGTCAGGAAGTAATCAAATAGATTAGTTTATGTTCTAAACGATTCAAATGTTCTAAACATGACACCCATATATAAAATGAAGGTGAATATAAACAGCCTAGACACAATCATCTTCCTTTCATTATCAAATTATCAAACTAATCATTTCACACCTATCAGCCGTCAAACCCTCAATATCTGTAATCTATCATTGATATCTTCCATTATCTATATATCAAAACACACTTTCTGACAACTTTTGTTTCTCAAGCCTGGGATGACCATTATTCAATATAATATTAGTCAACTATGGTTCACAATGGTTGTAGTGGTATAATAATGTTATATTCGCCTACTTAGAACTCCATGTCCTTCATAAAATCTAAATTTGGCAGACTGTCGTAAAGAAGGATATCATCATCGTCATCATTATCATCATCGACGTCATCATCCTCATCGACGTCATCATATAGAGTTGTAGAAAGTCTAAACTGTTGAATTTCCTTATTACCGAAAATCAACAACACTAACCAACTTAGAATAAAATATTTTGCACTAACATTAGTTCAACAACTCACAATAAACTGTTAATGATACCTTATCCTATAGATACAGAGCTGACCGATCTTGCTGTGATAGATAAAGAATAGACAAAGCAAAATGAATATATTGAAAATGTTATTTTATTCAAATGACTTTATTCTGAGCGAAGTTATCAATAACGTTTTGACAAGATGTGGCGTTGATTGTTTATTATCGTAACAACGGTACTAGTATTTCGAGACCTGGCATCGATTCGCCATTTTTTCAATTAAATCATTAAAATGTTGGAATCTACTTGAAATCGGAGCCTAGAGGGTTGATTATGGTCTTGTCATTTTAATAAATCTCTAAATAAAGTAAGACCTGTAATAGGTAGATTTATCTCTTACATCATCTGTATATTTGGAAGATGGTTTTGTAGATTTATCTCAAATTTTACAACTATCTAATTAGAACATTCACGCTTTAATGGTTAAGACATTTGTTTTACCAAGCTTTCAAGCTTCCCAACAAGTTATTCTTACGTTCTTGATGCGATGCAGGGATGCCGATAAAGTTACATCCCTGGTTTGTCAGCATTAACTAAGCATTGTTGTGTACATGTATATATTGTCCTGTCATATTTTCATTTTTTATCATAGCTTGATAATGACTAGAGAAGCCAAGTCGAAACGTCGCTCAGTAAAAAGCAGTAATTGTATTCCATAGAATTGTGACCTGTATAAGTTATTCTTTAAGATAGGGGAGCGCGAGTAAACATTATGTACATGCCAGTAAAGACTTAGTCCTGTTTGTGCCGTATATTTTCACTTCACAGTGTCATAGCACACCACATGCATGGAACAACTTCAAAGTGACTGTCATGGGCACACGACATGACTTGTATCGACGTCACAGTGACTGTCATAGCACACCACATGGCATGTATCAACTTCACAGTGTCATAGCACACCACTTGACTTGTACCAGCTTCACAGTGACTGTCACAGCACACCACATGGCATGTATCAACGTCACAGTGTCATAGCCCGCCACTTGGCTTGTATCCATGTTGATTATCTGGTTGCCCAGTCGTAGAACGTTACACTCCGTTTATAGACCACCATGTCTATACAGTAGACCACTAGTTATCCCCGCCCACCTCGCTTGACCTATGTCATCATTTAATCTATCTAAAAGTCCACAGATAACACTAAGATGTAGAGTAATTATATTTAACACTACTAACCAACATAGATACCGGTCCCATACTTGTATTCTCCTCATATTTAACACGACTAACCAATATACATACCGGACGCATACTCCCGTCATCTCGTCATATTTACATGCAACCAGTGATATGAAATGAAATGGGGTTTAAAGTCTTACTGTTCTGCCCAGGCTGAGATAACGGACAAAAGCCATACAGTGTGCTATGAGGGAAATTTTGTCCGGACAGCGGAAACTAAGGCCTACTCGTTCTTAGAATTCCAACTGTCAAAAGTTCTTTAACGTGCACACTAATTTATACAAGAGACATCGGTTTTTGCCCTATCCGAACGACTATACGTTGTTTCTAGCAAAGCCCTCCGCCCTGCACAAAAGACAAGCGGGAACCATGCTGGTCAATCCCGATGAAATTTCTCGGCAAATATCGGGATGAAACAAGGGGCCTCCAGGTTAGTGAGCCAATTAATGAAGCAGCCAGCAAGATTACCGAACTGATCCGCAGTAAATAATCAATAGGTCGATCATATCACTGGTAAGGATCACATCGGATAGAGATAATCACCTCTTCTTCTCTTGCAAACTAATTTTTGTTTTAAAAAAAAGAAAGAAATATTTGTTTTCTATGACATGGGAATGGATACAGTCCGGCATGGCGTAAAAACAATGTTTACCCGTGTAATTCTACCAGTTTGTAGTACTACCATATTACCCTGTTGGTAAACATTAGGTTGTGACGTCACAAGCATAACTATACGGGGAAATCCCCAGGGCCTATTGGTTTCCGTGGATGTTTATTTTGATGTCAGTAAATGTTAATATTTTCAGATATTATAAGTGAAGATGCCAGGAGAACATAGAGTAGAAGCACCAACCCACGAACCGATCTGTAAGACGGTCGAGATGCACACAGGAGGCGAACCCGTGCGGATCATCGTGTCAGGATTCCCAGAGATTAAAGGGGAGACCATTCTAGAACAACGTCGTTACGTAAAAGAACATCTAGATCATTATAGAAAGTGCGTGCTCCACGAACCACGCGGTCATTTTGATATGTTTTGTGCTCTGTTAGTGAAACCGACCGTAGAGCAAGCTGATCTAGCGGTTATATTCATGCACAATGATGGTTATATAACAATGTGTGGACATGTGGTCATATCATTAGCAAGATATGCTGTTGATCACGGACTAGTTAAAAACATTACATCTCCTGAAACCAAAGTCAATATCCAATGTCCGTGTGGTTTAGTTACAGCTTACGTTGCGTTTGATGGAAAGAAGGCGGGAGCAGTCAGGTTTATCAGTGTACCGGCATTTGTTTATAGAACGGGTAGGTAGACATTCTTCAGCAGAACGGTTTGTCCTCGCATGCCGAGGTCCTCGATGCAATGTTTTACACACGACGTAAATAACGTTCTCTTTCAAATCGTAGTTTATTCCGGGTGCTGACTTAAATTGTCGAACACCAAATTAACATAATGTTCTATGAAAGGTACACGGACACAAGTCAAAGACATCGGTCAAATTTATTGAGAATGTGTTGATCAACATTTATCATGTTTCCTTTAACCAAGACAGCACTGGTAGTTATTGGGGGGGGGGGGTACATTTCGTTTAACCAAGACAGCACTGATAGTGATGGGGGGGGGGTGTATTAGATATGTTAAAAGTTGCACGTACTGAATGTTTATAATCACTATATTAGGGATTTGCGTAAGTGTCTGTTATTGGTTGTCGTTAATCGAAATATTTCCAATCTTATGAACAACAGATACACAGTCAAAACCTTTCTAAACTCGTTTTTATCATAAGAAATCAATCAGACTTTATTATTGCTCGAGCTCTGATGTAATAAATAATCAACAATTTATTTATAGTATCTTTTATTGTTAGATATTGAAGTAGATGTGCCCAGGTTCGGGAAACTGAAAGTAGACATTAGTTATGGTGGAGCATTCTATGCTTTCATTTCGGCTGATAAAGTTGGTTTAGATTTGAAATCGTCAAAGATTAGAGATATTGCCGATGCTGCAGATGAAGTATCAGGTGAGTTTGATGATGAACTTATTGTCAGTATGTAGGGTTCAGCCAATGGATAGATCACCGAAACTAATTTCCTTTGTTTCTTATAGTTCAAAATTGATACGGTCAACTTCAAGTGTGGCCAAAGATCACGAGATGTAAGCAGGGCTATTGCTAATCCTAACCCTAACGCTTACCCTGACCCAAACCTACAATCTCGTCAACACTCTCGTGGCCTGACTTTATTTACACCTCAACAACCTTGACGAAATCTTGACTTGGCCGTAGGAAATAGATCTATCCGTTTCCTCTGTACTAGGATCTGGTAGAGTTGTAAAACAACCCGCGTTTTGCTTGATATGAGGGATTAGCCAATCATATGACCTGTTGAGTCGAGTTTTGACCGGTTGGCACGCGGAACTGTGGGCAGTCATTCACAGCGATAGAAAACAAAACAAACCAAAAGATATATTTCCGAATAGCCACCTTCAAATCCGACTCGATTGGTTAATTGAATGGCTAAATAAAGCGTGACCCTTGACGCTACCCCCCCCCCCCCGATACAACTAGTTAGATCTTCATGTAATGAAGGCCACCGAAAGCATAAAAACCCCTAAATGAATTATAGATCTGTATTTTAATCAGACTGAGGTTCAAGTATATTCAGATCTATACCTAAAATACACACAGGCCCGTAGCCAGCTTGCTAGCTTCGGAGGGGCAGTGAAGTTTTTAGGGGGGGTACAGTGTACAGTAGGTATTTTAGAGCTATGATCGGCAATTTTTTTTTCGGGGGGGGGGCAAAACATTTTTTCTGGGGGGGGGGGGTATTGCCCCCCCCCCCCCGGCCCCTCTCTGGCTACAGACCTGAATACACAATTATCTGATCAACACGCAGAGAGAAAGAGAGAGAGAGAGAGAGAGAGAGAGGGAGGTTTAACGTCAACTCGACACAAACTAGGTCATTTCGAGACTAACACATGGTTCAATTTTATTTCAATAATTCGCTTGCGCTTACGGGTCTTTAGTAGTGAGAGGAAACCGGATGACCCGGAGAATACCCACGAGGTTGGACAGGCAACCCTACTCCTTGTCAAGTACAACCGGGGAATCGAAACCACGCCAGTTGACTCAATAGCAGACCGTATGATACAACGCACACGTGCTAACCATTCGGCCATCGACCCCCCCCCCCCCCCAATGATCAAGAAGAACAACAACAGCATAAGATGAATAAAGCTTGAAGACCAGATCCAAAAAATCATCTATTATTAAACAAGCATTATGCAAGAGCTAAATCTGCCGATTGCTGGTTTTTCTTTTGGCCTGAAATGTTATTTAAATTATTAATTAGACATTAATTGACTCACCCAGACCACAATCAACTCTCGATGCCATCGTTAGCCTGTGATATTTTGTGGATTTGAATACATTTTGTGATGGATAATTTAACGTTGCTGTGGAAAATTGAGACTTTTTGTAGTATAATACCAACGTTAGTAATGATGTTCGAGGTTAGCATAAAATTGAATCGCTAATATCTCGATTTAAAGTAAAGCAATTTGACTGAAATTGTTAGCATATTCTGTTTTCATTATCTATTTTTTTTAACCTTTTATAGCTAGGACTGTCAGCTCTTTATCTAATCTGCCCATTTAACTGTTATTTTATTTTTTTTTATTGAAAGCGGCTATAAAACGTCAGGTGAAGATTGAGATGGCTGGTAATAAAGATTTATCATATTTAAGTGGAACTATTTTAACTGATGGCAATGATTCAATCAATGGACGTACATCATCTCATGTCTGTGTTTTTGGAGATCGTCAGGTAAGTTTTCAACTAATTTCTTGAAGACCTCCAAATCACTACCGTTGAAATTTCTTGAAGACCTCCAAATCACTACCGTTCTAATTTCTTGAAGACCTCCAAATCACTACCGTTGTAATTTCTTGAAGACGTCCAAATCACTACCGTTGTAATTTCTGACACTAAATTTAGCGATATGCATAAAATTGACAGGCATTGTACATCCGAGATCGTTACGGCTGTGGCAAGTGTGTTGACAATCTTGTGGCTCAGTGGGTATGGCACTGGTTCGCTTATCAAGAGATTCCGCGGATCCTGGTGCTGTCCGAGACAGTTCCACGAATCCTGGAGCTGTTCGAGACAGTTCCTCGGATCCTGGCACTGACCGAGACAGTTACTCGGATCCTGGCACTGACCGATACAGTTCCTCTGATCCTGGTGCTGGCCGAGACAGTTCCTCGGATCCTGGTGGTGGCCGAAACAGTTCCTCGGATCCTGGTGCTGGCCGAAACAGTTCCTCAGATCCTGGAGGTAGCCGAGACAGTTTCCTATTTCATTGTTGTGAACCCAAAACCTCGAGCACGTTAAAGAGCATGTGTCAGTTGGAAGAAAGGTAGACATAGACACACTTGTCCGGGGAAAACCTCTAGTCATAGAACATGATCCCAGTTGGAGCAGAACATTTAAAGTTAATAAATCGACCAGACTCGCAGTTTCTTTTTCAATCGTGTTTGTTGTGTTAGATTTAGTGGTCTGTAAGTTACTTGTCAGTTAGTTGTGCAACCCTATTCCAAACTTGTTGGTTATGTCAGCTTTATTTTAGCGTTCTTTAAGTTTGTATGTTGGATAGAAGACAGTATTCAATACATCTAAGAATACTGTCGGATATCCCAGTTAGAGCAGAACATTTAAAGTTAATAAATCGACCAGACTTGCAGTTTCTTTTTCAATCGTGTTTGTTGTGTTAGATTTAGTGGTCTGTAAGTTACTTGTCAGTTAGTTGTGCAGCCCTATTCCAAACTTGTTGGTTATGTCAGCTTTATTTTAGCGTTCTTTAAGTTTGTATGTTGGATAGAAGACAGTATTCAATACATCTAAGAATACTGTCGGATATCCCAGTTAGAGCAGAACATTTAAAGTTAATAAATCGACCAGACTTGCAGTTTCTTTTTCAATCGTGTTTGTTGTGTTAGATTTAGTGGTCTGTAAGTTACTTGTCAGTTAGTTGTGCAGCCCTATTTCAATCTTGTTGATTTTTCTAGCGCAATTCCAAACTTGTTAAACTATTATTGCAGGTTGATCGATCACCATGTGGATCTGGTGTAACAGCTCGTGTAGCTTTACAACACCACAAACAATTAATACAACTCAATCAGACTAAATCATTCCAGAGCTGTAGAACTAAAGCTATATTTACAGGCAAACCTGTTAAACCGGTTTCTATTGGTCAACGTCAAGGGGTCAGAGTTGAAATTTCCGGAAAAGGCTTTTATTGCGGCAGCTCTACGTTTACATTAGAACAGGACGATCTGATTGGGCGAGGATTTTTGTTGTAAATTATCTACAAACTACAAATTATCTAAAAACTTACAAATAGTACGAACGGGTCTTAGTCATGTTTACTTTAGAATTTCTATCCAGATTTACATTGTTGTTAGACTGTAATAAACAGAACATTATTTGGACTGTTTTATACAAAACATCTATCGGATACGAATTTACTATGAATGTCTTTATTTTATATACTAAATAAAATCTATTTTTAAAGACTAATGTTGTTTCATCAAGACTAGTATCAGATATTACTGTCTGGGTGGTCAAGGGGATGTTAGATGGGTGTGTGTTAGAAGACTGTGTGAAGTATGGGGTGGGTGGTCGGTTATGTGTTAGAAGACTGTGGGATGAGATGGGAAGTATGGGGTGGGTGGTCGGGTATGTGTTAAGTGGCGGGACTGGACTGGGTTGAGAAGTATAGGCTAACATACCTAATTATAAATTCCTAACCGCATTTATGACGGTAGCCAAAGTGTAACGCTAAAACCATTCTGTGATCGACCCCTTGTGTGACCACGCTAACAATAGCTGTGAAAGACACTATTGACATTGGCATTTAAACGAAAAGTGCTGCATCCACCATACACTTCGTATAATTATTTTGTATCAACGCCATCCATCAGCATCACCCGCCCAGGTGTTCCACAATGTGGTATCAGATAGTATTTACACTCATGTACAACACCCACACACTACTCATGTACGACACCCACCACTGTACAGTCCTGATAATTAAATCCGCAACTAAGGCTACATGATCAACTGCAAACTTCGGACTAATAGCGTGCGTGGTCGGAGTCAGAAATTTCTGGGAATTAAGTGTGTGTGTTTGTGTTTATATGATCTATTGATCCAGCACTAACCCTCCATGGAGTTACCCATCTATTTAGTAACCCACCAAATACCCAACGACGGTATTTGGAGAGAGAGAGAGAGAGAGAGAGAGAGAGAGAGGGAGGGGAGAAATGGGGTTTAACGTCCACTCGACACAAACTAGGTCATTTCGGGACTAACACATGGTTTAATTTTATTTCAATAATTTGCTTGTTCGTAGGGGTCTTTAGCAGAGGGGGGAAACCGGAGGACCCGGAGAAAACCCACGAGGTTGGACAGGCGACCCTACTTCACACACGGGTTGGTAAGACCCGATGACTTTTAAACAAATAGTACAATATGATCGATAATAAGTTAAGAATTGATTCCAGGACAGCATATTGATATATTTAGTTTAACATGTTGCTATGGTAATATTGATTAGTTTATATACATACATACACTTCTATATTTACAATATTCACCTATCCAGGTGAGATTGAATTAAACTGTCATTTAAAAAAGGATTATACACCTGGAATAAAAGACACAGATGTCAAAACACAGAGATAAAACAGAACACCGACATGTGTGTTTTTCTACTGTTTTAAATCTAACAGTAGATTTCCACGTGGATATCAGTATGTTTTAATGTAGACTAAATAATAATTCAGTCAATTGTATTAATACTCAACCAAGACGATGATTCACTGACAATACTGTGATTGTTAATAGTGTGTGGTGACCATGTTATGATGGACGATTAAATACGACACGTGTATCTGTTCCGGTATGGTGACAATGTTATGATTAAACAACGTTTCAACAGATGTATCTGTACCAGTGTGGTAACCATGTTATGATGGGCGATTAATTAAACAACATTTCAACACGTGTATCTGTACCAGTGTGGTGACCATGTTATGATGGACGATTAAACTTCACACGTGTATCTGTACCGGTATGGTGACAATGTTATGATGAGGATTTAAATAAACAACGTTTCAACACGTGTATCTGTACCGGTACGATAACAATGTTATGATAAAGATTTAAACAAACAACGTTTCAACACGTGTATCTGTACCGGTACGATGACAATGTTATGATGAGGAATTAAACAAACAACGTTTCAACACGTGTATCTGTACCAGTGTGGTGACCATGTTATGATGGACGATTAAACTTCACACGTGTATCTGTACCGGTATGGTGACAATGTTATGATGAGGATTTAAATAAACAACGTTTCAACACGTGTATCTGTACCGGTACGATGACAATGTTATGATAAAGATTTAAACAAACAACGTTTCAACACGTGTATCTGTACCGGTACGATGACAATGTTATGATGAGGAATTAAACAAAGTTTCAACGCGCGTATCTGTTCCATTGTTGTGACAATATTATGATGAAGAATTAATTAAACAACGTTTCAAAATATGTATCTGTACCGTTGTTGTGACAATGTTATAATGGAATAGGTCATGCTAATTACATGGGATGTTTTGTTTTGTTTGTAAATAACAACAAGTCTCTCATCTTATTTGTTCGCACCATGTGAACATGTTATAGATTGGTATAGTAAACCGTATGTTTTATGAAAGGGTTAGGGTTAGGGTTAGTATATATTATCATTAAAGTCGTGATTGATAGTGAATCCATTAAAAACTACAATAGAAAATGAATACCAGTCTATAAACGGTTGAATTCTATTCCGTATTTATAGGAGAAGTAAAATAGATTAATAACAACCATCCGTATAAACAGGTGCTCGTGTTATGGTAAAACCCCCAAATAGTGGACGTACATAATATACAGGGTGGATCGTTATTATAGTAAGCTATATATCAAAGAGGATGAATGGCCGAATGGTTAGCAGGTGCGCGCTGTGTCATAAGGTCTGTCAGTGAGTCAACTGGCGAGGTTTCGATTCCCGGTTGTACTTGACAAGGAGTAGGGTGGCCTGTGGGTTTACTCCGGGTCCTCCGGTTTCCCCCCATTGCTAAAGACCCCTACGCGCAAGTGAATTATTGAAACAAAATTAAACCATGTGTTAGTCCCGAAATGACCTAGTTTGTGTCGAGTGAACGTTACCCCCTCCCCCTCTCTCTCTCCCCTCTCTCCCTGTCTCTCGCTACATATCATAGTGTAGAGAGATCAATGTATGTTACGTATATAACATACTGTGTGGGCCATATATTGCGCTATGTATGACAGTATAGAGACACCAATGTATATAATATATAGGCCAGGAATTTACGACTTATAATATGAATGAATGGTTTAACGAACGGGAGTGACGGGTATATCTATTGATGACTTGAGTTGTAATTGACCGTCTATTCAGTTAACTGTCGATATGGACCATAACGACCGATGTAAATAAACATGGCTGAACTCGTGTCAGGTGGGTGTGGATATGTTCAATACTAAAGATGTATCGGAAATATAAATTAAGTGGAGAATTTAACCATTTACCTGTTCTACCACCTATAAAAATGGGATGTGGTGTGTCAAATCACCTGGATCAGCATGTCAACAATAAACCCACGTTACAAAGGTAAACAGCATTATAATATATATTTTATGTTAAAGTTGTTTCCACTACGTATACACAACATAAACACATCAATACAAACCGCGGGGTTGGATGGCAGAATGGTTAGTGCGTGCGCGTTGTATCATAAGGTCTGTCATTGAGTCAACTGGCGAGGATTCGATTCCTCGGTTGTACGTGGGTTTTCTCCGGGTTCTACGGTTTCCTCCCACTGCTAAAGACCCCTGGGCGCAAGCGAATTATTGGAATAAAATCGAACCATATTTAAGTCCCGAAATGACCTAGTTTTGTCGAATGGACGTTAAACCCATCCCCCCTCTCTCTCTCTCTCTCTCTCTCTCTCTCTCTCTCTCACCATTCCATGAATCGCAACAGGCCCAACGAGTCTCGGTATATATGTCTTTCTAACATCAGCTGGTAACAGATACTAGAAGACCGGTGTCCAATATCCCTGTATACAGTATATGAACAATATCCCTGTATACAGTATGTAGATATGAACAGAGCTGAAGTCTTCAACACGTTTAATATATTTATAATATCTATGTAAAACAGGTTTAATATATTTATAATATCTATTCTATGTAAAACAGGTTTAATATATTTATAATATCTATGTGAAACGAGGAATGAAATGTAGTTTGACTGTCGTGTATACAAGTATCTGAAGCAGATTGTAACCACTCAGATTTTATAAGAATAATTTATGTGAATCCCGTCTTTCTAAGCTTTTATGTCTGAACGGTATTTTCTGTGTTTTATAAGAATGCGAATCTGAAGTCTGTGTGTATATTTTAACACGTAGTTTGAATAAACCTATTAAAGAATAAAACAACCTTACAAAGTGTATATAACGTTACGGTATGGGAGTGAATAACAATGCACACACTCAAATATGAATATTTTTTTGATCTTATGACCGATCTTTTCTTTATATCGAGAGTAGGTGTTTCAACACTATGGCAAATTTGCAGTTGACTAGATACTGGCGATAAAAGATATACATTTACGCTCCGTTAATATCTTTAATACAGTTAGGGGTGTAACTTGAATTTACCTTAAAGCTATTCAATTAATCAGTTTTCTGTTATAAATTGTATGTTTATTTTAATATATTAAGTCTAAGTATAAATCAATCTGCTTTAAACTATATGCTTCAGGCCAGTTTAGTTGTTGTGATTTCAAATCTACTTTGCATTAATAATGTATATATATACAAATTATATAGGGAGAGGGGTTTTACATACGCTCAGCCTGTTCCTCAATCCCATACAGACAACCTGAATAAAAAATTTAAAAAAAAAGAAAGTTTAAAGATCATGAATTGTGGGTCGTGCAGTCAAAACAAACTAGGCCATTTCGAGACTAACAAAGTGTATATTTTGATTGATTTATTAAACTGGACCATTACATGACTACCATATGACATATTATAATTCAATGATTCAGTAATGCACTTGCACGGAGGGCGTTTACCGGTGAGAAGAAACCGGAGATCACGAAAACGCTTCTAGTATAGAATGGTATAGAAGGCAAACCTTAACATCTAAAAAATAAGGACCAATAACCCCAAAGTAGAACACCACTCATCTCGTTTCTACTTATGGCAAATAATCATCAAAATATTTCCTCCTGAAACGGTGAACTGTGATTTTGTTTTTGTTTTTACCCGTGCATATTTCCAAATGGTTTTGAGGCTATACCCCGGAAACAGACACATCAAGACAATATATTTTATTCAACCGTTCTGTGGATTCCGAAGTTTCCAAAATTCTTGGCTTTGGCTTTGGTTCCCCGTTTATTCATGTGCATTTGATTTTCTGTTTCAGTGGGCTCGTCAACGAAACGACTGATCTCGACCACAATGAGACAAAACAAGACAAAGAGTTGATTGCAGAGCATAGTACATCTTTGAAACGCGCTAAAAGTCGAATTAAGCGAACTTTATCACAGTTTGATTTACGTAAAGATAAAACAGCGACCAAGCAGAAGTTAGATCGTAATACAAAATTAATATTAAAAGGGAATCTTTATGTAGATTTTCCTTCAACTGCTAAAATTGTTAGAATATTCACCAGCAGTACCTTTACAGGTAGGTTATTCACTTCTGGTGCTCTTAGTAAGCGTAGAAAAAAATTAAGTTTAAACCGAAATTTCCGGGTAATCTTCTAAAAAGCCGTTGTCTGGTCACCATTTTCCTCAAAACACACTGTATGGCGTATGCCCGTTTTCATAAGCCCACTCGCTTGTCATAAAGTTCAGTTGAACTTCAGTTTAAACTGAGTTTTCAGTTATCTTCGTCGACATCAAAATAAACCCCGGGACCGTAAATGTATAGGTACCTTTCACAGATGTCCTGTGCCAACTAAAGAAAGTTATTTAGGGGCAGAAATGATTGGTTCGTCAAGGTACGTGTAGTTAGGGGTGGGTAATTTGCACCAATTCTAATCGGAGTCCTTTTTTCATCATTCAGATACTGAACATGAGAGGAATTATTTAATGGAAAATACGTATCCTAGATTAAAAGAGTTCTGTCAGAATCTAGGTTATGAATTTCAAATTGTTGATATGAGATGGGGAGTGAGGAATGAAGCTATGGATGATCACATGACCACAGAGCTATGTTTAAAAGAAGTTGACCTCTGTAATAAATTATCAACTGGTCCTTCGTTTGTTGTAAGTAAATCTTCTAACACTATCTTAGTGATAACAGTAGACCAGTTTAGTAAATATTGGATTTATTTAGATCGGATCAGAATATCAAACAGTTACATAGATACATCATGAACTAGACTACATAGTAACTAGATTACATCAAGGACTAGACTATACTGGAACTATTACTACGACAGGAACAAATCTAACTATCTTATTATTTACATCGGATCAGAATATCAAACAGTTACATACATACATCATGAACTAGACTACAACAGGAACACATGTAACAATATTAAATTCATCAAGCCGTCCCTCTGCCAAAGCAGCGGCTAAGCTCGGGTGAGTACATGCACTCGTCCAGTGCCTAGTCCTTTGAAGTAATACGGTACGTGTGCACAGATCATATGTAGTTTGTAAATGACACATGGGATTAATTACAGGTTTAATTAGAACGTGACTAAACAGAAGTATATACAGAGTTGAAAAGTCAATATATTATATTATCAACAGCAGCTCAGGCCAATAAGGCCTATTCACCGAAATGAACGCTCAATTTGATGAAAGTTATAGAGTACTTTTTTACAATCTCCTAATCCTTCACCTGAACGAAATAACTGTATTTGAATTGGTTGGAGATTCCAGTCCATTTCAATGTTTTATTTATGGAATAGTTTAATAAGTAAATCCAAAATGATTGTATTATTTCAGACAGTAAATCTCTATTAATCGTGATTCCATATTTTATGGAGCTATACACAAAAAACAATGTAACATTTAGATGTTATAGATTTAACTGAGAGTTAGTTTGAGGTGGGGTAGCGTCACGACCAACCCACCACAAAAATATGTTAAATCATTGTAGTATATATGCTCCGTGTATTTTCAGACATTTTTATCTCATAAATATGGGTATCGAGATTTTCCTAGAGAAATAGAAGCTGATGAATTTGAACTGCTGCTGAGTAAAATAGAATCGAAAGAAAGTAAAAATCTGTTAAATAAGTAAGTATCTAGTATCGGTAATAAACAAAAATGAAATGAAATGAAATGGGGTTTAACGTCCTACTGTTCTGCTCCTATACTAGGCTAATGAATACGGACATACGCCATACAGTGTGCTATGAGGGAAATTTGCCCGGGCAGCTGCACTATCGCCTACTCTTATATCGAATTCCAACTGCCAAGGGGTCTTTTACGTGCATTCCAATGTATACACGGGACCTCGGTTTTTCGTCTCATCCGAAATACTAGACAGCTGTCCTTGTCAGGCCCTCCATCCTGCATCACTGACAAGGTGGAACCACACCGGAAAATCTGGATGAACTTTCTCGGCCAATGCAGGGATCGAATACCCGACCTCCAGGCTAGCGGTAATAAACAAACAAATTTATTATACCCCTTGAGTTATAATTATACCCCTTGAGTTATAATTATACCCCTTGAGTTAATTATACCCCTTGAGTTAATTACCCTCCTTGAGTTATATACAGTCTTTTACTACACCCCTGGAGCTATTGTAGTACCATGAGTCTTTTGTCAGACGTGGAGAGCGGACCACGCCAAAACGGTCGCCCGATTCGGTGCATCTTTTCTTACTACATATCTTAGTAGCCTTGTGATCGTCTAGTATTTTCTTAATGTTTACCAAATTATAACTCTTTGTATATACCAATCTGTCACCCATTCTTGGCTGCATTAGATACGACTTAGCCACGATATTAATTAATGCCGTTGACTATGTTATGTTATCAACACGTGCCATTATATACATTATTATATTTCAGGTGGTTTATAAGAGATGATAATTCTGTACCACCTACCTACCTTCTACAACCAATCAGTTCACAGCTACCTGATTTTATATCATCAGATGTTGACAAGAAGAAACAAGCTAAAGACACGTGGAATAATCAACACGAACAAATGAGAGAAGCTCTGGTTACATCTGCTAAACAAGCTTTAGATACATCAACAGCTCACAAATATCTTAGATCAGGTATGGACACCAAATATACAAATATCTTAGATCGAGTATCCCAGATAGTTCACAAAATCTATAACAACCAATCCAGGCAGCCCACAAAACCTACAACAACCGACCCAGACAGCCCAAAAAACATATAATAATCGAGCCAGACAGTTATTAACCAACAGATCATTATAAAAAGACAAAGCAAGAACCTATTACATCTAAATATTAAATAATCTTATTCTGTAAAGGTACGTTACTAGTTCTGGACGCATGATTAAAATGTTCCAACGCCCCCCAACCCATACCTTTTATTTTCATAGAGATCCTATATGAATCGTAAAATACAAATACGCATTCTACTAATTTTCTTGCAATAAATTCTTATCATGGATATTGTAATTTTGGTTAGGGTTAGGGTTAGGGTTTGTTTAAATGGTATAAACATGCATTATTGGTGTTGTTTGTTTTACAGTAACCGAAGCTGAGATAGACCGGGGTATACTGGATCACAGTCAGAGAGCATTCTGGTTTGATCGTCAAATACAAGATATAGACAAACAAGAAGCCAGCTATATTCTTAGTCGTTATAAAGGTTTATTACTATACCATTCAATTTATTTATAATTGTTTCTATTATATTTCTATACCTTTGATTATCATTTCATTTATTTTATTGTAATATTTTACTTCTCCCTTCCACCAGACCATATGTTTGTCTCCAACATTCAAAACCTCGACATTTTCAGAGAGCCATGTCCTAAGGGCGCCGATTCGATACACATCCGACAAATGTGAAAAAAGGGCATGCAGACATACCCTGATCCCAAACCACACACGATTATATGTCCACATCAGGGTGTATAGGCAATAACAAATGTACTAATCTTGATTTTCTATTTTAGAATGCAATGGAAAGAAAGAATATTTACTGGAATCTCGAAAACTTCTAGAGAATTTACGAAATAATAAATTAAAGCATAAACTACCGGAGGATCATATCAAGAAATATACAATAGATTGGACAGAACATGGTAAGACGAAGATCTTGGGCGTTGGTCTATTTTAATTTTAATTCTCATTGTGAATCACAGTAAACCATTGATATGCATATCATTGACTGACAAAACATCCAAAAGGCGACATGTACCCTATAGCATCCTGCACGCCAAACTAACCATTCTAAAACTAACCAAAGAGCCAATAACATCATCTATCCAAAAGGCGACTAATAACCGAAAATATCACACAGGTTGATAAATATTGTCATTGTTACTTCTATTGTAGATGTAGATACAATTATTGTCATTGTTACTTCTATTGTAGGTGTTGATATATTTATTACTTCTATTGTAGGTGTTGATCCAACTAAAGAAGAAAGTCATAGATTGTATATCAGTAAATTAGCTGATGATTTTGAGAGAAGTATAAAAGATGGTATACAGAGAGCTATACAAGAAAAACAATCTAATATATCAAATAATACAATCTGCCAGGAAGTTATACAACATATCAATTTCTGTAAACATAAATGTCATTCATTTCATGGTAGAAAAGACACTTTTTATGTGAGTTGATATTTATCTGTATGTCCGTTATACTATATCCTATTGGGATCGAACTAAACTCATAGTTCAATACCCTATACTATAGCCTATTGAGATCGTACTAAACTCATAGTTCATTACCTTAAAGTCTATATAAATCATGGCTAAACTCATATAATATAGCCCAGTGGTCAGGGTGACAGTGGTCATATAAGATAGGTAAGGTGACAGTGGTCATATAAGATGGCTAAGTTGACAGTGGTCATATAAGATAGCTAAAGTGACAGTGGCCATACAGCATGGTTTTTAATCATACAAATATTTTCCAGATTAATTGATGATAGTCGATGCGATTGGTTTATCAACTGGTTGCAGTTATATATGTTTGAATGACTTTCTAAGGGGGATAATTCCAATTTGTCTGACGGTATATTGTGACAATTTCAGTTCGTTAAATATAATCGGACATAAATGGTTTGTAATTCTATGCAGGAATGACTGAAATACCACTTGTAAAATGGTGAAAGTTAAACTACACGTATTTTGAATTTATAGGCAGTAAATAATCTGATTTTGTGCATTACAGATTATAGATGATTACCTGATGAACAACAGTGACGAACCACTGGTAATACACGGTTCATCTGGTTGTGGTAAAACATCTATTGTTGCCATGGCAGCCAAAAATACATTTGATAACAAAAACGGAGAAAAAAACACAATAATTATACGGTATGATATATATATTATAATGCGTTTTATGTTTGGACTATTTTGTTATACAAATTTACAGGTCTTATTTAATTGATTGACTACTTTAATTTTATAGGTCCTATTGACTCATGACGTGTACACAAAGTTTTACTATTTTGAAAGAGTATTCGGCACAGTTTGACTGCAAATATCCCAAGACTTTGGAATTTTGATGCCTGTTAAGTCTATTTGTTCTGATTCTATTATTTAGATTTCTAGGAACAACACCTGATAGTTCCAACATCAGTGCCTTGTTATACAGTGTTATTAGTCAGATTAAACTAGTTTATAAAGAAGAACCTATTAAACAGGGGCTGGTGAGTACATTATTACCACATTAAACATGGATTGGTGAGTAACAGTATATAAAATATAAATATAAATAAATAATATATAACACATGAATATAAAGAAATAACGCATTACAACGTTATAACTGGCCACCAATCTATGGATAAGACTACACTGAATTTGAAAAATTATATCTGGGTCAAGAATGGCAGCCAATTACTTCATCTAATCTTCACGACGCGGCTTGTGAAAACACCTGTACGTTTACACTACAGCCCCGACTCACACCAAATAAAACAGTGACACTCGGGCATTTAATCTCGCATATAGTTGAGAAATTAAAACGAAATGAAATAAAATGGGGTTTAACGTCCTACTGTTTTGCTCCTAAACTGGGCTAATGAAGACGGGCATACGCCATACAGTGTGCTATGAGTGAAATTTCGCCCGGGCAGAGGCGCTACAGCCTACTCTTATATCGAATTCCAACTGCCAAGGGATCTTTACGTTCACGCCAATTTGTACACGGGACATCGGTTTTTCGTCCCATCCGAACGACTAGACAGCTGCCCTTCCTGCACCACTGACAAGGGGAAACCACGCCAGAAAATCTGGACGAACTTTCTCGGCAAATGCAGGGATCGAACACAAATTAAAACGAAATTAAGCAATAATAATTTAACGCACGGTTTTTAATAATACGGACAGCCCATCATAAATTTATTCTAAGGGCCATTATTATAAAACGTGGCCAGGCGTGTAACAAGAGTGTCACTATTTATAATGCCCACCAATAGTGATGTATAATATTGTTCATTGATAGACAAGCGCTCCAAACTTTTCGACAAAGTAAACATATACATATTTGTCTTCTCTTATTGCAGAGTCTAAAGGATTTGACTGAGGAATTTCATCTGAGTTTAGAACATGCAAGGAAACGCCGACCAATGTTGGTACTTCTTGATTCTTTAGATCAATTAGATACCAAAGGTGGCGCTCGTCAGTTGTCTTGGTTACCACGTAAATTACCCGAGTATGTTAAGATGATTGTGTCCACTCTACCGGAAGCTGAATATGAATGTTTTCCTAAGCTCCAGGTATCGTAATCAGACTTCATTTGAACTTAGAGATGACTACAGATGATAGATAGTCTCGGATTAGAATCCGTACCAACTTAGAAAATTTTAAAAAAAACGAGAACAGGAAAATTTAATTCTGCCATTAAATTATTTCAAAGATTATACGTAATACATACGAGATAATCTAAAATCAAAGCCAAGGTGGGGTTGTTGATTAATAATACTCAATATTAGAACGTGTAGCTATACTTGTGATAGACATTTAAATATGGTCCAGGGTCACTTTTAAACTGTTAGGTATTGAAACGACCCACACCATTATTACAAAGCTAGACCACTATCATAACGTACTCGTTACATGTATAAACAACACGGTACCTTTATTTTGTAGGCGATGTTTTCAACAACATCATGTTTTCTACCAGTAGAAACTTTATCTAATGATGACGTTGAGGGAATTCTCCATAAATGGCTGGAAACCAAACAAAGAAAACTCCTGGATTCACAGTTAAAAATAGTTCTGGACGCTTTTCATCAGTGTCCATTACCATTATTTCTAAAACTATCATTTGACGAGGCGTGTAGATGGAAATCATTTACTCCACCAAGTGTATCAACCCTACAGACAACAGTTCGTGATGTGATCAATGATTTATTTGCTAGGGTTGAATCGCTACATGGACAATTACTTGTATCTCGAGCACTGGGCTATCTTACTTTAAGTAAGTACATGTATTTTTCAAATAACAATTGCTGATTTTAAGAAACTGCTGCTGCCATTTCCAGACCCGTTTACATTGAGAACGGTTTCGTTTAATGCATGGTTCAATTTTCGAGAACCATAAAACAGCCATCGCGTGTCCCAATACACCAAATTATAACTTTGCGTGGCTATAACATTGGACTCACAATTAGTATATCTCGGTCTTGAATTCCTACCGGGAAAAGTGATTGGAATTTTTTGAACCAGGATCTGCGAGGTGGACATATAAACCGAGGTGCACAGATTTGTGAAATATCCAATGGAATGTGAAATGCAAAATGTGGCCAGACCCAATCTCTAAAATACACATATTTCTTAATAGCATAACTAGAGGGCCCCACCATAAATAAATATCTTCAAATATCTCCAAATATTCGACAATTATGCCACAATATTGAATATAACAAATTTTAACTTACCTCCTCACATTTATAGTCATTAAATATACAACCGTGCACAAGTTATAACCACTTAAACATCGATAATAAATTAGATTGAAAATGTTTACAACAAGACGTCATTACATCCGGGCGTTTTTGGGTACAAAATAGGTTACGTGCCCTTGGTTTGAATTAGGCCCTTTAGCCAGTGTACCTACCGTTCTCCAACTGATTGAAGGAGCGTAGAAGAATTTAATTTTACTAATGAACACAATTTTCTTAAGCGGATGTGTAACAGCCAAGAAGCTAAATATTACTGTTATTCAGAATCAGAATCGTTAACAAAATATATTTTTACGGTTTTAAAAGTTTATAGCCTCATTTGGGGATTCTTGGCTTCGTGTCTAGCCAGAAATCAGTTCTTGACTAGCCACTGAAGTGTGCACATTCGATGTGGTGAGCTTTAATAGAGCAAATTTTGGCTGCGTGGGGCACCCTAGTATAAGTCCATACGTCAGAACATAATGGTATCAATTGGCATTTATGAGTAACTTGTCCGTAATGCTTACTTCCAGGTGGTGGTGGTCTGACGGAGACTGAATTAGAAGATATTCTGTCGTGTGATGATGACGTATTAAATGACGTATATATGTACTGGACACCACCTATACGGCGATTACCTCCCCTACTCCTCGTCAGAATCAAGGCTGAATTAGGACAATATTTTGGTAGATATATTAATAACATAATCTTATATTTAAATAGCAGTCAGTCAGCTTTCCCTTTTTATATTTATTATAAAGCATTTGCTATAAGAGAAATATATTCTAAATATTGTTTTCAAAATGAAATATTTAATGTTTTGAAAAAGGAATGTGTTATATGTTGTAATTGAGAATATTTTTGTTTTGAAAATGAGATGTTAATTTCTCCTCGCAACTTTATATTTTAAAATATATTATTATATTTTTTTGTTTTGGTTTGCAATGAAGAGTGAAGACACCAAATAATTTTCAGGACCCTTTTACTGTCGGATGTTCAGGGCAGTGCAAACAGTGCAGCTGTAGATCTTATTTATTTATTCGCTATTTATTTCATTTGCTAGAAGTGCTGATGGAGTTCGGGTGTTTTATTTATTCGATATTTATTTCATTTAATTAAGTTGATAGATGTGCTGATTGAGTTGGGGTGTTTTATTTATTCAATATTTAATTCATTTGATTAAGTTGATAGCGGTACTGATAGAGTTCGGTGTTTTGTTTATTTATTTAGTATTTATTTTATTTAATTAAGTTGATCGAGGTGCTGATGGAGTTCGGGTGTTTTATTGGTATCATCGTCAGTTCATTGAAGCAGCTACTGATAGATATTGTTCAGATGTTAATATTAAAGTAAAGATGTGTGGCGTTATAGCGGATTTCTTCTCAGGTATCTGGGCAAATGGTGAGTAATAATAGTAGTATAGAGGCCACTTTGGGTACTTTTTGATTGGCATCGTGGTATTGATTGATCTTGGTTGACCGTTTAACATATATACTAACATAACCATAGTATATAGAAAATAATAACCGTGGTTGACCTTTTAACCTAAAGATAACCTAGGAACCTATATCCTCGATATTATGGATTGTATTGGGTTAGGGTTAACGGTCATGGGGGTAAGTTAATGACGTTGACTGATCCACGACATACATTTTTATTTTGTGTTTTTGAAGACTGGCGTAATTTTAATTTTAAATGATGCGTACCGGGTATAGAACTCGTCACCGGGTATAGAACCCGTCCTCGTCTCCGTTCGGCCACATGATTAAAATGTTTTTTTTCGTACAATTTTGCTCCCCAATTTAGTTTTATACATGATCAAATGACATCAAATCGAATATTATATTTGAAAAAGACCTTAAGCTATATCTATAAAAAAATTTCAGGTAAAGTCAAACCATTTAAAACTAAAAGTGGTGAAGCATCAGAAGCAGATCGTTATGTGACGTCACAGCCTGTTAAACTAGGCGAATCGTATAATTTAAGGAAATTAAACAATCTACCTCATCACAGACAACAAGCTAATCAACTAGATCTATTAAAATCTGAATGTCTGTGTAACTTTCACTTTATACTTCATAAAATAAAAGCATCAGGTTTAAGGTAAGGAGTTATTTTAAATTAATTTTCAGTTTTGCATGTACCTATGCCCAGAATTGCAACCTCCTTAGTGTGCGTCTGTACGATGTAAATATTTCACTCTGTGTGTCCGAGGAAAAATCACCGGGAATATAATCGATGAGGAAACATTTTATTGAACTGTATTTCAGAGACCAGAAACAAAGCGAGATCATCTTGGGGCATCCTAAATGATACCTGGATCCTACCTTTATCATAGACCAGAAACAAAGCGAAATCATCCTAGGGCATCCTTGAATTATGGATCATAGACTGATTAACATATTGTTGAAACATCAGATCTCTCTATTGTTTTTTCACTTTTCTATTAAATACAGGCCTGTGCTGGATGATTTCTCGTCAGCTAAAGAAAGGTTTGTTGATGATGAAGATATTAAATCTATCTGCGATGCCCTACAGTTATCACAACGTTCACTGCAATATAATTCTAACGAACTACCATCACAGTTACTGGGACGTTTAAAACCTACCAAGGTATCTATTTGCTTTATTCCTCCCATCCCTCTCCCGCCACCAATATCCACCAGTTTCATCATTTCCAGCATCTCTCCAATCAATAGCATCACGATTTCGTATCTCTCCGATCAATAGCATCACGTTTCAGCACTTATCCGATCAATAGCATCCCGCTTCCGCATCTCTCCGACCAATAGCATCACGTTTCAGCACCCCTCCGACCACTAGCATCCCGCTTCAGCATTTCTCCGACCACTAGCATCCCGATTTTGGGCATCTCTCCGATCAATAGCATCACGTATTACTATCTCTCAGACCAACAGGAACCTGTTTTATTTTCTCTCCGACCAATCGCAATTAATGTATTTATTGATATATTACTTGTATCTTTGTTTTGTTTATAGAGTCTACAGCCTCTACTGGATGATTGTAAGAATTCACCATTCTACTATTTACTACCAGATAAAACTATATTAGCACAGCCTGGTGGATCTTTATTATATTGTTTATCAAATCATGTTGGTGATATACAGGGTCTTGATATAACTAAAGATGGTGAATTAGCTGTAACATGTAAGGGACATAACTCTTTTTATACTAGTGCACGACGGACGATCTGACGTGGAGATCTGCCAGAAGTCCCGTGTACACATTGGCGTGCACATAAAAGATCACTTGGCTATCCGAGCAAAAATTCTCTCATAACACGCTGTATGGCGTTTGTCCGTCTTCATTAGTAAAACTACCATGACTGAATGGTGTCAAAGAGTCTATATTTGACACGTTACTTCTGGTATCTCACAATATATTTACTGGATTCTGTTTAGTCGTTCACATGGGTGTGACTCTTGGTAGAGATTAATGGTCCCTTTAAAACAATAAGATTTATATAAAATACCAATACGATGAATACACGTATTGGTAAATTGCTAAAACTCTACCCAATTTTAAATAATTGTATTTATAGGTTCGACAGATAGAGCAATAAAAAACTCTACCCAATCTTATACAATTGTATTTATATAATCAATAACAACTCTGTTTAAACTTATATAACTGTATTATAGGTGCCACAGATAGAACAATAAAAACTTGGTCAGTGAAGTCAGGTAAACTTGTACGATCATATGATATCGGGGTTGAAGACCTAGAACATGTCCAGCTCTGCCACAATGACCAAGTTCTTGTGGCTTCTGGGACGAAGTTTCTTGTAGGTGTGAACTTTCTGACCGGAGTTAAACTGTATGAAATACCGACGGAATCTAAAAGTAATTTCTGTGTAGCTGGTGAAGATAGAGAATTGCTGGGAATATTTAAAGGGAAGGCTATAAATGTATACAGTGCTATAACAGGAGAATTACAATCACAGACTAAATGTCAGTTTTTGAAGGGAGAGATGGCATTTGAAGAATATGATTTTTGTGTTGGTGAGTATATTAATCTATTTGTTTCAACTGGTGACTGTAAATAAATCTAACAAACCGTGGCTTATGATGCTGTTAATAAATAGATTAATGAAAGCGCTGGGCTCGCTCCTCGTTTCCTAATGTAAGTCTGCTATTTCTGGGATATATTTTAGAGCATTAAACGGAAGACTTTTGGAAATAGAAAAATGTATTCTAATCCCAGGCGAGTATAGGTATATGGCGCTTCTTGATAATATGTGGAATACATGTAGATACATACCCCAGCTCTAACTGGTAGCTCCTGTAGTGTCCAGAGAACCATGTCTTCTCTTGCGTTTCTAACCTGATAGCGTGAACGTAATTGTGTTTTATTTCAGGTCAGGGTCGGTATATGATTGGTACGGATAATGATCAATACGGCGTAGCCATATTTGATGTCATTGAACAGAAGTTTCTTCATGTAACAATGATCTATCCAGAATATAAAGATGAGGATGGTGATTTAATGAGGAATACAGTGGATGCAATGGCTATATCACCAGATGAAAAAAATATCGCCATATATAATTATTCCGATAATAAATTTCGTATATATGATATAAAAACTATGAAGGAAATCAAAGTTTTAACTAGTATGTATAATATTTAATCAGTTATAATAGGGAGTTGGTAGAATGGGGTATAATAGTGTATTATATTCAGTTATAATAGGGGTTAGGTTGATTGGGGTTTGTATAAGGTATTCAGTTATAAAAGGGATTGGACTGAACAGTTTTCAAGTGCTTAACGGTACTTATAGAGGTAAATAACGTGATGAAAGCGGAGAGATATAAACATTGATAATATAGAGTTAAATAATGTTATAATAGCGGAGAGATATAAACAGTAATAACATTGTGAGAGAAGCATTATGCCAAATATGCTATTCTAGAAATGAAATGAAATGGGGTTTAACGTCCTACTGTTTTTTTTCCGAACTGGGCTAATGAAGATGGGCATACGCCATACAGTGTTCTATGAGGGAAATTTTGCCCGGACAGCGGCACTACGGCCTACTGTTATATCGAATTCCAACTGTCAAGGGATCTTTTACGTGCACGTCAATGTGTACACGGGGCCTCGGTTTTTCGTCTCATCCTAATGACTAGACAGCTGTCCTTGTCAGGCCCTTCGTCCTGCATCACTGGCAAGGGGGAACCACGCCGGAAAATCTGGATGAACTTTCTTGGCCAATGCAGGGATCGAACACCCGACCTCCAGGCTAGCGAGTCAGCATCGGGTGTCACCCATCCCTTTAACCTTTATGATCACTGAATAATTCCAGCAAATTAGTTATCTAAAACATATCGAAAAAGATAACCCAGCATCAACATTTGTCTTCGTGGAAAATTATTTCGCTAAACACACCTAGACATATTGAATTAAGTATACATAATTTTTACATTACGTTTTTAAGGATACGCAAAAGGATCGATTGAAAAACTTCAGTTTACTCCTGACGGTAAATATTTGTATGTGGGTGCTAAAAATGACGTTGTGGCGTTTAATCTAGAAACAGATGAGACGTTTATTGCTGTTCATCATCCTACGTCTGTCAGTTATGTTATTACTTTGGATATGAAAAGTGTAGTGACCGTTGGAGACGATCGAATCGTTAGAATCTGGGATCGCAGCAAGGATAACGATGTCACCAACCAGGAGACGCAGGAAAATACGACAAAGAAAACGGCTATAGGGTAATTAACATATCTTGTCTATAACAATTACTCGAAACGTCTCAACTGTACATTTCCTGTAACAAATAAAGATAGCTTAGTGATGGATTATGTAATATTTAGATAAAGAACTGGTCGTACCCTTTCTATTAATAGCTCAAACGTTGATAATAACAAATGAATATATTGAAAATTTCATTCAAATTACTTTATTCTGAGCAAAGTTATATGTGTTAGACGATGTAGCGTTTTTTGTTTATTACCGAAGTAACGGCAGTGGACAAGCGAGACAGTCCGTTTTCTTGTTAAATTTTTAAATCTCTTGATCGTTCTACAGGTCTAAATAATGTACGATTTCAAAATCAGAGAGGCACTCTAATCAAATCATTCTAGAAAACGACTTACTAAATGGATCAAAGCAAGTTTTTGTGAACAGTATGTTGACACATTAGTGATTAGGGGGGTTGTATGGCCGAATAGTTAGCACGTGCGCGCTATATCATAAGGCCTGTCATTGAGTCAATTGGCGTTGTTTCGAATCCCCGGTTGTACGTGACAAGGTGTTGAGTCGCTTGTCCAACCTCGTGAATTTTCTCCAGGTCCTCCGGTTTCCTCCCACTGCTAAAGACTCCTACGCGCATGCGAATTATTGAAATAAAATTAAAACCGTATGTTAGTCCTGAAATGAACTATTTTGTGTCGAGTAGACGTTAAAGCCCATTTCTCTCTCTCTCTCTCTCTCTTTCTTGTGATCCTATCAGACTCCTTCGTTAAAAATATGGTTAGGATTATCAAGTCTCGCGCTTCTAGCTAAAATGTCCTACATGTGGCAATCGAGTTGCAAAGTTCAAGGTTCGATCAATGTCAAGGTTGCTGGAAATCATGGTTGATCTACAAAGGCTGTAAACTTGTCTATTTCTTTTTCTATGGAGGCCGCCATATTTGTTTACAGTGTGTTATGTGCCATGACCTCTGATTGGACAATGCTAATTAGTCACGTGTAAACACAACGAGCGCAAAAATTCGGGAATTGTTGGGTATTGAAGCAACAGCTAGATGTTGTAAAACTCGCGGTCGTTGCTTCAGGAACATGCACAATTTCAAGACATTACGAGAAGGTTTAGAGTCTGTACACAGTCTATACATCAGTATCTCGTGTGTTCACCGCGAGTGTCAATAACATTGGCACTTGGAACCACACTATCAGAAAAGCCTGACGCAATCCATCGGCTGTGTCTCGGTACGACGTTATTAAGACTCCTCTGAATTTCATCCCAAAATGTTCAATTGGGTTTAAGTCCGGACTAAGGGATGGCCAGTGCATAACATTGACACCGTTCTGCTGTAGAAAGTCCCGAGTAACTCAGGCCGTGTGGGCACAGGCGTTGTCATGTTGGAAAACGTTGTTCGATGACGTGCGAAATGTGGTATGATGTGAGGGTCTGAGAGCTTGATCGATGTAGCGCACTGCTGTGATGCCGCCTCCTATCACGGGGCCAAAATTTTGGAACACCACAGGACCCACTCTCTGGTTCAGGCCGATTCCAACCCAAACCATTATACTTGAACCTCCCTTTGAGCCTCGTTCCATGCCACATTGGTCAGAATAACGGTGGCCACGTCGACGCCATATTCTGGTCCTGCCATCTGCAGTTGATACGCAATACCGACTCTCATCTGTTAACAGTACCATACTCCGTTGCCTATGTCGTCAGTTCTGGTGTTGTTGGGCAAACTGTAGAAGTTCACGTTGATGGCGAGGGGTGAGGAGCGGTCCACGGTAAGGTCTACGGCAATGGATGTTCTCTCTGGTGAGACGTCGGCGCACTGTATCGGTACTGATGGGTCTTCAGTGTGTTCCCACTGTCTGACGTGCTGTCTCAGATGCCCGCGTGAAAGGATTCTGCACGTGCTGCCGCACAACATGGCGGTCTTGTCGCTTTGTGGTAACCCTTGGTCTACCAGTTCGGGGGCGATCATCCGTGGTGTTGGTGGCCCGAAAGCTCTTTTCCTTATCTTCCACAGTGTATCTTTAACGAGTGTTTTGAGCTCCGTTATCGGCTGTCTGTTGAAGTATACCTCAAGAACATATCCTATAGAATACCAGTGTAGTTTTCTACAGAAAAGTTAACACTAACATATATTACCTTCCAATAACTCAATTCTGCACAGAGTTTTTTTTAGCTACGTGAAAACATGCAGTCTATTATTATAACGAGTCCCTCAAACATCATGTTGTCACTTAGTTCTCCGCTTTTCGTTCGGTTTTGTATATTTTTTTATAGTATGTAATAATATGTTTCAGTTCACCTATGTTCATTGACAACCCTCGGTATATCATCTCCAGATATAAACATACAGGTTCCTACTATTTACAGATTTACGATCTCGTCACAAATATGGTGGTGAAAAACACAAAGGTTTGTTTATATTATTCTTCCCCTTCCCCTCCTCCAACTTTCCTCAAGGCAGTATATGGAGTAAACCAGAAACAGTAAAAACCAGTTTCATTAAAAACATTTTACTCCAACAATTATTTGAATCCTGAATTTAGTGATGACCAGTTTATTTTTGCATCTGTTTCTTTTGATTTCGCTCTCTAATTGAAACCTGCCAATCCATTCTGCTTGGAGGTATTTATTATACTCAATATGTGCTTGATTACATGTGACGTTTCGACGATACGCTCGTCTTCAGCAATCACATATTACATATAAGTGAATAACAGACTTATCTATTAGTACAACGTTGCTGTACTGGTAACGTGGACTGTAAGCTCAACAAGGTTCCCAAAGTAATTCAGGACGTTTTGGTAACTTATACATTCTGGTGATAATAAATATTGTAATTTGTTATAGTTAGTGACAACTATCAACTTTGTTTTACCTGTGGATGATATAAGATGTCTGCTGCAACATGGTAAAAAGATGTCCCTGTTTGATCTACAAACATCATCTATAATACGAACATACCAAGGTCACGAGTCGTCTAAAGCATCTTCTGATCCAATTATAAATTCAACCAAAACAGGTCTGTATCAAGGGGTGTTGGGATGTAGATCTATGTGGTTATTTATAGAATTTTACACGCTATCACGTGACTGTCTATATAGTTGTTGTTTATTTATAGAATTTTACACCCTGTCACGTGGCTGTAAATGTATATAATTGTTTATTGATAGACTTTTACACCCTATCACGTGGAAGAATGAATATAAAGAAATATAATATAGAAACTGGTGTTTGTGAGATTATCAAAGGCTGTGGTGAAAAGCTTGGAGATTACATAGTGAGTATTCTTTATTTATTAATAACAATAGTGATGATGTTAATCACGCCAAAAGAGATACGAGAGGATAATTGATGATCTTGTAAGCAGAAGGGTGGTAAAATTGCAATGTTTAAAACAGTCTGGAACGACACCACCTGGTCAGGATTAAATAAATCCTGTAGAAATTTTAACCAATGGCCGTCCTCGCTGAAGGAATTCCCACCAGGTGTCGCTAGTAAAAACTCGGTTCCACGTGACCTTTTCGATGGTAAGAGAACCGTGTCGGTATTAAATTCCATATTAATGACAAAATCTAACGTTTGTCAACACACGAGTTCGTAATGAATGTACAGGAAAACTGTGGTATAAGGTAAACAATGAGGTCATTTGGGACCGCCTCGCCTTTAAATTATGTCCCTTTATCTCTAGCGAGGACGCCCATTTACACGAAGCCGCTTTAGAAGATAATGTGATTATTTTTCATCCTGTGATTCATCTTGGGATTCATATTGGGGTTCATCTTGTGATTCATCTTGAGGTTCATCTTGGGGTTCATCTTGTGATCCATGTAGACGTTCATCTGGGGGTTCATCTTGTGATCCATCTTGTGATTCATCTTGAGGTTCATCTTGTGATCCATCTTGTGATTCATCTTGTGATTCATGTTAAGGTTCATGTAGAGGTTCACCTTGCAGTTCATCTTGCAGTTCATCTTGGGGCTTCATCTTGGAAGTCATCTTGTGATTCATCTTGGAGTTCATCTGTGCTGCAGAAACACTGAGATGTTAAATCACAATTTTAAGATCTTACCTACATGTATTTAACAATTACCGAATTTAGTAGTACCCCGTCTTCTCCACAATATAAAACCATTCAAATTCTGAAATACGCGTCTGTGATCAAGCCAGTACTGGGGTTTGACTGTCTGAGGCTCGAAGATGTAGGCTGGTTAATTATATTAAACTCGACTCGATATAAAGTTATAACTGGTTTCAATTACAACAACAACACCTGCGCCAGTTACTACACAAACAGATAACCTTGCTTTAAGTTACAACAGGAACATATACACCAATTTTCAGTTACAACAAGAAAACTATCGGAATTCTTTAAATAACAATCAATGCGTGAAATGTTTTAAATCTTCTGTTGTATATATTTAGGTCAATGAAAGTTGTACAGTTCTGGCTGCGTCCATACATGACGATGAGTGGGTGGTTTTCTTTGATCTTGTCAATAAGCAAGTGATGTATCAGTTGACACCAGGGATGATAGGGGCAGATGAAAAAGATTCTATATATTTAAACGATGGTTTGGTTACCGAGGATGGTCGTTATTTGATATTTCAACATACGCTAGTACCACCAGGTCTGGACAATCCAGATGATTATCAGTCTACTTATATGGTAATGGTGTGGTGTATACCAGACAGTAAGTATAACGATACCGTGGTAAGGGAATGTGCTAATCACATGGTGTAATAATATTGCTAGAATTTTTGCTCTTGAAATAAGATGCCTTTATATTTCATTAATTAATATCTTTGGCAAGTTAGTAATTTCAAACATATTCACATATATAGTGTGCACTAAATCAACTTAGTCTGTAATTGACAGTTGACACATAAAAAAAGTTATTTATCGAAAACATATGTCACTCATTTACCACCAGAATTACACGTGAGTGGAATTATTCTAATTGCATCATTTGATTTAAAGTAACCAATCATTTTGTTAATTACACAAGTTCAGGGCCATGATCACGCTTTATGGTGCATGATATTCATTTACCTTTAAAAGAAACCGGGGAACCCTGTAAGTCAGACCTGCATTAGATTCCAGAGATCGAGGGTACATCTGACAGCCGAGAGGCTGGATAGGGTGGAGAAATTGTTTTAGCTATATAGTATTGTAATTTGTGCTATGCTTGTATACCTGTATTCAGTTATATGCTATATAAAATGTAGAAGCGAACTATGCATTATTATTCCTGGTAAGACAAACGTCTTAAGAAACTGGAAGAAGTAAATACACAACGTGAAGCAGAAGTAAAGACAGCTAGAGACAAATTCTAGACGATCACAAGGCTACAGAATATGTAGTAAGAAAAGATGCATGGGTCGTATGTAGGATGTGGCGACCGGTTTTCCATAGACGCCCTCCACGTCAGACAGAAGGACCTATGGTGCTACATATTCTATTTGGTTGCCGTGACAGTTTCGACCTTAAAGGGGAAGCAGAAAATTTGGAAGAAGATTAGAAGAAAAGAGAGTATGCATCACACGTTGGATGTGGGGAGTTCTCCTGTAATATTTTCCACATCTAACCAGTGACTGCATAGCACTGCATAGTCTTACATATTCGATTTGATACCGTAACGCAGTTTCGACCTTTAGGGTAAGAAGTCACTTTAGAAGACGAATACATATTTGAAGACGTTAAGAAGAAAACCTGTACAATCCAGCAACAGAAAAATTCTGGTGGAAAAAAAAAAATCTGGTGGAGATATTCGAAAAATTGGGTAAATACATTTTGTTTGGAAAATTAAATGTGTTAAATTTGTTTAAAGACCAAATACTATTAATTTAAAGTTAAAATCTGATAAGAAACTAAATATTTAAAATTTAACTGTATAGAGAATAAATTACAGTCATTCATAAGTTTTGATTGATAGGTATATTAAACAATATAATATGACTGGCTATAGGTATGTATATTGCCAGGTTAACATGACCTGTAGTAAATTTGTAGTAAAATTAAAGTTAAAGAGAAAGTTTAGGGAGTAGGTTTTCAAAAATAAATGTTTTGATATAACTAAGGAATAATAAGGAAACGGAATAGGGAATAAAATAGGAACTAATGTTGTCTCCGGCTTGCAGTAGAAAAGAAGGCAGAGCTAAGGATGAAGTTGTGAGTGATTAACTCTAGTTTCCTAGTTGGCCGTGGTTTTTACTGTGATTCGTTAATTTGTGTTTTTTGTTGTTTCGTATACTATATAATTTTGAGGCCCTTAGTCCAGGCCTTAGAGTTGTTGTAATTTAACTTTTGATTAAAAAGTTGGGTTATGAAAGAAAAAATCCCATATGGTTAATCTAGGGATGTTGGTTATAGGTTTCCTGGGGAAAAACTAAAATTATTGGCTCGTTAAATTGTGAGATTATCACAAAGTCATCAATACGAGTTTTATAGGAGGTTAAAGTTAAGAATACGACACTTTTTAGAAAAGTGGAGTTATACGGTAAATTTTGTCCGTATATAATTTTATGTAATTAAATTTTGCTTTAGAAACGTAATATAAACGTTTAATATATTTTTGCTAATTGCTATATTGTATTCATTTATTAAATGTTGCTTTAAATTGTTAACAAAAGATGATTAGAATGTGTAATTTGACATTAGGTCAGATTATTATAAACAATAGGTTCTAACACTGTGTTAAATTTGACGTGTGTGAAAGTCACAATATATAGGATAAAATGGGATGTCATTCAGATAGTGGCCATATCTGTGTGTCATCCTGGCTAATGTAATAATAAAGAGAATGTTTATATAATGTGGAATGTGTTCTAGGTGAATGAAACTGCAGTCGTTTATTTGTGACACAGTTCTATTTTGGATAAATTGTAGTCTGGTATTGTCATAGGTGTGAGCTCAGCTTGTGTTAGTGTCAGTCTGATAGGAAATGTTTATGTAATAATGGTTAGTGTTTATAAAAAAACGAAATACAAAATTGTAAATGATTAGGTCAAAAAGGTCACATTACTGACTGAGAAATATAAAATAATAATGGCGGAATTCTAAAACACAAACGGAAATTCTAAAACAGAAAACGCAATTATAAAATTACTGAGCGAGTTAGGTCAAGATATCAAAGTTAGTTTGAAGATTTATAATTAAAGGGACACATCAACGTTTATTAATGATTAAATAAAGTTTAATTTTAATTAAGAGTGAGTTACTTTAAGTTTTCGGAATAATATATTAATAATAATATTAGACTAATATGAAAATAAAGTTTTAAAAATAAAGATTTAGGAATAGTTAGTTCTTGGTCTGATGGCAATGACATGTTTGATTGACGGATAAAATTGTACAACCCAATCATATTTAGAGGAAAAAGAAAGAAGGTTTCAACTTGACACTATGGTAGCTGAAACAGACCAATACAAATCCAAGAAGAAATGGTTTACCAGTTTACCAAATTGACATTTTCCGAGACAGAATTTAAAGTGAAACCTGAACTTTATAAATATTACGTGATGTGTTATAGTGTTTTGAAATTAGGACACTTGAAGATTTAAAAAAGACAATTTGTGTTTTCTGTGTTTAGGCTTAGTGAATTTTCATAGGATTTTACAGTGATGAACTGTTTTGGAGAACTTTTGCATACAACTTTTGACTTTTGATTTTTGATTATTTGTGGGTTTTTTTCATAGCTTTGTTTTATGGTATAGTAATCATTTATATTTGCCTGATGCATGAATAATTATAGGGTTTAGTACATGGCAGTTTTTAAGAGTCTCCTACCTGTTCATTTAGCATAAATCTTGCAAGTGGGGGAGGTGATATATGTTGATTTTCTAGATTTCTGCTACATTTATGAATGGTTATATAATTCTACAGATGTTGGTATGGTTATTGTAAAGGATTCAAGGGATCTTTTACCCAATACCGAGCAAAAAGTCTTAAAGGAAGGGACGAATGTAATAATATTGCTAGAATTTTTGCTCTTGAAATAAGATGCCTTTATATTTCATTAATTAATATCTTTGGCAAGTTAGTAATTTCAAACATATTCACATATATAGTGTGCACTAAATCAACTTAGTCTGTAATTGACAGTTGACACATAAAAAAGAGTTATTTATCGAAAACATATGTCACTCATTTACCACCAGAATTACACGTGAGTGGAATTATTCTAATTGCATCATTTGATTTAAAGTAACCAATCATTTTGTTAATTACACAAGTTCAGGGCCATGATCACGCTTTATGGTGCATGATATTCATTTACCTTTAAAAGAAACCGGGGAACCCTGTAAGTCAGACTTGCATTAGATTCCAGAGATCGAGGGTACATCTGACAGCCGAGAGGCTGGATAGGGTGGAGAAGTGGTTTTAGCTATATGGTTTTTATGAATTGTCAGATATCCCCTCACAGTCTCACACAACAACTTTTGGTCTTGGAAGGAATTATTAGTGAGCAGAAATTCGCCCATGTATCTGTTATCACTCGTCACTTGAGTCAGTTATATAAAGGGATGACTCGTTCGTTCGTCACTTCCGATTCATGAAACCTGTATTACTAAGCTATCGTAGCAATGATCTCTGTGTTAAAATTATATTTGGAACGTGTTTAATTAGTTCTATCACATATGTGATAAAGACTGACAACAATATTGTCCTTTAATAATTTTGACAATAAATTCATTATTGAAATATCTAACGTATTAGAGACACACGGAGAGTAATTACGCTTTTAAATTAAGGTTTAATTGATTTACCTTTAGTGGCAAAGTTACAACGTTCTCTGATTTTTGTGGAATATGTTTTCTGTTTTGGTTGTCACTGAATGTATGTTTTTTTACTTTCTGTTTTCAATCCTTGGGATTTTTTTGTTATTTTTAATAGAAAAGCTTCATAAAACTCTATACGATGAGGAATATTTTATTAAGTATCACCAGATGGAGAAGAATAAAACTGAAGATGAAGAAATCCCTGATGTGTCCGTTGATGCGTTGTATTTACTGGATAAGAAAACTGTAATAACTAGTAACGATGATAATATTCTACGTGTTTATGATATTGACACGGGTAAATATATACACCATATACTAAAAATACCGGCTTAGGGTAAAATGTCGTATATTGTCTATCACTGACTAATAGTCGTTGGTCTATTGGCTGACAATCTGTTACTGATACAGAATATTGGTTGTTAAATATATATAGAGAATTGCACTCATTATTGGATATGGTTTAATAGGTGTTTCGATAGGTGTTACCATATTGGTGAACTGAACATCGGCATAACCGTGACGGTAATAGGTAATAATCCTGCACTTGAAGACAGTTTTAATTGTAGACCACTCGATAGATTTATTACCCTATGTCAATTGTAGTCAGATATATCCTCATCCGTTAAGCTGGAATATTCGTTAACCCGTAAGGACGCAATGCTTGGCCTTTTATAAACCCAAAGCATTAAGCCACAATGTCTACTTCTATTTCAGGTGACCTGCTACATCGACTTACTGGACATTTCAGCCATGTAGTAATAGTATTAAATAAAGATAGTCCATTCTTCTTGACGTATGCCGACTGGAGTGAAGAAAATTGTATCAGACTATGGGACAAAGAAACCTTTGAATGTCTAACATCATATTGTATAGAAACAAAGGTCAGTTTAAAGCCTTGAGTTAGGAGTGTGGTCACCAAATTTCTGTCACTTTGGGTCGAACCTGAATTTAGCCAATAGATAGCAAATGTTTTATCGAGATAAGGAGCAAATGTTTTATCGAGCTAAGCAGTAAATGTTTTATCGGGATAAGCAGTAAATGTTTTATCGAGATGAGGAGTAAATGTTTTATCGAGATAAGCATTAAATGTTTTATCGAGCTAAGCAGTAAATGTTTTATCGGGATAAGCAGTAAATGTTTTATCGAGATGAGGAGTAAATGTTTATCGAGATAAGCATTAAATGTTTTATCGAGCTAAGCAGTAAATGTTTTTATGGAGCTAAGCAGTAAATGTTTTATCGAGCTAAGCAGTAAATGTTTTTTATGGAGCTAAGCAGTAAATGTTTTATCGAGCTAAGCAGTAAATGTTTTATGGAGCTAAGCAGTAAATGTTTTATGGAGCTAAGCAGTAAATGTTTTATGGAGCTAAGCAGTAAATGTTTTATCGAGCTAAGCAGTAAATGTTTTATCGAGCTAAGCAGTAAATGTTTTTATGGAGCTAAGCAGTAAATGTTTTATCGAGCTAAGCAGTAAATGTTTTTATGGAGCTAAGCAGTAAATGTTTTATCGAGCTAAGCAGTAAATGTTTTTATGGAGCTAAGCAGTAAATGTTTTATCGAGCTAAGCATTAAATGCAGGTGAATTTCATTGCCAAAACTCAGGACGTGTTCTTATAATGTATACTGAGGCTTCGTCGAGCCAGTAGCAACAATATCACTCTAGAAATCAATTTACTAAGTTTTTATAGAATAATTCAAATTTAGAATAACGTAGAAGGTTCGTGCTCTCAAATTTTAGAAAAATAGCCGAGGCTTTAAACTGGGTTGAGTGACAAACAGTTACTGACCATGTACCGTCTTCTTGATTTGCTGCTTTTAAAAAAAACAGCCGACGTATTAAACCGGTTTTGGGACAAACGGTTTCCGCTAGTGCTGATTTTCCCAATGAAATTTGTTTTAGCCATTTGAGTATTCTGGAAAGGGTAGGCATACACACCATGTGCACAGCACGCGTCAATACCAATAGCCACATTAAACGAAAACGAAAAGGTTATGTGATAATCGACATTATGTTATTTTTAACCAGATAAAGACGCCCATGTTTACACCAGATGGATACACGGTAATGGCTACAGATAGTGATCTCGACTATATAAAGTTTCATTTAAAAGGTGGTGAAGATGTCTCCAGATATCAACCACCAAAACAACCTGATCAATATGAAGAACTGTTTAAACCTACTGGTAAGTCAAATTTAGAGATAGATTAATAAGTTCCATGATGCAATGGGTATACACTCATATATTTGTGTTATACCTGGGGAAAAGTCATCGGCGATGTGGAAATAAACAAATATTCGCCCAATGGTTCTACATGGTTCGCGACGGTCCCGAATCTTTCCAAGGACACCAGAGAACCTGTTCCCGACGCCTAGCAAGACTTATCAATTTCCATCGATATTATATCCCCGAACCATAAAATACCTAGTGGGACCTATGTATGAACGTGTACAAATTGAGCACCACGTAACATTGTATTGCTTATCAAGGTGAGGTAGCAGCTTTATGTTATAGACCCACTGTCGACAGTGGCATGGGTGACCAGATAAACCTCAAGCTTATAGAAGTCGTTCGCCCAGGAACAATTTAACCGTGCACTTCAACTTGGCTTGATGTTGAGTCCCCATAGATTTGTATACAAAAAGTACAAGGCATCTCGCAATTGATTAGATTTCAATCGATCAGTCTAATACATATACTCGTTATGCCCAGTAGTCCCGACATGACCTAGTTTGTGTCGAGCGGACGTTAAACCCAACCTCTCTCTCTCTCTCTCTCTCTCATTAGCCCAGTTGGTGCAGAAGAGTAGGACGTTAAATCTGATGCATACTTGAAATGGCTTCATCCCGATTTCTGGGTTAAATGGACGAGTATGATGATCAGTGGATATATCTGGAAAACGACCTAGATTGTATGACATGGAACTTGTAGATATTTAGAGATTCCAAGATCAAACTAATTCTACTGATATTTATCTTTACTTCAGACTATATCGTGGAGCTGACAATACTCGATACTGTACTCTTTGATTCCCCGGACCCAGACAATGATGAATCAGATGTAACAACAGATGATGACGATGGTGATGATAAAAAGAATGATGGTGCTGAAAAGCAGGAGGATGATTTAGATTTAGGACTGGATGACCTAGACCTTTCAAAAGATCTTGGAGATGATTTAGATTTTTTGGATGATTTGGACGATATGTCTGGTTGGTCTGATGATTCTACTGGAACTGATAAAAACAAAAAAGGAAAATAATGAAGATGCCATAGAAATATATAAACGGAGTTAGGAAAAGCTAACTGGGATAACTGATTTAAAAGGCTCCTTTCTCTCCCTTCAAATATGTGCTCTTAAATAATTACTACCGACTGTGAGGGAGAGAATTAGATACAATCCCATTAGTGACGACACAAGTACTTCGTTTACATAATATATGTTATTTAAATAAAAAGTAATATTATTCTCTATTCGTCGAAGTATTTTCGGAAAAACTTGACAATTTAAGAAATAATTACCGAACCATTTGGTAAAATTTAAGTAATACCAAAATGAACGAAGATGACGTTTAATACTATGATATATTTTAGAAATGGTGAAAGTCGAAGAGTGACAAATGTTTTAGACCATTGTTTAGATCTGTAACATTAACCATATCCGTATTGGCAGGACAGTTATCGAAGTTATGACACTATAATATTAAGTAAGAGGATGCACATATAGGGATTTTAGGTGTCATTGTAGATTATTTTAACAAATAATTCACTTGACAACCAAGACTCGTGGGCATCAACTTAGACTATATTGGTCATATTGACTTATGGACATCAAACTAGACTGCATTGGCCCACTTGACTCATGGACATCGACCTAGAATTTATTGGTATTCTTTACTCATGGACATCAACCCACACTGTATTGGTCTGCTCGACTCTTGGGTATCAACCTAGACGGTATTGGTATTCTTTACTCATGGACATCAAGCCACACTGTATTGGTATTCGTTACTAAGGACACCAATCCATAAACGTATTGGCACAATTTACTCGTGAACATCAATCCAGACCGTATTAACTGAAACCTTTGTTTTTGAAGGTCTGTCAACAGTGGGTCCACACCTCTTAAAAACTAAAACATTTTGTTATGAAATGAAATGGGGTTTAACGTCCTACTGTTCTGCTCCTATACTGGACTAATGAAGACGGGCATACGCCATATAGTGTGCTATGAGAGAAATTTTGCCCGAGACCTCGGTTTTTCATCTCATCCGAAGGACTAGGTAGCTGTCCTTGTCAGGCCCTCTGTCCTGCATCACTGACAAGAGGAAACCACGTCGGAAAATCGGGATGAACTTTCTCGGTCAATGCAGGGATCGAACACCCGACCTCCAAGCTAGCGAGCCAGCGCCTTACCCACCCAGCCACCGTGGCTGCTCATTTTGTTATGTGAACTCCACTAATGAGAATTGGTATCAGATTGTCTTTGAGTCTATCCGACATATATATATACTCCACCAGAAGTATAAATACATTTCTACCTCGTACACGAAACTCGTCACCATAGCTAACTTGTGGGCTCGTTTGTACCTTGATTTCAGAAACGGAAGATTGTGAGTCTTTCTATATCAACATCTATGTAATCGTCCCTGTTTGTGTGTGTGAAATTTGTGAACGACACCATTCAGGGTTTATTTTGACGGTAGTTTATGAAAGAGATCACGGAAACAAGTCATCGAGTATTATCTATATGTTGTAATATAATTTGACTTTCTAGAGAAACATTATAACAGAACTCTCAGACAGCTCATCTGTTATGAAACAAAATGATGTCTTATAGTTTCTATATTTATTATAGAAAACGATAAAATTACAAAACTGTCTTGAAATGTATAGAAAAGTACTGACATATCAGTACAGTTTCTTTTGTATTCTGTACAATTCTATTAAATACAATGAAATCGGGTGTACCACTATCAACAGAATGTCAGTAGTCGTAAATATAGAATTTACTTACATCGGGGCAGAATATGAAACAGGCCCATGAATACAACAGGATCATAAACACGATGCATTACTACTTTAAGACACCATTCCGACCACTGCCGAAGCAGCGACTGGAATCGATTAAGTCCATAAGCTCGTCTCTTCTCGTCTCAGCTCTTCTCAGCCAGGTATGTTAAACTGTATGAAAACTCGTTGTTATATACCTCTCACCAACAGTTAGTGTGGATACTAACATCAAATAAGGAAATGGTTCACAAAACACAATTATATATGACGTTTTATATACCACGTGTTATTGTATGGAATTAGCTGATTCAATATAAGAAACGACAATGTCAAAATATGTGGTGGGGGAAGCCTGAATGGTTAACGCGTGTGCGTTGGACCAGAAGGTCTATCATTGGGTTAAGCGACGTGATTTCAAGCTCCACTTTGTCGTGACAAGGAGTAGGGATGCCTGTCCAACCGGATGGGTTTTCTCCGTGACCTCCGAGTTTCTCCAACTGCTGATGAACGTACAGCCATTGAATTTTAGAAGTGAAATCGAAGCATAATTTAGTCCAGAAATGCTTTAGTTTGTGTGGCGTGGACGTTACACCCCCTTCCCCCCCCCCTCTCTCTCTCTCTCTCTCTCGCAATTACATGTGGGAGATTTGTTAAGTTTGTGATTAAAACATAAATGGAACACCAAACAGCTCTTTATTCAGTGTTCTTAGACCTTATTTCGTGATTCATAGTCCTTAATTCTTATTTCTTAATTTGTTGTATTTCGATATTTGTACACTAAATGAACATTTGTTTCTTAAAATCAATATTTGTTTTACAAATCAGACATTTGTCATGTCAGATTTGTAAAATGTATTTTAATTTTATTTCAATATAAAGATAAAATTTATTTTAGAAAATCAAAAATTAGCCTACATTTACATTTCATCAGAGAAATACAACGAAAAACAAATCTGGAACAACAAATTTCTAAATACAAATCTCCAAATACAAATCTTGCAAACATTTCTCCAAAAACATTTCTTCAGTAACATTTCTCCAAAAACATTTCTCGAAATCCATCGAATAGGAGGAATATGATGACGACACATCCCCGGTGAGTTGCCGGGTATTGAACATTATCAAAAAAATGAAAATCGCCGATAGAGGGCTTTTTCCATGGTGAGCCAATAACTATTTTCTTAAATTTTTACAAGGCTAGCACATGAAACACACTCGTTTTTTGGGGGGTCGCATTTGAGAGGCAAGAAGTTTTCAGAGCAAAACATGTTTGTCGTAGTGTCTTAAAGTTCCTGTGAACAGACTCGGAGGACTGTTGACTCCAGTGGTCACGTCACCGGGCTGGTGTTCTGCTCTGGGAACTCCAATCTCTGAGATTTGGTTCAGGCGTTTGTCTCTCAACAAACTGGTCGATATGGTAAAATATAGCATGATTGTTTGCTTGTTACTGGAATTCGTAGCTCATTATATGTACTTTCGAAAGACTTTATCGCTTGTTTGGAACCATCATCCAACTTGTTGCCGAAACTTCTAACCCCCCCCCCCCCCGCCACTAACTTAATAGTATTTAGCGTCACCAAACTGCCCCCCCCCCCACACACACACTAACTTAATAGTATTTAGTTTTTCAAGCTATGTAAATTTGTGTAATATCTGGAATGTCGTAGTATGACCCGTATTTTGACATTTAAAAACTCACCCACCCCCTCCCAATCAATTAATAGAGTTTAATAGTGTACAACTTTTCAAGTTATTTTTTTGCACATATATTTACATACCTTTAAAAAAGATCAATGCCATGATACTAAACTTTATTAAGTGAGGGAAAGGGCGAGGGATATTTAAAGTAAAACAAAAACATTTTAATAAGAAATTCTTCATATCTGTTCATGTTATGTAAATTATTTTCTTGAATATTTGTGTTACACCCCTTGAAAAATGAACAAATTTGAAATGACACTAACATGTATCAAATGGGGAGATGGGTGGGTGAGTGGGTGATTTGACGTCAAAATACGGGTCATAACACATAAGATATCGGGATGCTTATCATTGAAAAGGTTCGAACACATTTTCAAAATTGTAAAATATTTTCTGACATATTCATATTTACGTACCTTGTTAAGGCAAATATAATTTGGATCGATTGTACTCTATTTAATGAGGGGAGCTAGGTATTTAAAAGTCAAAATACGCGTCTTAATACGAAATTTCAGTTATCTTATAATGCTTCACCGGAAAGTTATTTGTATATCTCTCTTTGAATATACGAGTATTAGCGATTTTACTGGCATATTCATGATTACATGATTTAGAAGAGATAAAGTCCTCTTTCGATTGTCCAAAGAAATATGTCGCTATCAGACAAAACCTAATTTCTGAAAATAGATTACTTTCAATTTATTTTATTTAATGCTAGATCAGATTAACCAAAATATATATATATATATATATATATATATATATATAAATAAATATACTCAGCCAAATTAAAAACTTGACACTGATGAATTTCAACAATTTTTTTTTTCTCGTAAGTCAAATAAATTTTAAAGTGTCTATAACGATAGTAAGTAGTAAGAAGCCTTTAATTTCATAAAATTGTAAAGTCACGTGGATCACGTGACTTTTGAGCATATAAAGATGAAAAACCTGAAAAACACGTGCAAACACAAACTCGTGAGGTCAATCGATGCAAGTTTGCTTAAACTGAACACGCACACGTAACTTGAACTGGAAAAACAAATTAAAATTGTTATTTTCATCTTTGTTAGAAAATGCCGCGCCTTTCAAATGTAGAACGTCTACGTGCTATAGGTAGGCTCTATGTTGGCCAGTCTGTGGTCACTGTTGCAAGAGCCTTTAATTGTTCACGCCAGACAATAATTAATCTTAGAATGAGAGTGCTTCAAACTGGAACTATTGCGACCGCCCAAGGGCGGGAGCGCCACGTGTGACGTCATTCCAGGAAGATCAAGCAATACGATAACGTCATCTTAGAAACAGATTTGTCACTGCAACCTCCACAAGTAGAGAGATGTTTGGTGGAAGTGTAACTGCACACACTGGTCAAAATCGCTTGCAGGCTGCTGGTCTTCGAGCTCGGAGGCCCTATAATGGACCAATAGTGACACCTCTTCATCGCCGTAACCGACTTGTGTGGGCCACAAGACACATAAGATTTACCCAAAGACACTGGATGAACTTTCTCGGCCAATGCAGGGATCGAACACCCGACCTCCAGGCTAGCGCGAGCTAGCGTCTTACCCACTTAGCCACGTGATCCCCCCTATTATCAATAGCATGCTATTCAGTTCATCTAAGAAATATCGGTATATAAAATGTATAAAATAAAGTTGTTACAGGGGCTTAATGCCTTGCTATTCTGAACTGACTGGACTAATCAGCGTCCTACTTTTCCGTACCGACTGGGATAATGAGCGTACTACTTTTATGCACTAATGTGTGTAATATGAGGGAAATTGGACCCGGACAGCAGCTCGGCGGTCTAGTCATTGTTTCGATACTGTCATTATGTGACGATATCGTGTTATTAGGATCTGTACGGCCTATATAAGTCACCATGTGTGATAGTATACATGTATCAGATTTAGAGTAAAAAAAAGTAGAGCAATCTATTGAGCAATCTATTGATAACACAGACACTATCTTTAACGCCCCTTACACATTATTGACATATTACACAATGTCTCTCTCTCTCTCATGGCGTGTTCAAATACTTGTATGTCCAGTTTAACACTCGTCGCAGTCGAAGAGGAAACAGTATGAACTGGATTGATCGAGACTATATTTGAGCTGTGTCGTAATCCAATATATTTATAATGCAGATCATAGCGTACAAATACTCGCGTGACTATGATGAGGAAGCGTTTGAATGTTTATATATAAAATAGTAAGTTGACTAGTTGTAGGCTGATTCTATGGGTAATTGCTCATACAGGCGATAAGATAGAATATTGCTATATATAGTTGAATACATGTAATACCGGTGTGATTCGATATTAAACAACATCTTATTTATAACGAAACCGTATATTTAGTTCAGGTTATGAGGAAATACAAGTGATCGAAAATGATGAAGTTTTTCAGACAAGTTGGTATTTTGTTATGGAAGAATTCTTTAATACAAAGAAGGAAAATCTGTGCGTCGGTTGTGGAGGTGTTATCTCCCCTTCTTCTTGTCACCATACTGGTTCTAATCCGTCTGACGGTACCGGATAATAAAATATATCCTCCTAAAGTATACGAAGCTGTTGATCTTACAATACATGAAAATTGGTTTGGTGGATTGCTATTCTATTACGCACCAAAAACCCCAATAGTCGATGATATTATGCACAATTTTATTACAACCCTTACTAACGATGATGTAAAAGGTTCCAGAAAATGTAAGTACTACCATTTTCTTAATTCCTTGCTTTTTAACAGGTACTCTCTCTTTAATGTGAGAACTCAATCATCATTAGGGCGTAACGGTGATATATTCAAACGTTTTTTTTTTAAATCGGATACAAATTGTGATCTCTAGAGGGACCACAAGCTAAAAACGAGATTTTTCGAAAGAAACCAGATGATAATTGTGACCTCTAGAGTGTACACACGCTAAAAAAAAGTGACTTTTCGTACAATCAGGGGCCATAATTCATGAAGTTTCAATCCGATACATGCCAATATCGAAAGGAACCAAATCTTTTGGGGATAAACCTATATTTCAGGTCTCGTCAAAACCTGTATAGTGTCCACAAACAAATTATGGATGGACGTCCGGACGGACAGGGGTGACTACAATATAGGCCTACATCCATATGAAAATGTGGGTGTATAAAAATATCTATTTGATATAAGGTAAAACATAATACATTGCAATCTGCTAATTACAGTATGAGAACCATATAAAGCAGTGGACACATCAGCCGAATCGTTCGGCCGAATCAATCGGCGCCGAATTTTATTCGGCCGAATCAATCGGCGCCGAATTTTATTCGGCCGAATGGGTGGACACACTAGCCGAATGCTTCGCCCGATTCAACCTGTCGATTGCATCACCATTCACGTCACATGATTAAACATGGCGGCATCTATGGTTTCAATCTATCACGTGACTTCTCGATATGAGTGGTGATTGGCTAATGAATTCTATATTCGGCCGAATGCTTCGGCGAAGTGGACACACCAGGCGAATATAATTCGGCCGAATATATCAAACCTGTTTGATTCGGCCGAACGATTTGGCCGAATCATTCAGCTAGTGTGTACACATAATACATTACAATGGAAACGAGGCTGGGTGAAAATTCTTGGGTGAAAATTATAAATATCATATTATATTAAAACTGACTTGGGTGGAAATTATAAAAAAACAAATTATATTAAAATTGACTTGGGTGAAAATTATAAAAAACAAATTATATTAAAATTGACTTGGGTGAAAATTAAAATTGACTTGGGTGAAAATTATAAAAAACAAATTATATTAAAATTGACTTGGGTGAAAATTATAAAAAACAAATTATATTAAAATTGACTTGGGTGAAAATTAAAATTGACTTGGGTGAAAATTATAAAAAAACAAATTATATCATTTTTCATGTCCCTTATCAGCCACCGTATAAATGATATTTCATATACAGCTTTTGTTTTTAGCGTGTAAGCATTGTTTCCAAAAATAATGCAAATATAAATTTCTTTGATTGCCATTAGTAATTGAACATTAAAACAGTTAAAAAAATAAATTCTGTGTTTCGACGATGGTACCATAATCTAGTAGTTGATATTCCATATTTATTGTTTTAATCTGTAAGCAAAATCAGTTTGTATACGAATTTTATAATCATGTTTGCCATATTGTATCTACAAAGGAACACCCAATCAATTATAACTCAATTTTTTAAGAGAGAGAGAGAGAGAGAGAGAGAGCGAGAGAGAGAGAGAGAGAGAGGGGGAGGGTTAACGCCCACTCGACACAAAATAGGTTATTTCGGGACGAACATATTGTTCAATTTTATTTCAATAATTCGCTTGCGCGTAGGGGTCTTTAGCAGTGGGAGGAAACCGGGGGACCCGGAGAAAACCCACAAGGTTGGATAGGCAACCCTACTCCTTGCCACGTCCAACCAGGAAATAGAAACCACGTCAGTTGACTCAATGGTAGACCTTATGATGCAGCACACACGCGCTAATTATCCTGCCATCCAACTACCCTTATATTTAAATAATATGCATTTCCATATAAACGTCTGACTTCCAATGGTTCTACAGTACACACACCTTTGAAAAGATAGGTAATATTAAATGTAAATCCATCAATGGGGAATGGGTATATAGAACTTAGTTAAAATAGCTATATAATTAATGAAGAGTATTATTTATATAATAAGATTTGTTGGTTAGATCAAGATGCTTGATATTTATTGTTATATTGATATTTCTATCACTGCGATCTAAGATAGTTTTATACTGATTTTCCACACTTTCTATATTAGACTAGGTACATATATAGTGTGTTATTTACTTTTATGAATGTAATCTTATGGGGATATTGTATATTGTATACAAAGCCACTCAGTCATAAATTGTTTATTGTTTGAAATGTATTTTCTACATCTACATCGCTTAACTCTATATCTAAAATGTGTTCCCACGTTTCAATAGCTTTTGATCTACTAGATTTTGTTGTCATTTAACTATATTTTCAAGTAACGTTAAGAAGCTCATTATTTTATATTTTGTAAAAATAATTATTTATATCTTCCAAGGGAGTTTTGTTAAATTTAAACTTTTCGTGTAATGAGCCTACAACTTTGCTCGCGTCCTTTACATACCCCAAGATAGGTTTTTCTATTCTGTTTAAAATAATTTTGTGTTTATGTAAATATTGATTATCTATCTTCTTAATTTTATCAACCTATGAACATAACTACAGAATATTATTGTTAAAAAATACATGAAAATAAGGTGTACTAAATACATTGTACTATGAACATAACTACAGAATATTATTGTTAAAAAATACATGAAAATAAGGTGTATTAAATACATTGTTTATTAATAAGTCTTGTAAAGGGTTTTTATCCATCTGATAAAATTACACCCGAAACAGCACGCTCAAATGGGTCTATAGCCTCTTTAATAGTGAGTGCAGGAGGACCGCACTACACGCAAAACAAAAATCTGCAAGATAAACCTGCGGACATTACAGAAAATAGACATTGCACCAAATAAACAAAGCACCTGGCTTTTTCAAGTTTAAAAACTAATTGTGGATGACCCTGTTGTGGTGGAGAGGTGTGGAAACTTAAATAAACATAGGATTAGACTGTATCATTATTATTATTGTTCATCTATGTTAATAATTGGATATATATTTGTACATACGAATATTGCTCTGTATTATTTTTATATATTGTAAATATCTTTGTTTTCCCCTATTGCACTCTGATTCAAGGGTAATAAAACTTAAACTTTGATTAAATATATGAGATAAGTTTACATGTCATGAGTTAACGAGTATCGTGAATTATCCACTTACCTTCATTCATAATTTACTCATGAACGAATCAAATATATGATTTTACACAATGGTAGGGTGGCCCATGTACTCACAGAAATACAGTCCACCGCTGATAGTTCGAGACTACCACTGAAGCGTGCACATTCGCCGTGCCGAGACCAACTTTCTGACAGTAAGATACTATAAATAGCCATGGCACGTGCAATTCTCTACAAATCTATCAACTATTACAGCCGTAAAAAATTTATTGTTGACGATTTTGAATAGCAGTAAAATTAAGCTTCTTGGTTATTACAGCAGATTTAGAAATTACGTTCGTTTCATTTTTTAAATCGCTTTATCATTAACTGTACCGTTAAGAGCGGCATCTTTTGGTTTAGTACAAATAATATCTCTGAAACACTCAGGTTAGGCAAGAACATGATACTAGCAGTAGTTTCATTTTACTTTTACAAGCTTCTTAAAACGATTGTTGAGCTACCTAACGTGCTTATTTCTAAATTCAATTTCTTGTTCTAGCTTTCTGTTATGTTTCGTAAAAAAGTAGTCTTGATTATCCCGACCTGTCAATCAGACGTAGAATGGTCGATAGACTGGTTAAGCGAGACTAATTTCAAAACAAGGGCACGTAACCTATCTTTTACTCAAAAGTGTCTGGATGTTATGGACGACTCTTGGAACCAGTTTTCAGTCTATTATTTATACGTGATTAATGGCCATAGCTTATTAAGTACAACATGATCGTTTATTTAGTGACTATAATTGTGTGGAACTGATTTGAGGCTTGGCATATATATAAGTATTGTGGCGTAATTGTCGAGATATATGGAGATATTTATTTATGGTGGGTCATCCTAACAATGGACCCTTTGTTCTGACTCGGGTGTTCAAGTTACCGATCAACCTGTAATGTGTTGTTTTAGCACGTGCACAGGTGATCATTTGAGGAAACGTAGGTGTTCATATAGATGAACACCCCAACATACTAACCCGGTGATTGTCAAAACAGACCATGCATTTTCGTGCGTGCACTGTATTATAAAAAACAGGAAACACCGTGTTAGTTACAAAATATAAATACATGCAATTAAAACAATAAATAAATATTTTTTCAGTGTAGATTGTGAAATAGTATCATTAGCTAGAAAACGCATCCAATAGTATAAGGAATAAATACACAAAACCTAGCGAACTGGGATAAATTTCTGTTTGACCATGTTTTAGATAATTTGTAATCTTGTAAAATACCTTTCCTACATCATCGCACATGCTATTTTTTTCGCACATGGTTATTTTGTTCTGTGGCTGACAAATCGTGAATGTAAAACGTATTCCAGTCAATGCAGCATACCCCATTCACACCAAATAATTATTATATTATTCATTGGCCTGTTGTGGATTTTAAAGATAGGTTGCCAGACATCGAAACATACGCCCACAGCAGCTAAGTCGTCCGGGCAGTCAATAAGGGTGTCGCATATTTTTTCTTTTGTGGGGAAGGAGAGAGGAATGGGGTTTAATGTCCACTCGACACAAAAGAGGTAATTTAGGGACTAACGCCAGTTGACTCAATGACAGACGTTATGATACAACGCGCACGCGCTAACCATTCGGCCATCGAACCTCCCTTGTCGGTAAGGAAAACATTTACAACACATTAAAATATAAGTACGAATAACAACCCATTGAGTAATTGTCATACTTGTTTGGCTTCTAATTCTGCCCTATACCGACGTTGAGTACTCAAAACATTAAATATCAAGGGCCACAAATCTGGAAGTCATTATCGGAAATCATTGAAAATCAATAGGATTCTTCGTCTCATGACCATAATTGTTCAGCCTCCAGGGCGTGGACACCGGACGGGAGCGACATAAATATACGACATGTTGACGTATAAAAAGTGCCGAAAACCGGAAATCAGCAAATAGGCTTAAAATACATTTATCCATATACCAATCCAAATTCCTTAAAGTTGTATTTAAAAAACCTGACATTGGAATGATCTGATTTGTATGTATCGTAAATAAACAGGTTTACACTAGCTATATTCAGGTTATGCCCACCCCCTCAATCTGCTGAGTAAACGACAATACGTGACAGTCAAAATAATATATTGATACCTGTTATAGCCGAATTGGTCAAATTATTTTGTGTGATAAAGGGCCTCTGATTTTCGTCTCTCTCGTATCCGTCCATTTTCATTCACTCATTCATCTTCTTACAAAAACAAAGAATCCAGTGTGTAAGTGAGTTATCGACCTTCGATCCTCGGGGTCAAGTTAGATGAACACCCGAGCTCGCGCAATTGAACACTTCGAACCCTAACGCGTTCTTGACTGCTCCTACCATGAGGACAATAGTGGGGGTGGGGTGGGGTGGGATATAGAACATGTATGTTTACAAATATTATTATTTTAACTGAATATGAGTTCTAAGGAATTGTCATCTAATCGTCTACCTAAATATTCTTCCTATTTTGTTTTCTCTAAATGTGTGATAAATCTTCAAATTAATTCATTTACAATAAATATCCATTGACTTTAAAGTATATGAATGAACATTATAGAATAAAGTCAAATTATTAATTATATACTCTTAATTTATAATCATCATTACTCACTTTAAATATTTAATGTGTGATCATCATTACTCATTTTAAATATCTAATGTGTGATCATCATTACTCATTTTAAATATTTAATTTGTGATCTTTGTATAGTTGTTGCTAGTTTAAAATAAAGAAAAGTAGACGTAAATGACTTGGTAGGAGAGAAAAAGAAAAAAAAAGTCTTGTATAATATTAAATTTCTACCAAGAACTGTAAAGTGTCACTGGTTGATTTTTTTTTTTATTATATAATGTTTATTTATATACGTTATTTGGGGGGTGGATGGCTGAATGGTTAGCGTGCGCGCGCTGTATCATAAAGTCTGTCATTGAGTCGACTGGCGTGGTTTCGAATCCCCGGTTGTACGTGGCAAGGAGTAGGGTCGCCTGTCCAACCTCGTGGGTTTTCTCCGGGTCCTCCGGTTTCCTCCCACTGCTAAAGACCCCTACGCGCAAGCGAATTATGTAAATAAAATTAAACCATATGTTAGTCCCGAAATGACCTAGTTTGTGTCGAGTGGACGTTAAACCCCATTTCTCTCTCTCTATATATATACGTTATTTGGTTTGATATTGGAACCCTTTCTCCGATTTTTGAATTGTATATAAAATATATCAGTTAGTAAAGAGTAATTTATCAGACTTGCATATTTCTGGTTATAATTAATTCTAGATAAACGTTATATATGGTGAAATAGAAAATAGCAATATTTTAAACCATGGACTAGTTCTGCTTGTGAGGCTTTCCTTATCCAAGCAAATCAGACGAACATGGTGAATCTAAATATTATGTAATAAATATATTAAAACTCATGGTGTTAAGTGTGTTTATGCTATAACTCCACTAGCCATGGTGTAATATTATTTTCATGTTTTTATTTTTAGACAATGCTACTGGATTTATTAGTGAGGCTGACTTATTGAAATATGCCACAAATAACTCGGACTATTTAGAAATGGCGTTCGTGTTTGACAACATAACTACAGAAACTAAGACTCTACCCAGAAACGTACAATATGCTTTAAGGCCTAAATCTAATAACGATTGGAATACAGGTTCTAATTTTCCTGTTTTTGGAATGCAGGATGGATCTTATAGTACGAATGATGGTAGGTAGATTATTAAACATATCATTAATTATTTAATCATCCACTGAATATAACAGGATTTATACCTATGTTGTCAAATATATTTACATGACATTACACATGGAATATCAACAAATTCAAAACTGACGCAAGATTTTTAACTCCACTCTCCGAGTTCACAAAACATTCTCAGACTTAAGTTAAGAATTTACTCAAAATTGTTCGCCTTATTATAGCCCTTTATAAAATTTTTGTTGTTTTAATGTATACATACATCAATAAGAAACTATATGCAATTTTTTTGTGTTTTTGGACCAGAGATATTTCTCATAAACAGTAATTGAAAGATGAGTCTGAAAATGCTTTGTGAACTCGGGGCGTGATGTCCTGTTTACCATGTTGTGTTTTCTATATGTAATCTTAACTTTTAACTCCAGATGTCCTCTTTACCATGTTCTCTTATCTTTTAACATATAACATATAAGTTGTTCAATTGTTCTTTAGAATCAAGGATTGATTTTCACATATCGAAAATATATTGTTTAATTATTATCTTTACCATCCGCGCATAATATCATAAAACAACTATAATTAAAGCAACTTGAAGTTAACTTGTAGTTCTAGAAGTTAACTTGTGGTTCTAGAGGTTAAACGTGGGGTTCTAGAAGTTAAACTTGTAGTTCTAGAAGTTAACGTGTGGTTATAGAAGTTAACTTGTGGTTCTAGTTTTCTAGTTCGTTATTCACCAGATATAGAATAGGTAATATCATAAAGGCACTTTTTTAGGGAATACGTCGGGTGTGTTTGGATTATATTTATATCACTTCACAGTGGACTATAATAGGATTAAATATAACGGGAATACACCATTAACAATAAACTAGTTTGTGGTTCAGATACAGAATTTGTAATATAATTATTATATCCATCATCTATCTGAAAATAAGGATCTATAATTCATATGAAAACATTAATAATAAAATACCAGAATCTAGTATTCCTATGGAAAAAAGAGTAAGTATTCCCTGGACCATAATCAAATAATAATAATAATAGCCCTAATAATATAAACCAGAATAATATAGAGTAAGTATTCTCTGGACCCTAATTAATAATATCCCTAATAATATAATAGCAATGATAAACCAGAGCTATCACTTATGTGATAATGTAATAATATAATAGCAATGATAAACCAAAACTATCATTTATTTGATAATGTAATAATATAATAGCAATGATAAACCAGAACTATCATTTATGTAGTAATGTATTAACGTAATAGCAATGATAAATTATCGCTTGTGTTGAATGGGTTCTATGGCAGCACTACTGACATAATATCAGAATTCTGATCAAGACACTTCCAATTGGATATCTTGTATATTGTGTTGTCAACATGGCTATCGGGAAGTTATGCAGTTTTAGGCTTGTCAATAGCTTTTTATATTGTTTTGAGAAAGGTTTGCGAATTGATTAACCCACAGTTACAATATCTGTCATAAATGTCTGTTATTTCCTTTCAGAATATATCAGAGAAAGATTTGTGCATTATCAAAGATATTTGGATGCCGAGATTATCAAATACTGGGTACCAACATCTAATTTAACAGATTATGACTATTCCATCCAACAGATGCCTTATCCGGCATATGAAAACGATCAAACCATATCGTCTGTTCAGTTCATGTTTCCTCTAATACTGTGTTTTAGTTTTATCGTTAGTGTCTTCATCACAGCTAAAAATATCATCTATGAAAAGGAGAATAATTTGAAGGTACAGTTTTAAAAATATATATTTGTCGGTTTTATGTTATTATTATGTTATATGAGAAAATACAATTCCAGAGAATGGGACCCAGGAAATATTCACATTACATCATAGATTTGCTTTACTTGTCATGGACCTAGTAGTTTCTTTGTCTCGTTTATTTACTTTACTTGTTATGAACTCTTCGATTCAATTTCCTAAGCATAGGCGTCTCTATTTAATTTACATGGCGTGAAACCAGCGATTGAATTTAGTATAATCATCGCTGAATGTTGGCGAATGCCGCACAGGTGTTGAGTATTCTTCCTTGAACAATAGCCGTCAGTTGAAACAAAACACCTAAAACATTTGTTAATTCGCTTACACAAAGATATATACATTGTTGCCAATATGATCTGATCAGCTGCAATAAACCACCCAAGTTCTTCTACTTAAAGATCTCTCGTTGCTCCAACAGAAGTCTATTTTGTTTTAGAATAATCTCTTTTCATTCTAGGAATCGATGAAAATGATGGGCCTGACAAGTTCAGCGAATTGGACGGCGTGGTTTTTGACAGTGTTTATATACCTATTTGTAGCTGTGGTATTTTATACGATGGTTATGTTAATACCAATAGAGGGAAAGAGTCGTGTTCTAGCCCATTCAGATATGTCGGTCATCTTTGTGTTTCTGTTGTGTTATGTTACTTCTATTATATCATTTTGTTTTCTAGTCAGCGTTTTCTTTGATAGAGGTAAGTGGATTCTCAATCTTTTCAAATAAATATGCTTACCACCAAGTACTGCTCCCAACAGGCGATGGCTTAAAGAGTAATAAATCCAACAACTAATTAACCAAATAACCACGAAACAATGGTTAAATTGATTACGAAGGTGTAATTATAATTTGTATGTACAGAAAGTGTTATAATATTTTGAGTTCTGGGTATTCGAGGGTGCATTATAATAAAACTCCGGGTATTCAAAGCCACAATAATACTTCCGGTATAATACTTCCGGTATTGAGGCAATGGAGCTTTTCGACATGCTGTGGAATCAGGCATATTGTTTTGATCCCGTGCCATGTCAGAGTCCACTGTATATTGAGTGTTATCAACAGGATACTCTAGTTTGAAATTCAAATTGAAATGAAAATTATATCTGCTTTAATTCTCATATTTTATGTAATGTTTTTCAGCAAATCTTGGAGCTTCTGTTACTGGAATTTTATACTTCTTGTCCTTTGTGCCATTTTTTGTTATCTTTGTAAAGTACAAGAGTATGAGCCGAAGTGAAAAACTTGGTGCAAGTATTTTGTCGAACACAGCTATGGGGATTGGAGGATATATCATTGGATTTTACGAACAGATAGGTAATCTTCTTTTTTCATTGCCCCCCCCCCCTTCATACCGGGACATTTACGAACCTTACCGGAACGGCTTACAAGCTTTATGTCATCACCAAATTTTCCATCGATTTATTTGTCACTTAAATATACATTATGCAAGAGCTAAATCTGCCTATTTCAGGTCTTTCTCTAGGCTTGAAATGTTATATAAACTATTAATTAGACATTAATTAACTTATCCAAACCATAATCTACTTTCGATATCATCTTATGTGTCGGATTTTCACTGGATTTGAATCTGATCTGCTGTACTATGTTTTTTTTATCGTACCGACTTTAGTAATATCGATCGAGGCTAGGCTTAAAATTCAAAAGCTAATTTCTCGGTTCCGAATGGAACAATGTTACTGCAAGTTTCAACATATTCTATTTACTTTATCTATTTCTTAACTATGATAGCGAGAACAGTCAACTCTTTATCTAATCTCCCATAATGTATCTTTAAACAAAATGCTGTTGAAGTTAGTCTTAAGTGTCTGCCGTGTATCACAGCCATTTATGGCTATTTGGAGCGGCTTCCGCCAGACGATAAAAACAAGGCACCGTTCTCCGATTTCCAACACCTCGATGGGTCAGATTTATTTTAGAATTTTCAACCGAAACCCCTTATATTATATATTTATCGAAAGTCTTTAAATTAAAATTCCACATTGTCCCTATGACCTTCTGATCGTTGTCATGGAAACAGTAGGACTAGTGATGCATTCTTAGAAATAACAGGTCGGATTGATTAATTTATGTATCCATGTAAGGTGATATGTGTTGTTTATAGGTGAAGGTGTTCAGTGGAGCAACATAGCTTCTCCAGCATATTTCCAGGACAATTATTGCATGTTAGACGCCATGTTGATGTTGCTAGGTGACAGTGCTATTTACCTCACAATAATGTGGTATATTGAAAATGTTCATCCTGGAAAACATGGAGTCCCAAGGCCATTGTATTTTCCTTTTACGGTAAGTTCAATTTATTACTATGTCTGTGCGTATGACTAGGAACAGGCGTTTAGTTCCGTCTTTTATTTTTGACTAGACTAACAAAGACTAACGAAGACTAACGAAGACTGATAAAAAAAAGTCCTTGACCTCAAACTCAACTACGTTTATAAAATAATTGTTTGGGTTGTTTGGAGATATATATTACTATTTACCAACTTGAATATATTTTAGAGAAGTTACTGGTGTGGAACAAGCCCTGTATACTACAATAAAAATAAGCAAACGCCGAAAGACTCAAAATTCTTTGAGAAAGAACCAACTGGATGTCAGGCTGGGATAGTGATATCCGACCTTACAAAGGTACTTTCTTATTTTAATATTAAAAAAAATAATTTAAAACTGCTGTTGACTTAGGTTTCTAGTAATTGAAGAATAAGAATCAATTGACTTCTTATACTTCTAATCTATCCAATTCACAGTAGACCAAACAGTCATACTCTATATCTAATGCACAATTCTCAGTGATGAATACAACCGATATCAAAATAAACTAAAGAATATGGAATGAAAATTAAAATAAAACCATCGATATGCTAATAAATTCTAAATTCACCTTAAAGAAATCAATTAATACCCAGATTAGTGTAAGATACTAAATAAATTAATTATATGAATTTTAGGAGTTTAAATCTAGAGGTGGAAAGAAGAATATAGCTGTTGATAATATGAATCTGAACGTGTATCAAGGGCAGATAACTGTGTTATTAGGTCATAATGGCGCTGGTAAAACTACAACCATGTCAATGTTAACTGGTATGTTGTATTGTATAGTCCAGAGTATTAAATTCAGTGAAATTAGAATTAGTGATCTGTCATAATCTCTAGATTGTGTTTTAAAAACTTTGTTTTCAGGTTTAGATTACTTTGTGGATAGTGGAACACAAAATCTGCTATTTGGCACCATGACACCATTCAATACCTACATCTAGTTAGCACAAATATGAAATGTCCCCGACATTCTTGCCATTTTTGTTGGCGATAAAGGTTTATATTATATTTCTGCCAGGGTTTGATGAATGTTCATGAGGTGGAAGGATTGGTTACGTTGATATGTAAGGCGAACAGCTGTATGCCCACTCGCATGCTACTTCCAGTTTGTGTATCACAATATTTTTAAAGTGAATCTCAAACATGCTTTTGAGGAAGAGGTTGCCACGTGTTGGATCATTTGTGGTAGAATGCGTTCAACCAGACGAAAATGTGGAAAACAGTTAAAGGCCTTCACAGAGACTAGAATTGGCCAACACTATTTGCGAGATCACCTAGGCTACGACCCAAAAACTTAGTAGTGTGGTCAAGAGTTTTACCTGTAATTGTACATTTTGTTTTCAGGTTTTATTCCACCAACATCAGGTAAGGCGACCCAAAAACATAGTAGTGTTGTCAAGAGTTTTACCTGTAATTGTACAATTTGTTTTCAGGATTTATTCCACCGACATCAGGTAAAGCGACTGTAAACGGTCATGATATAACAACTGATATAGATGGTGTTAGAGAAAGCCTGGGATTATGTCCACAACATAATATACTCTTTGATACCCTAACAGTAGATGAACATCTAGAATTCTTCCTATTGGTAAGATATCTATTACATACTGTCCATCATATAGTAGATCTACATCTGATCACACCTGATGTAGATAAACATTTACAGGATAGAGTATTTGATAGTTGATAGGTTAAACACTCTCAGATTACCTTGCTGTTTGTTTTATTCGTCCAACCTCCTGGGGTTTCTCTGGGTCCTCCGGTTTCCTCCCACTGCTAAAGAACCATATGCGCAAGCGAATTATTGAAATAAACTTGAACCATATGTTAGTCCCAAAATGACCTAGTTTGTGTCGACTGGACGTTAAACCCCATTTCTCTCGCTCTCTTGTTTTATTCCAAACTTCACTAAACTACTTTCGTTTCAGCTAAAGGGAGGTAATCGAACTATGGTAAAACAAGAGATACAGACTACAATTCAAGAAATTGGATTAGAACCGAAACGAAATACTCGATCCCAGAACCTGTCTGGTGGACAGAAGAGAAAATTATCACTTGGCATTGCTTTAATTGGTGGATCACAGGTAATAGTTAAATTTAATTGAAACACTTTTGTTTAATTGAAAGAACCAATTTCAGTTGGATTTGTTTCCCTATTCTGAAGGTTAGCTAACTTGTTTTTTTTAAAAATAAACTAAATCATTGTTTTTTATCATCCTAAATATATCTGTTTTATACAAAATATCATTTTGGACTTTATTTTCAAATAAGATGTTTCCCCATTTAAAAGGTCCACTTAATATTGTTGAATGTTTCTAAATAGTCCTTTCATCTAAAATATATACTATCCCTAGATAGTCATCTAAAATATATACTATTCCTTTTTGTTAACAACAGACTGTTATTTTGGACGAACCTACATCAGGAATGGACCCGGCAGCAAGAAGACAAACTTGGGACATTCTACAAAGAAACCGATCTTCAAGAACGATTCTGCTTACAACTCATTTTATGGACGAGGCTGATCTGCTAGGAGACAGAATCGCCATAATGGCGGATGGAAGAGTTCATTGCTGTGGAGGATCCCATTTCCTGAAACAGCTTTACGGTAAGCCCCGTTAATGTGAAAGATATTAATGTCCGATATAAAACAGAACATTAAGACAACATTAACGGTCGCCGGAAAAGCTTCATAGTAAGATAGACTAGAATATGAGCGGAAGGACTAAAATGACGTCACGGATAGCTTATTGACGGAAAGTTACGAATACTCACGGAGAACGGCGAAAATTACTAACGTTGAAATTTACCTGTTGCAGGTAATATTGACATTCGGGTTCGTGTTATACTTACGGAAAGGATATGTTGACATAATTACTTGCATTATTTAAAAAAAAAATTGAAGCTTTTCCGGTAACCTTTAAGTAATCTCTGTAAATTATAGGCTATATCCAGGGTTTGTATGTTGATAAGGAGTATGGGTTAGGGTTAGGTTGTTTTTTTTCAATCGAATTGTTGAAAAGGAGATATACATGTATGAGTACTATATACCAGAATCTCAATAGGCTGGTTAATGTCGAGTGTATGCTGGCTATTTATGAAACAAGAGCTGGAATACTCCTGGATCTTATACTTAACCTTGAGGGACACCAATACAAATTACAAGGGACGATTAAACAGATGTTAGGTAATTAAGCTTTAGCTAAAGACTAAGTCCTGTGATTTTTATAAATTACTTATCTCGTAATATCTTTTTTGTAGGAAGTGGTTATCATTTAATCATGGTGAAATCAGAAACATGTGATGTTAGTGTGGTGACGCAACTTGTCCAGAGTCACATCCCATCAGCTACCCTGGAGAGTGAGATTAGTGCTGAGATATCCTACCTTTTACCCAATGAAGCTTCTCCTAAATTCTCTCCTCTCTTTAAAGACATCGAGATAAAGAAAGACGAGTTGGGTATTAATAGTTTTGGCACCACTGCCACCACTATGGAGGAAGTTTTTCTCAAGTACGTATGTGGATTGATAAAATACGATTTGATAAAGTTGACCGTAACCAGTCATAAAACTAAAACGTTCTTTGGGCGAATTTGACAACAGGGTAAAATCAGCATGTGTTCATGAATATAAAACTTATGACATTTCTAGCTGAAACATTTTGCTATATGTTTGTATTTCGGTTTTAAGGGTAGGAAATGAGGTTGATGATGTGGCTGACAATGATGAAGATGATAATGCTAGACTCTACAGGTTTCAAAATCTAAGATACACCAACAATGAATTACCAGAAACATCGTCATCAAATAATATTGACGTTGAAGAAGATATTCTTGGTAAATATATTTTATTTTACCACCCTATGATATCTTTTATCACGAGATGCATATGCGGTTCTTACAAATGTAATATTTATTTTGACATTGGGGTTAAGTTTGGCATATTATAATTTACATGTTGTTTAAAAGATAAGACCTCCCGACTACAGGCTCCAATTCCACTAGGACCACATGACCATATATATAGCCTCAATACTATGGCTTGTAAACAGTTGCCGTAGTAATTCAAAATTACACAGGATCTTGAAGATTCATCAAAACTTACGACAAACGATGAGTTATGTACCAAGAGCTACGAAAGTTCTGTCCTTGGATTGGTCTGATCTTGGTCCGGCTTACATAGTTTTAGGAAAATTTAGAACTTTCTGGAACAAATTTTCCACAACTTACCAAAACGCTTCGCCCTTTTGTAGAACCCTCCATCCTTTCCTATAACCATCCACCCTTTTCTAGAACCCGCCATAACTTTCCAATTATTTCTAAACACTAATTCCAGAAGTTTCCGTGGTTTCTAGAAGTTTCCAAATGATGATTCTAGAAAGTGCGATCGCCTAAAATGGTAATAAACGATGGTTTTCAATATATTATCATGACCACGTCACAACAAAGTACAGCAAAAATTGGTTATTAGCCACGCACAGCATTTCTTATAATCATAATGATGTCTATTGAGGATACTGAGAAGTCTTGTTACATCAGGGACTTTCTATCGCCCAGATACATGCTTTGTCGTTCCTAGTTGGGTATACTGGTTACAGATAGAGCTTGACTGACCACAGATACATGCTGTGTCGTTCCTAGCTGGGTATACTGGTTACAGATAGAGCTTGACTGACCACAGATACATGCTGTGTCGTTCCTAGTTGGGTATACTGGTTACAGATAGAGCTTGACTGACCGCCAGTTGGGTATACTGGCTACAGATAGAGCTTGACTGACCACTGTGTCGTTGCTAGCTGGGTATACTGGTTACAGATAGAGCTTGATTGACCACTGTGTCGTTGCTAGTTGGGTATACTGGCTACGGATAGAGCTTGACTGACCACTGTGTCGTTCGGGTACCCATCTTTATATAGTCTCCATAGGTTATTAATGAATCTAATTTTTGTTACTTTTCAGCTTTTAATCAGGGTTTAAGAAAAGTTACAGGAATACAACTTGAGCTGCACAGGTTTTATGGCATGTTTATAAAGAAAGCTATCCATACCTGGAGAAACAAACTAGTCACTGTATTCCAGTTCCTGATTCCCGTTTTATTTACCATTCTAGCGCTAGCTGTATCAATTGATACCCCGAATTATTATACAGAACAGGGTCAACAACCATCTTTAACATTGGACTTAAAACCATTTAGTAGTTCTATTACTGCTTATGGCGAGTCGGCCAGTTCAAATGTAACCGATGAATTGAGTAACAAATATTCGGGACTGTTTTCAGCAGGGGAGGCAACCGAACATGTAACACATCAACAAGCCCAAAACTTCACAAAGTATTTCCTGGATATGGCCAAACAGTTAAAAACAGACGTGTATACGAGTAGGATGGTAATAGGAGCCGATTTTGTTTCAGTTAATACAAAAACAACATCAATTAGAGGTTTTTATAATGGGAAACCATATCATTCGCCTGGGATTGCTGTTTCATTTATGATGAATGCCTTAGCTAAAGTGGTGTCTTCAGACGATACTGTTTCCATAACAACTCGGAATCACCCCTTGCCTCAACCAACTTCCAATAATTATGATTATGGTAGTGATTCTGTTACTAACGGGTTTCTCATTGGATTCTGTATGATGTTTGGGATGTGTTTTCTAGCCAGTAGTTTATCAGTATTCCTTATTAAAGAAAGACAAGTTGGCGCTAAACATCTACAGAAAGTCAGTGGTGTGGGACCAGTCGTTTATTGGTTGGCTAACATCACGTGGGATTTTATTAATTACATGATGCCATCTCTGCTTATTATTATAGCTTTTGCCAGTTATGGAAACGTTGAATTTAATTCTGGATCAAATCTATCCTACGTATTTCTGGTTCTGTTCATGTATGGCCTGGCTGTGATACCATTTATATACACGTTACAATTTATGTTTAAAACGCCACCTGGTGGAATGGCAGCCATTATTATATTCAGCATTTTTTCTGGTAATTATTCATTTTATGTTTCCCCTTTTACACTGGTAAGCTGTCACTGTTGACTTATGAACCTGGACCTTTTAGTAATAACAATTGTTGTCATTAAATCGTATAAGTGGTCATTATTATAAAATATTGTTTATTGTGTTTAGAAAGTGGTTAGGCATCATACAGTTGAATACACAATCGATACCAGCCAACACCTCCTTTTGACAGTGTAGGACCCCTGGCCTATTCCTTTTATGATCTCTGGTTATAGAGAGTGTAGATCCTCTATTCCTTTTATGACATTTAGCTAGGTAAAAAATAAATATCCACAGATATAACATTGTCTGTGTTCAACTCTTGACCCAAAGATGCTGATCAGAGAGATTTAATTCATTTAACCGTAGTCATACATGTAAAACAAACAATATAATATAAACGATTGTTTCTTTTACAGGGGCACTGTCAATAATGACCGTATATATTTTAAGTTTACGACCTGATCAACGAGAGACGGCACAGACTCTTGATGTTCTATTTTCAATGTTGTTACCCCACCACAATCTCGGATTATCATTGTTAAACATCGTCACGAATTACAACAATTTAGATTATTGCTCTGAAAATCCATGTGATAAAACACAGATGTATAGCTCCTGTTGTCCAGGTAAGATCAGTATCTTATTTAAATATCCGACTCACTGAAAAATGAACCGATATTCCGCATTGGAACAGAACTTTAATCCTGGCATTATGCTATGATACATCTAGCAATGGTGCCCCCGATAAACACGCCCTTATTGGCTTAAAATGGTTAATCCAGAAACTGTATAAGTGCTGTAAGTTATTGGGGTTGGGTACGCGAGTGACCTAACCCGTGTATTGCCTTAAATTCGTACCACAATGAAAGGTAATAAAACAACAAAATAATTCGTGTTTTCAATGTGTAATACTTTGGATGATATTGAGTTAGAGACTTAGCTACTTTAAAGGTAACATGGGCTTTCTTATTTCACACCGCCATCTTGATACGAGAACAAATCGAATTACCACGGATTTCGTATCCTTCATAAATTCATTATTAGCTAGACAGGCCGAGACAGACATTTTCAGAGTCCTCCTTCTGCCTGAACAATGTCAATTAATTTGAGAGCCTGCCAAGGACAGCTGTCTAGTCGTTCGGATGGGACGAAACACCGAGGTCCCGTATACACATTGGCGTGCACATAAAAGATCCATTGACAGTTGGAATTCGATATTAGAGTAGGCAAAATTTCCCTCATGGCATGGCACACTGTATGGCGTATACCCGTCTTCATTAGTCCAGTTCTGAGCAGAACAGTAGGACGCTAAACCTCCAGTTCATTTCATTTCATTTCATTTCATTTTCAATTAATTTGGTAATTTGTATAATGGTTTTACTTTTCAGAGGGTTGCCACGACTTTTGTAAAAAATACGAAAGTAATTACCTGTCCCTAAATCGACCCGGTATTGGATTATATATTCTCATGATGGCCGTTCAATCTGTATTATATTTCTCCATTACTTTGTGTATCGAAGGTCGTATACCTCAAAGGATTTGGTACTATATTAGACCCAATCAACAGCACGCAGAATCTATTGTAAATCCAGCCTACACATATTATGGTGGACAACAAACTGACAGTGACGTAACAAGCGAGGCTAATCGTGTTCAAAATATGGACATGGATCGACCTACGGATTCCTTCATATTGAATGATCTGTATAAAAGATATGGGAATTTTGTGGCCGTGGATCATATTAGTGTTGGTATACCGGATAAAGAATGCTTTGGTCTCCTGGGACAAAATGGCGCTGGTAAAACAACAACTTTTAAAATGTTGACTGGTGATGTAATGGTTACCAGTGGCAACGCGTATTTGAACTCAAACGACATAAAATCCAGTATTCAAAAGGTGAAGTTATTTTATGAAAACGTAACCGAACATATTCTGTATAGAAGCTCCTATTTGTATACCGCCCTTCGTGCATCTGCCCAAATCTGTAAGGTCTGACAAACATAACATGCATGTGTAAGAGCTCACAATGTTTCTAGTTTAGATCTTGAAACGTTTCAAATTATTTAATACAAGAAAATAATGGTAAAGTCTGGCCGTTTAACCAATGTCTAACCACGAGTTATTGAAACTTGTTTAATAATATATAGGTACAAGAGAATATGGGCTACTGTCCACAATTTGATGCTCTGATAGATCAGATGACTGGAGTAGAGACATTATATATGTATGGAAGACTAAAAGGGATACCAGAAAACCAACTAAAGGGCGTGGTTTATAGTTTAATTGATATATTGATGTTAAAGAAATATGCCAATAAATTAACACAAGTATACAGGTGAGTAAACAAATTAACACAGACATACAGGTAAGGGATGCACATGTTGGGGTTGTGTTAAAAAAATAGATCATGAAACGGGAATATGTTGAACATTTCAGTCAAATTACTTTACTCTGGGTCTAGTTACCGTTGTTACGATAATAAACATAGTCTCGATTTTCCATTTTTACGGCAACAGCATCAACCGCAAAATGGTTAATAAATGTCTTATTAATAATTTATATAACATTTAAGGCCTAAAGAAAGACCTACAATAAACTTATTGCCTGTTTAACAGTAGTGATAATGAACACATGTATTGGATTTATATCACGTGACTTATTTTAATTACAGTGGTGGTAATAAACGTAAACTAAGTACAGCTATAGCTTTAATTGGTGATCCGGGGTTTATTTTACTGGATGAACCTTCAACTGGTGTTGATCCCAAGGCCAGACGGCAACTGTGGAATGTTTTATCTAAGGTTCGAGCTAGTGGGAAAACATTGATACTCACTTCACACAGGTACGTGCTGTTACTCACTTCACACAGGTACGTACTGTTACTCACACAGGTACGTAATGTTACTCACTTCACATAGGTACGTACTGTTACCCACTTTACACAGGTACGTACTAATACTCACTTCACACAAGCACGTACTAGCATTAAGAATTTATTATAATCATAAGTGTTGTAATTATCAACCTAGCATGTTGTAATTATCAACCTATCATGTTGTAATTATCAACCTAGCACGTTGTAATTATCAACCTAGCACGTTGTAATTATCAACCTATCATGTTGTAATAATCAATCTAGCACGTTGTAATAATCAACCTAGCATGTTGTAATTATCAACCTAGCACGTTGTAATTATCAACCTAGCACGTTGTAATTATCAACCTAGCACGTTGTAATTATCAACCTATCATGTTGTAATAATCAATCTAGCACGTTGTAATAATCAACCTAGCACGTTGTAATAATCAACCTAGCATGTTGTAATTATCAACCTAGCACGTTGTAATTATCAACCTAGCACGTTGTAATTATCAACCTATCATGTTGTAATTATCAACCTATCATGTTGTAATTATCAACCTATCATGTTGTAATTATCAACCTAGCACGTTGTAATTATCAACCTATCATGTTGTAATAATCAATCTAGCACGTTGTAATAATCAATCTAGCATGTTGTAATTATCAACCTAGCATGTTGTAATTATCAACCTAGCACGTTGTAATTATCAACCTATCATGTTGTAATAATCAATCTAGCACGTTGTAATAATCAATCTAGCATGTTGTAATTATCAACCTAGCATGTTGTAATTATCAACCTAGCATGTTGTAATTATCAACCTAGCATGTTGTAATTATGACAATACACCAACACATCAATTTATAATAGTTACCTGTGAAATACGGACAGGTATATATTCTCCTTTCCCGGTCATAGATATTTATGGAAATCTGATTCAGTTATTTTGTTTATCTTATAGCATGGAGGAATGTGATGCTCTGTGTACAAGAGTAGCCATCATGGTTAATGGAAGTTTCAAATGTTTAGGAAGTCCACAACATTTAAAGAATAAATTCGGTCAGGGCTACACCTTGATCTGTAGAATGAAAACCAATGAAGATGATGGAGTGACGTCACCAATTGAGCCATTGGTGCAGTTCATTAAAAGTAATTTCCCATCAGCCATTGTGTTTGATGATCACCAAGGTTACGCTCATTTCCAGATTCCGGATAATAACACACCTTTAGCAGGTGTATTTGATGTGATGGAAGAATCAAAGAGTGAATATTCCGTAGAGGATTATTCTGTTCATCAGACAACTTTAGAACAAGTATTTCTGGCTTTTGCTGGAAAACAAATTCCACCACATGAAGATAAAATTTCTATTTGTAAACGTATATGTTGTTGTTGCTAGGGAAACCAATTGATATCTAATCTATGATAGGTAACCGATTGATTGTTGATTGGAAGTGATCGTGTAAGCACCGTATCGTAACTCACGTACCATATTGTTCATATAGAGGACGAATGTTATGATTTTAGCGAAACGAAGAAGTTGTAAGAATTGACGTATTAGTTGTCATACAAGATAGAAAGAGATGATATGTGTATATATTTGTTTATTGTTGATACGAATATGTATGCATCGTAATGATACTAATTGACATATTTATTTATTGTTGGTAAATATGGATGCATATGTGATTAAGTGACGGATATAAATAATTTTTGTGAAATCCAATTAATTTATTTTAAAAATAAATACTCAATTGGTATATAATATAAGGCTATTATGGAATGTAATGAACGACGGTATCATTAACAAGTTCATGTGACACTATCAATAACTTTAAACGGGCGGGGGACTCAAAGTGGTTGGTGCGTATCTCGCACCTAATCGTGGTCAATGCATAGTCAGTTCACCCAAGTACGTGTTGTCTGTGCACCCCACATTGGGTTCAAACAAATGTCATGTATATTCATGTTAACACCTAATATAGCTTAAACTTATTATCACCCAAATAATCACTTTAGTCTCAGATGAATCAGCAATTATCTATCTATATTATTGTTTTGAAATAAATATATCACAGTTGTCAGTTCTAGAAACACTAAGGAATAATGTTCACCATTTATTTATCCGAAATTGATCCTCAGTCCATGTCACAATTTGTGTCCGATTTTGACGAAACTTGAAATATAGCTCTATTTACCAATGACCTTGGTTCCCTTCGATATTGGCATGTATCGGAATGTAACGTCATGGGTTATGGCCCTTAATTGTGCGAGAAATCACATGTTTAGCTTGCGGGCACTGTAGGAGTCACAATTGTTATCCGATTTGAAAAATCGAAACGAAACTGCCGGTTCTCGTGCGCAAATAGTGTAAAAGTATGTAATACCAAGGTCGTTGACCCTCTAGAGGTTACAATTTTGATCCGACTTTGATGAAACTTCCATTATATGTTTATATTTACACCCCAAAGATCTTGGTTCCTTTAGATATTGTACATGTCGGACCGTATCATCCTGGATTATGGGCCCTGACTGTAAGGAAAATGGCTTTTGTTAGCTTGTTCTCTGTTCATCACTTGCTTAATGTGGGCGTATTTTGCAACAATTTATTAGTTAATAGTAAAGCTATTTATTGTACACTATCTTGGAATAAAGTCACATTTAATTATTTTCAGAAAGTAATATGGCTTTGTATTGCGGCTCCCCCGCTAGCTACAGGCCCGCGAGTGGACAGAGATGCAACGAAACCAATGGTGCTATCGATTAATAAATAAAGGGAAATAACTCCTCGTATGTTCAACATGATGGTGTAAATGCAATGAAATGGGGTTTAACGTCCTACTGTTCAGCTCCGACTGGGCTGCTGAAGACGGGCATACGTCATATGGTTTGTTATGACGGAAAGTTTGCCCGCGCAGCGGCACTATGGCCTATTCTTATATCGAATTTCAACTGCCAAAGGATCTTTAACGTGTACACCAATGTATACACGGGACGTCCATATCAGACTCCCCGTCCTGCAACACTGACAAAGGGAAACCATGGCGTAACCATGGTGATTAACATCCTACTGTTCTGCTCCAACTAAGTTAATGAAACCGAGCATACACCATACGGTGTGCTATGAGGAAAATTTTAACCGGACAGCGGCGCAATGGCCTACTCTTTTATGTGTACACAGGACCTCGGTTTGTCGTCCCATCCGAACGACTATACGTTGTATAGACCAACAATTGATTTTATGTATTCGTCTGTTATTTCCATTTCCTCTCCCTTATTTTTTAATGCAAATTTGTTTTCTGTCAGGCTTTGTCGTGTTTTGAGTAGGTAAACAGACACTAATTAGGTAAATCACGCACATAAATCTCACAATCTATTCACGCGAGATCGCTGTCGCCCTTTAATGGTTTATCCGATCAAGTGGTTATAAAGATAAAGATCATCGGTATTTTTGAAAACAATTTTATAGAAAAAGCAATGGCAGGAATATATAAGATCAGATAAAATTTGATTGTATCTTAACACCCCATTAGACTATTAGAGACAACATACAAATACAAACAAAACATTAGGCTACCTACCTGCGCTACAGCATTATCGATGGCAGGAATATAACGTTTAGATGAAAACAATTTTATAGGAAAAGAAATGCGAAGGACTATAATTTTGAAATGAATGGGGAGAGAATTACTACTAAAGAGAGAGAGAGAAATGGGGTTTAACGTCCACTCGGCACAAACTAGGTCATTTAGGGACTAACACATGGTTCAAATTTTTTATTTCAATAATTCGAGTGTGCGTTGGGGTCTTGAGCAGTGGGAGGAAACAGGGGGACCCGGAGAAAAGCCACGAGGTTGGGCAGGCGACCCTACTCCTTGTCATGTTTAACCGGGGAATCGAAACCTCACCAGTTGACCCAATGACAGACCTTATGACATAGCGCGCAGGTGCTAACCATTCGGCCATCCCCTACTGCTAATGAATGAATGAATGAATAGGGTTAGAATTACTACTGATGAATGAATGAAGGGGAAGATAAATACTACTAATGAATGAAATTGGGTTTTCTGCACCAACTGGGATAATAATAATAATAATAATAATATAATAAATTTATTAAGCGCCTGCATTCCAGTAAAAATTACGGCTCCGCGACGCTATAACATTTTGTTAAATAAAAAAATAAAAAATGAACTATACATATAATCACGGAAATTTAAGAAATATGGAGTTATTAAAATGACAGCGCAAGCATTATATAAAACTAAGCTAAAAAGTTCCGTTATTATAGGTCATCACAATCGCTACATAAAACGTTGTTAACAATGAAGAATCGTAAACACGATACACAATATTATGGGGCAAATGTTGCCCAGACAGCTATTGAATTCACACTGTTAAGGATTCTTTTATGTGAACGCCGACGTGTACAAGCGACATCGTGTTTTCATCACAGCCTATAGATTCCTTTGACCGAGCGTAGACAAGAGAAAGAAGAAATGTTGGTTAACAGGTTGTTAGGGTAAGTTCTTCTATATCTACACTATATTTTATAAAGTTGTCCAACTGACAAGGATAGAATTATTGATAATTATATTGTTATAATTTAAAATATGATAGAGGAGAATTACTTACATACAGAAGGAGCGAAGAGAAATGGTGTTTAACGTGCACGCGACACAAACTAGGTCATTTCAGGACTAACATATGGTTCAATTTCATTTCAATAATTCGCTGGCGCGTATGGGTCTTTACCAGTGAGAGGAAATAGGAGTACTCGAAGAACCCCCACGAGGATGGACAGGCGGGGATTCGAAACCACGCCGCTTGACTCAATGGGAGACCTTGTAATCAAACGCGCACATCCGCCACCCCCCCCCCACCCTACTTGCATTTAATGATGCGGTGTTTTGGTTTAAAGTGATATCGTTATTATACCACAGTGACTATCTATATTTTTACCTGTATCAAGGTCAGTGTTATTTATACCTGTATCAAGGTCAGTGTTATTTATACCTGTATCAAGGTCAGTATCATTTATAGTAATTAGTTTTTATTATTCTAATATGAAGGGACTGTTTCTTCTGATAAAATAATAAAAAAATAAAGCACAGAACACACTTAGTATAAGCAGATAGAACACGAGTCTATTTAATACACACGATAGGAATGTACAGTTTGTATGAATGAATTACTTTACTATAGCGAGATTCAATGAATACCATCCGTATAAGGAAGTAGAGCACGAGTCTGTTTAATACACACGATAGGAATGTAGGGTTTAGATGAATGGATGTTTTTACTATAGCGAGATACAATGAATACCAGTCGTATGAATAGAGGAAATAAGGTTAATGTTAACAGTCAATATAGACCATAACGACCGATATAAACAAACATGGCTGAACTCGTGTCAAGTGGATGTGGATATATTAGATACTAAAGATGTATCGGAAATATAAATTAAGTGGAGAATTTAACCAGTTGCCTGTTCTACCACCTATAAAAATGGCATGTGGCCCTTCAAATCATCTAGATCAGCATGTTAACAACAAATTAGAGTTAGAAAGGTAAGCGTGTTTGACGGACTTATATTAGGGCTAGATCTATTTGTTAAGGCCAGCTCTATTTTTGTCAAGGTCGCTGAGATGTAAATAAAGTAAGGGTACGTGATTTTTGGCGAGATTGTAGATTAGGTTTAGATAAACGTTAGGGGTAGGTCGAGGGTTAGGGTTAAGATTGGGATTAGCGCTAACCCTGTTTACACCTCGTGACCTTTGAACACACCTGAAGTTGGCCTTATGAAATAGATATAAAAGATGTAACGCATGGTATTAATCAGTGAAGAGGTAGGCCCTACATAATATAGTCTATATGAAATGGGTAGTGTGCTAAATATAAAACAATGTCCAATAGAAAATAACGCATGATATTAATCAGCGCAGAAAGACGGCCCTACATAATATAGTCTATATGAAATGGGTAGTGTGCTAAATATAAAAGAATGTCGAATAGAAAATAATTATCTTCAATCAATAAATCAATCAACAGATACATTTTCTACCGCCATCTATTGTCATGGTGAAAAGTCTCGCCAATCCAGTTGTTTACTTGTAGTACAAGTTATATTGATTTGTTTACTCGAAGAAGAAAAAAATAATTTAACTTGTTTTAACATTATTCCTTATGTCATCGTTCGTTTGTTCGTGGGGTTTTACGTACGCTTTCACATTGGGTGGCATCGAAGGCAAGCATATTTGTCACATGCTCTTTTTATACAGACTATTATAGGAACTGGTCTAGTACATGTTCTAACTATGGCAGGAACTGGTCTAGTACATGTTTCATCTATGACAGGAACTGGTCTAGTACATGTTCCAACTATTACAGGAACGGGTCTAGTACATGTTCCAACTATGACAGGAACTGGTCTAGTACATGTTCCATCTATGACAGGAACTGGTCTAGTACATGTTCCAACTATTACAGGAACGGGTCTAGTACATGTTCCAACTATGACAGGAACTGGTCTAGTACATGTTCCATCTATGACAGGAACTGGTCTAGTACATGTTCCAACTATTACAGGAACGGGTCTAGTACATGTTCCAACTATGACAGGAACTGGTCTAGTACATGTTCCATCTATGACAGGAACTGGTCTAGTACATGTTCTAACTATTACAGCAATGGGTCTAGTCTAGTACATGTTCTATTACGTCCCACTTACTTTGTTTATCAGCAAAACCCACCCGCCATACTTTAGGGTAAACTTAGTCTCGTTTAGTAAGATAATAAACACTCTACTGTATATCATCGCTCAGAATAAAGTTTAATTTTTCAGTATCTAGTTTTTCATTATCTAGTTTTGACCTATTATCTAGAACGGTCCGATTTGTCCTTATCTAGAACGGTCCGATTTGTCCTTACTTAAATCTTACATAATAAATCTTTAAATTGTGAATTTATGAATATTGCGTATTAAACTGTAATGATGGGACCATACAGTCAATTCGTTTTGAATATTACGTATTAAACTGTAATGATGGGACCATGATCTAACAGTCAATTCGTTAGAGTAGCCACTAGCCAGTAAGTCGTCCTTTTGCTTATATTAGTTTCTTATTTTCTACTTTATGATCGACTGTATTGTGAAATATTGGACATTGTCTAGAACTTACAGCAGATTTACTTTCAGTTCCATATTCTGAGTTCAGTTTAATAAGTTTTTAACTAACATAACATTAAAACTTCACGAATGTCGGGCGTCAGAAGCAGGTTAAATAATTACATGACTCTAAATGTAGCCGTTAAAAAAATAAATGGTTATATCTTAAGATTGGCCTTTAATGATGCCCACATAATCCCTAAAAAATATTACAAAATGTGACTTAATTAAATGTCTAGCACTCGAATATTTTCCTATGTAATTACGAAAGATCATTTCCATATAATTCCATAAGACAACTTGTTGCTATATAACCTTCATCACTATTTTATAATAATATTACATGGTAGATATTTCCATTCAATTATTCGGTTGATTCCAAATTTAGAATAAGGTTGTGTCTGTGTAACTTCTACTTTTATTCATTGAAAGAAGCAAATTTTCATTTTAGTGGGATCCTTACTGATGTCCTAGGCCCAAATCACACGGTGACGGAAAAATCTACTGACGATGAACAAGTATCTTTGGAACGAGAAATAACTGGAATTAAGTCAGCGTTACCAGGTGATAAAACAGTTATTAGGGAGAAGTTAGATCGTAATACAGAATTAATATTAAAAGGCAATCTTTATGTAGATTTTCCTTCAACTGCTAAAATTATTAGAATATTCACCAGTAGTACCTTTACAGGTAGGTTGATAACTTCCTGCAGTTTTCCCGACTCCGTGAAGCTTGCGTTACTGCTACTTTGACTAGTCAAACACCCTGGAAAATATCGGGAAAGTTCACTGTGACCGACTTTTGGTGGTTGAAATTGTCCCTGGTAACTCCTGTCGAACTTCTTCTTTAACCGGGTCTGCATCGGGGAATCGTCGGTTAGAGCGATCATGTGATGAGAGAGAGAGAGACAGAGAGACAGAGAGAGAGAGAGAGAGAGAGCGGGGGCTGCTGGAACAGGACCAACTTCCCAAACATTTTGTCCGATGACTCATGATTTGAATCATCTTCAAATTTTGTGTTTCTATGTTCACATTGCTAACAATTTATATTGTAACAATGAACATAGTGGACGTCTGAAAACTTTATATTGTACTTTTGTTAATTAGATACCCACCAAGAGAGGAATTATTTAATGGAAAATACATATCCTAGATTAAAAGAGTTCTGTCAGAATCTAGGTTATGAATTTCAAGTTGTTGATATGAGATGGGGAGTGAGAGATGAAGCCATGGATGATCACATGACCACCGAATTATGTTTAAAAGAAGTTGATCTCTGTAATAAATTATCAACTGGTCCTTCTTTTGTTGTAAGTAAATATTGTAATCCTCGACCTTGATGAATTATTATATGTTTTGTTTTAATGCTGGATATTGATGGATAACTATTATATGTTTTGCTGTTTTTCAAGTGTATGGTCTCTGACATTGATATGTTTTGGTAAGCTGCGACCTGATCCTTGACGTTTTTGCATGTGAATTGGTAGACATGAATAATATACAATACAGTGGCATACGAAAACCCAGTAATATACAATACAATACTCTAGTGGCCTAAATAGAACCAGCAATATACAATACAGTACTCTAGTGGTCTAAGTAGAACCAATAATATACAATACAATGCTCTAGTGGCCTTAATAGACCTAATAATATTATGAATACAATATATACTTATATACCAAATAACATAAGAATTTTACAACAAATAAATAAGTGTTGAAAAACCCACTAATTGAGTTTCATTACGAAAATGAGTAAATCAATGACGCAATGTTTACAACGCGGTCTCAAGGCTAGAAGGAATGCGGGTGGTGTCCATTAATTTACCTTTCCGAGAGAGACTGATCTTTCCCACCGTCTTGTCCAGTCGTATACTGCTACACGGAGTAGACTTGGAGACAACATGCCGGAAAAGGAAGAATGTCTTAAAACCAAAACACCTGAACGTATTTAGCTGCACTTTCAATTACTGTTTTACATATATTTTCAGACATTTTTATCCCATAAATATGGGTATCGAGATTTTCCCAGAGAAATAGAAGCTAAAGAATTTGAAATACTGCTGAGTAAAATAGAATCAAAAGAAAGTAAAAATCTGTTAAATAAGTAAGTGTTGAGTATCAATATGTACAAAACACCCCCAGTTAAATATATATGTGTGACATGGTACTCACGATCCTTTGAAACATATAGAAGCTTGTAAATTTGTTAATAGCTCCACTTGGTTTTCGTGTCTCTGTTGAAGAGTCCAGCGGACCCGAAAGCTTAGAATACACTGGGATTATCTGGATTAATGTGTTGATTTATTTCCTTGTTTGGATATACACCTATATACACGTGCTATTACACCCCCTTGAGTTATACAGTGTTTTATGATACTCCGTGAGTTGTACAGATGTACTAGCATACCCCTTGAGTTATACAGTCTTTTATGATACTCCGTGAGTTGTACAGATGTACTATCATACCCCTTGAGTTATACAGTGTTTTATGATACTCCGTGAGTTGTACAGATGTACTATCATACCCCTTGAGTTATACAGTGTTTTATGATACTCCGTGAGTTGTACAGATGTACTATCATACCCCTTGAGTTATACAGTCTTTTATGATACTCCGTGAGTTGTACAGATGTACTATCATACCCCTTGATTTATACTGTGTTTTATGATACTCCGTGAGTTGTACAGATGTACTATCATACCCCTTGAGTTATACAGTCTTTTATGATACTCCGTGAGTTGTACAGATGTACTATCATACCCCTTGAGTTATACAGTGTTTTATGATACTCCGTGAGTTGTACAGATGTACTAGCATACCCCTTGAGTTATACAGTCTTTTATGATACTCCGTGAGTTATGCAGGCGCCCTTTCATACCCCTTTAGTTATACAGTGTTTTATTATAACCTTGAGTTATACAGTCTTTTATTATAACCCTTGAGATATACAGCCGTTGACTATGGTATGTTATAAACACGTGCCATTATGTATATTATTATATTTCAGGTGGTTTATTAGAGATGATAATTCTGTACCAACTACCTACCTTCTACAACCAATCAGTTCACAGCTATCTGATTTTATATACATTGTTATATTTCAGGTGGTTTATTAGAGATGGTAATTCTGTACCTCCTACCTACCTTCTACAACCAATCAGTTCACAGCTACCTGAGTTTATATACATTGTTATATTTCAGGTGGTTTATTAGAGATGATAATTCTGTACCACCTACTTACCTTCTACAACCAATCAGTTCACAGCTACCTGATTTTATATCATCAGATACTGACAAGAAGAAACAAGCTAAAGATACGTGGAATAATCAACACGAACAAATGAGAGAAGCTCTGGTTACATCTGCTAAACAAGCTTTAGATACATCAACAGCTCATAAATATTTTAGATCAGGTATAAACATCATCATATACAAATATCTTAGATCGGGTATACGACACAGAAGCCAAAAGTATTATGGTCCATTGTAAAGTCATATTTCGTTCCGGCTTATTACTCAAATGGTATAAATTTGTTTCATTGATGGTGTTTGTTTTACAGTAACCGAAGCTGAGATAGACCGGGGTATACTGAATGACAGTCAGAGAGCATTCTGGTTTGATCGTCAAATACAAGATATAGACAAACAAGAAGCCAGCTATATTCTTAGTCGTTATAAAGGTTTATCATATTATCGTTTTTTTTTTAATTTCTACAGCCCCCGTTATTGTTTAAGTGCTTTATTACTTAATGGTGAGCCACGGTAGCTCAGTGGGTAAGACGTTGGCTCGCAAGCATGGAGATCGCGTGTTCGATCCCTGCATTGACCAAGAAAGTTTATCGGAGTCAGTGGTACAAGACGGGGACAAAAAACCGTGGTCCCATGTAAACACTGGCGTGCACGTAACAGATCCCTTGGCAATTGGAATTCTAAGTACGAGTATACATTGGTGCCGTTGTCCGGGCAACGTTTCCCTCTTAGCACACTGTATGGCGTATGCCCGTCTTCATTAGCCTAGTTGGAGTCGAACAGTAGGACGTTAAACCCTATTTTATTTTATTTTCATTTTTATTACTTACTGTAAATATATGTTATCATCAATTTAATTGATTGACGCTTTACCCTATACAAACTGTGGTACCGATAGGTCAAATTGATCTAACCATTGATTGTCCCTAACATAACACCAGTTATAAATAAATATAGATTGTGAATATGCTAATAAGTTAATGAACGATGAACATCGAGGTTCTATTCACATATTATATTGTTTCAGAATGCTATGGGAAGAAAGAATATTTAAATGAATCGCGGCAACTTTTAGAGAATTTACGAAATAATAAATTAAAGCGTAAACTACCAGTGGATCATATCAAGAATTATACAATAGATTGGACAGAACATGGTAAGACAATATTTCCAAAATTTACATAAAGTATTTAGTTTTGACTGCTGGTTTCTAGTACTAGGTCATGACTGCTGGTTTCTAGTACTAGGTCATGTGTGTGCGTGATCAGTGGAACCTTTGTTATACTAGAACCATGGCATACTTTCTAGCCCAACAAGGCTGGAAATTGTAGGTGTTGTAGGTGTTGATATATCTATAACTTCTATTGTAGTTGTTGATACATCTATAACTTCTATTGTAGTTGTTGATACATCTATAACTTCTATTGTAGGTGTTGATACAACTATAACTTCTATTGTAGGTGTTGATATATCTATACCTTCTATTGTAGGTGTTGATACAACTATAACTTCTATTGTAGGTGTTGATATATCTATAACTTCTATTGTAGTTGTTGATACATCTATAACTTCTATTGTAGGTGTTGATACAACTATAACTTCTATTGTAGGTGTTGATACATCTATAACTTCTATTGTAGGTGTTGATACATCTATAACTTCTATTTTAGGTGTTGATACATCTATACCTTCTATTGTAGGCGTTGATATATCTATAACTTCTATTGTAGGTGTTGATCCAACTAAAGAAGAAAGTCATAGATTGTATATCAGTAAATTAGCTGATGATTTTGAGAAAAGTATAAAAGATAGTATACAGAGAGCTATACAAGAAAAACAATCTAATATATTAAATAATACAATCTGTCAGGAAGTTATACAACATATCAATTTCTGTAAACATAAATATCATTCATTTTATGGTAGAAAAGATACTTTTGATGTAAGTTACATTTTGCTTCAGGGGGGCATTTTGCAGATGTTCTAGCATTTTGTCCATTGTAATTTATAACCCACAGTGTAATAACTAATATTCAAATAAATTCATACTTGCTGAATCTGTAGACAGACTTTTAAAGTATGTGCTGTTTCTAACATAACGCAGCTTCCGGCTTGTTAATCTGTTATTAAAAGATGAATTGATCTGGCTCGGGTTGTGGAAAGCTGAAATAAGTTAGAAACTTAGCCTATATTGGGCTAACCGACCATAAACAGACTTCACTGAAGTCTTCGGATCAGGAGTATTCCATTGTCAATCTGGAAGAGCATTGAGGAGAGTTCAAACATTAATCCCTCTGTTGTTTGAAACCAAATGATTTGATGTTTATATTACAGATTATAGATGATTACCTGATGAACAACAGTGACGAACCACTGGTAATACACGGTTCATCTGGTTGTGGTAAAACATCTATTGTTGCCATGGCAGCTAAAAATATACTGGACAATAAAAACGGAGAGGAAACCACGATTGTTATACGGTAGATTATATGTTGACTATTTTTAATCCAAGTGCTTGTCATATTTCTCCTTCCATCCATCCCATTTACGTCTGATTTCAACCAAATATGGTATTATATCGTTTGGGGAAACGACTATTTGGGATTTGTCCCTATTTTTTTCACAACGTGTTGGAGCAAAGTGTGGTGTGTTGCTTTGATGGTGCATATACGTTTAAGTTACTGGATCTAGCTACCCTGATACGATGTAGATAAACAGAGGAAGTGATTACTAGACATTCTCAATCATGGAATTATGACAAACAAGCTATAACTAAAGCCCATTTGGAACTTAGAAAAAGATTCAAGATTATGTTTAATGTTTTCAATTCATTTTGGTCCATGGCATGTAGACTGTTGCTAATCGACACAGAAATAATTAACATAGTGAAGGTCTATCCCAATTCATTACGCAATGGTGGACTTTGTTAATTTGTTAATCCTTATTTGTATTATTTAGATTTTTGGGAACGACCCCTGATAGTTCCAACATCAATGCTTTGTTATACAGTGTTATTAGTCAGATTAAACTAGTTTATAACGAAGAACCCATTAAACAAGGATTGGTGAGTAGTGTTGCATATGGTAGATGTCATTGATAGTTATCGTGCCATCTTGACACATGAAAGCAGAATTGATTAAATATCTTTATGTCGGCTATTGACACCCATGGTTTACCAGATTGCACCCACTACCCATTACCATAATATAAACTTATAGCTGGCCATAGTTATGTAATGTCCTATGTCTTGTACTGAACGTTTAATACGGTAAATGATGCATAATCTCTTCTGTCACCCTTTGTCTAGAAAGGATTTATAAGCAGGAATGAAAGGGAGATCGTCCAGAGAATGCCATGGGCGCCATGGGTTAAGGCTAGAATCAGGGCCATGTAAGTTTGAACCAGTGTTGTCAACCAGAACCGATTCAAACAACCAGTAGCAGTATGTAAATGTATGGTAATAAATAGCACACGAGTGCCTAACTTCATATCATGACTTTACTATTAACCTATTTTAAATTTACGTACAAATCACCTCACTTCAAAGTAATAAAATAGTTGCAAAGTATTTTACTTCAAATCGAATCAGTGGGTGTTAGCTAAGTAATTTCTTACCGATTTACCCTGTGGCAAATAATATGAAGTTTTCAGGATAGAGTAAGCACTCACCGGGTAACGTTAATTGATGAAACAACTTTATACATTAACTAACTGCGGCACATTACAGCAGTATACACATGTGAGATGATTTGCTTTGTTCTTTTTGTTTGCAGAGTCTGAAAGATTTAACTGAGGAATTGCATCTAAGTTTAGCACATGCAGGGGAACACCGACCATTGGTTGTATTACTAGATTCTTTAGATCAGTTGGATACCACAGGTGGCGCTCGTCAGTTGTCATGGTTACCACGTAAATTACCTAAATATGTTAAGATGATCGTATCTACTCTACCGGAAGCGGAATATGAATGTTTTCCTAAACTCCAGGTACCGTAATCATTCCAGGGTGGCGGTTGGCGAATGTTTAGCGCGTGCGCTTTGTATGATAAGGTCTCTGCCAATGAGTCAACTAGCGTGGTTTCCATTCCCCGGTTGTACGCGACAAGGAGTGTGGTCGCCTGTACAACCTCATGGTTTTATTTCCCGGGCCCTCCGGTTTCCTCCCGCTGCTAAAGACCCATACGCGCAAGCGATTTATTAAAATAAAATTGAAGCATACGTTATTTCGGAAATGACGTAGTTTATGTTTATTCGTTTAATGCCTTCAGAAATATTTTCAAATGATGTAAAATAAATTGCGTGTTTTTTTTCTACTGGTTTTGAACTAAATTATTTGTATTCCAGAACACGATAACCTATTCTGTCTGGTGAACAACCTCGACCAGGACTTCAAGGAGCTAAATCGCTAATAGTTAGGACATAGACATTGACACGAATAAATGCAACGCATATAATAATGTAATATGAATGTATATAAACTGATTTACATTCAATCGGTGAAATACGTCAGAAGTCTTAATCGAATGGCAATCTCTAGCGTGGATATTCCAGTCTACACCGATAGTATTTATTACGCATGCTCTCCAGTTAAGAATATGACGTCACCGTTTAACATGACTTGTGGAATATGTCTAGACTCGTTCTTCGAGTCCCTTGTTACAAATGGCGATGAAACGCATTATGGTACACGATTCGTGTACCAATGGTAAAATGTTTATTTAGTCTTAAATATTGGCTATCAGAAGCCCATCTTTTCCAGGTAAGATCACAACATCAATGTTGATTTAAATTGACAAACAGTTCATGTTTTCAATGTCGAAGACTTTGGATGATGCTGAGTTAGGGACTTAGCTACTTTAACCTGTTTGTATCGCTTATTTTGTAGGCATTATTTTCCACATCGACATGCTTTCTACCAGTAGAAACGTTATCTAAAGATGACGTAGAGGGAATTCTCAATAAATGGCTGGAGACCAAAAAACGAAAACTCCTGGATTCACAGCTAAAAATAGTTATGAACGCTTTTCATCAGTGTCCATTACCGTTATTTCTAAAACTATCATTTGACGAGGCGTGTCGATGGAAATCATTTACTCCACCAAGTGTATCAATCTTACAGACAACAGTTCGTGATGTGATCAATGATTTATTTTCTAGAGTTGAATCGCTACATGGGCAATTACTTGTATCTCGAGCACTGGGCTATCTTACTTTAAGTAAGTACATAGACAGTCTAATGTATATTACGTTAATATCGTGTAAAGCTGACAAAATCACTAATTTTGGTGATATTGGGGGTGTATCCTATATCCCTTTACAGTTTAAGTGTGTAATGCCCACTTAATACCCACAAGTTAACATACAACATCATAATCATTTGCTAGTCTCAATATTAACGAACTTAACCATAACACTTACTCTCCCTTTGCCCCATTGCCCACTTCGTTCGGAGCAAAACAGTAGGACGTTAAACCCCATTTCATTTCATTTTCATTGCCCACTTCAGACAAAATTCATTGCATGTGGTGAGTTCAAGTTTTAATAAAGAAATTTTTGGCTTCGTGGGGCACCCTAGCATAAATCCATGTGTCAGAAAATGTTGTAACCAATGGTATTAATTAGCATCGTTATGAGTAATGTGTCCGCAATGGTTGATAATTCCAGGTGGTGGTGGTCTCACAGAAGCTGAATTAGAAGATATTCTGTCGTGTGATGATGACGTATTAAATGACGTATATATGTACTGGACTCCACCTATACGACGCTTACCTCCCTTGTTGCTCGTCAGAATTAAAACTGAATTGGGCCAGTATTTTGGTAGGTATTTAGATTTTCATGGCATATTTGCCTTGTTTATGAAGACGTCAAACAATTATTTTCAAAATGTAATGTTTGCTTTTAAATTTCCCTCGCTGTATAGTTGATAGAGGTGCTGATGGAGTTCGGGTGTTTTATTGGTATCATCGTCAGTTCATAGAAGCAGCTAGTGATAGATATTGTTCAGATGTTAAAATGAAAGAACAGATGTGTGGCGTCATAGCTGATTTCTTCTCTGGTATCTGGGCAAATGGTGAGTAAATATCATAAACTAAAACATGAACTATTAACTCGTCGATAGCAGGCGATGTTGTCAAAAAACATATATATATTGATGAGGTCACATTTCACAAAATGTTGGAAATCAGTGATGGACAAAGATATTTTATCACTTAGAGTTTTAAAGAAAGACTTTAATTCACCATATGTGATCTCTGCAGGGTGTTTTCTGTGTATACCAATAACACCATCCAGGTAATACTAAATGTTTGAATTGTATAAGGGATTTGCTCAATGTGGTAACCTGTGTAAGAGTACTATGGCCTTACCCGTATACATATATTTGTTATTATCTTATCACCCTTGAAGAATATAACTCCTTTAATTTCGATGAAAGTTACCAACGGGTTTCATTCGTTAGGTCAGATGATATAGAGAAGCAAGACACGAAACCTTTATTGTGGGCAACTTATAAATTATATTTCGAAATAAATTTCAGGTAAAGCTAAACCATTTAAAACTAAAAGTGGTGAAGCATCAGAAGCAGATCGTTATGTGACGTCACAGCCTGTTAAACTAGGTGAATCGTATAATTTAAGGAAATTAAACAATCTACCTCATCACAGACAACAAGCTAATCAACTAGATCTATTAAAATCGGAATGTCTGTGTAACTTTCACTTTATACTCCATAAAATAAAAGCATCAGGTTTAAGGTAAGAAAAACGATTTTATACAACTTTTAAGTTTAAATTGCGTTATATATAAATATATTTTTTAAATTACATTTTATTTAATAATAATATGATTGGGGAACTGGTTAGGTCTATATTCCCTCTTATCTCTTAAAGAAATCGATTTACTATTAAATTACATAAATACATAATATGTATAGTCGTGTCCAAATCACATAATTTGATACCATTCCCCGGAGCAGCTGTTGGTTTATGGCAATCATTTCGGTAATTCAAATCTCCGCAGTTATTTCATTTTTTGAGACTAGGATTGAAAACTAACGTTTTGTTGTTAACATAGAAACTCCGATACTCTGATATTGTTAATTATTTGTTAAATACAGGCCTGTGTTGGATGATTTCTCGTCAGCTAAAGAACAGTTTCTTGATGATGAAGATATTAAATGTATCTGTGATGCCCTACAGTTATCACAACGTTCATTGCAATATAATTCTAACGAACTACCATCACAATTACTGGGACGTTTAAAACCTACCAAGGTATCAATCAACTTTTTCGTTTAATTATATATATTTTCGGCGAACAACTATTCGTACATTATCTTTCTTTCCATTTTAGTATCTCGCGACCATCTGTCTTATCGGCAAATAATGTTTCAATTATTCTCTACAACCACCATCTTTAAGTTTTAACATGTCTTCAACCACCATCTTTAAGTTTTAGCATCTCTACAACCACCATCTTTTAGTTTTAACATCTCTTAAACCACCATCTTTAAGTTTTAACATATCTTCAACCACCATCTTTAAGTTTTAGCATATCTACAACCACTATCTTTTAGTTTTAACATCTCTTAAACAACCATCTTTAAGTTTTAACATATCTTCAACCACCATCTTTTAGTTTTAGCATCTCTACAACCACCATCTGTTAGTTTGAACATCTCTACAACCAATATCTGTTAGTTTTAACATATCTTCAACCACCATCTTTAAGTTTTAGCATCTCTACAACCACTATCTTTTAGTTTTAACATCTCTTAAACCACCATCTTTAAGTTTTAACATATCTTCAACCACCATCTTTAAGTTTTAACATCTCTATAACCACCATCTGTTAGTTTTAGCATCTCTACAACCACAATCTGTTAGTTTTAACATCTCTACAACCACCATCTTTTAGTTTTAATATCTCTACAACCACCATCTTTTAGTTTAAACATCTCTACAACCACCATCTGATAGTTTAATGTCTCCCCGCAATAGCCGTTACATCAGTCTATGTTCTTTGTATTAGCAATAGCAGGTAGTTTTTATTATCTTTCCAGTTATGAGCTGTATTTTGGTTTATATCGCCGTCCTAAAGCTATTCGTAATAGAGACTTTAGCAATTCTCGAACTATTCAAAACAAACACGAATAATGTACAACTTCCGGGTGGTCGTAACTGTGATCATTAGAAGACATGACTTTTTTTCTGGACTATTTTCACGAAGTCTACTGACCGATCATATTGTCTGCTTCGCTAATATTGATACAAGTCCGCCTCTATGTTGATAGATTTATGTTGATATTTCATACAAAAAGGATTCCAAATTGAACCAAACACCTTCATTGTTTTAATTTGTTATTGACAGAGTCTACGGCAACTACTGGATGGTTGTAATCGCTATTTGTTTTATTAATGTATTTATTAATTTATCTTTGTTATTGACAGAGTCTACATCCTCTACTAGATGATTGTAAGAATTCACCATTCTACTATTTACTACCAGATAAAACTATATTAGCACAGCCTGGTGGATCTTTATTATATTGTTTATCAAATCACACTGGTGATATACAGGGTCTTGATATAACTAAAGACGGTCAATTAGCTGTAACATGTAAGGGACATAATTATATTACACCGTAATCTTTGGGGTGAGACCAGTGATTATATCCCAATTGACTTTCTTCCTCAAAATGCTATTTCCAAATCTTTGTCTATAACAATAAGTTTTACATGGTAGTATGTCTCGTTGACTCCCACAGACCACTTGGATACGTGTTGTTATTATCTATAAGTCAGATTTGCTATTTTGATATAATTTGCTATATCTGTACCAGTATTACAGGTTATATTTAATAATCCAATTGTGTGGAAAGGACAACTTAACTTATATATCTATAATAACATAAAAAACCTTATTAATATATATTGATTCTAATAAGACAATAAACCCTACATTATATAAATCTAAATACAAATTATTTTCACGGTATCGTCCATCTTGTATGTTGACGCTTTCAGTGAGAATTTGTATACCCTGCCTTGTCTACGTGAATGGTCAATAAATATAGTTAAAAACAGTAACAACTGCGACTGGATTTCGGAATTATTATTTTTTGTAAATCATGGCGATAAGAAATTAATTGTAAAATAATTAAACATTACTTTTGTCTTCAGGTGCGAGTGATAGAACAATAAAAACCTGGTCAGTGAAGTCCGGTAAACTTGCACGATCTTATGATATCGGTGTTGAGGATCTAGAATATCTCAAGCTCTGCCACAATGACCAGATTATCGTGGCTTCCGGAAATAAATACATTGTAGGCGTCAACTTTTTGACCGGAGTTAAACTGTATAAAATAGCAACAAAATGTAAAAGTAATTTCTGTGTTGCTGGTGAAAATAAAGATGTTCTAGGAATATTTCAACAGAAGGGTGTATCATTATACAATGCTAGAACAGGGCAGCCACTGGGGCATGCTCTGTGTCCGCATTTGGTGAGACCGAAGATGTTTCGAGAAGAGGACCTTTGTACTGGTATGGGCTATTTTGTTTCCACTTAAAGATTATAGAAACATGTTATAATTTGACCAACAATATCAACCCATGGTAACTTTACTGATTAGAACTCATATCTCAATTCGTTTATAGTTCCTTATTACTTGGACCATAACAAGACCAACCAATGCCTCAATAATTCGAGGAAAGAACCCATAGATTACGTGCAAGGGTCACTGTGCCCAGAACTATAGGACATGGGCCACGCCCCATCCCTTGCCCCATCCCATGCCCCATCCCATGCCCCATTCTTCTCGTTCTTACCGTTATATTTAACGAAGGTGTTAGGCTCCGTTATCTGTTTAACGATGGCATTAACAGGATGTCAATTGAAATATATCCTTACCAAAAAGGTCATAGATTACCAGTGTAATGTTCTATAGAACATTCTAGGGGGTTTTGCGAGGGGTGGGTGGGGGGGTAGGGGACGTCTATTCCATTTTCTATACGATAGAGTTTAACGGGTCATTAAAATAACTTAGTTTTGAGCAGCCGGCCTCTGGAATATATTACTAAACTACCAACAGTTATATGCTGCATTATCGTGGCCTGTATTACCTATGATACTTCTGCTGGGGAATAGCTGAGCTAGAAGAACCGAATCAACACTTGTAGTTACCCACTCTCCGTCTTCATTAAAACCCCAGTTCATTTCAGTTGCCCAGTCAGCAGTCTATTTACAATTACTTGAATATGTTTCAGGTCAAGGTCGATATATGGCTTGTGTAGATAATGACAATTACAGGGTAGCCATATTTGATGTTACCCAAAAGATGTTCCTACATCTAATACCAATATATCCAGACTATCAGGATGAGGATGGTGATATGGTGCGAAATACAGTAGATGCAATGGTCATTTCACCAGATGAAAAATATATCATCATGTCTAATTATACCGAGAACATACCCCTTGTATATAACATAGAAACCATGTACAAAGTGAAGGAGTTAACGGGTATGTTTCAATAATTGATTATAACATTTTAGTCAGCCTTCATGAAAACTCTAATTAAGTTTACATGTCTCCATTCAATTAATAAAACTAATCTTTTTGACAAACCATACACCCACATTTATTGATTTAACCGGAATTCTCTCGCGTTACACAAGAATTATCTTTTCCTAATAGATTAAATGGGAACCGATCTTTACTATGTTCAGGGACCTGAACACGCAATAGGAAATACTCTTTCCTATGTAGGGGGTCGAGGGATCTAGGGAGTAATATAATGGGTATCGCTTTATACGACTAATACAAGACCACGTTACATATTTCACATTTCCATGTTATTCGTACCATGACGAAGAATTCTCTGAAATTATTAAATACACAGGATCACCGTTTACGACTGATTGGGACATAACTTATTTGTGTTTCTGTCTGGAAGAGATGTTTCTGTTCCCAAATGCCTAACTTTGACCCACTTCTATCGGATCGTCGTTGTTCATACAATTGTATATTGGGTTCCCTGTTGACCCGTCTTGATAAATCTATGTCTCATTTGATTAATCTCAACAAACTATCAGACTTGTTGCAGATAGTTAAACACCACCTTTGTTGATGATCAGTTTTTTTTGTTGAGTTTTCCAAGAAGTATCTTCAGAAGATAAAATGGCTTATTTCATTCAAATCTATTATATCTCATATTTACCTACACATCTGGTTTCAAATCTATTATATCTCATATATATACTTACACATTTGTTTTGTAACTTGTAACGTCTCTCCGGTTTCGTATAGTTAGTGTCTTCACATAGTAGGACCCAATCAGTGTCGCCATACCGGTATAACACCTGTCTCGACACCTCTATCATTAACGGGCCATGTAGCTATACCTGCAAAAATAATAGGCTTAAATCAGTGTCGTCATACCTGTATAAACCTGTGTCAATACCTTTATCATGAAAGAGCCATGTAGCCATACCTGTTCGTGAAAAAAGATAATCTGTTTTACTTTTTAGGAGACCCGAAAGGTACAGCTGAAAATTTTCGATTTACACCTGATGGTAAATACCTGTATTTTCCTGTTTTAAATGACGTCGTGGCATATAATCTAGAAACAGAGGAGAGATTTATCGCCCTTCATCATCCATCGTTTGTTAATTCTGTAATTACTCAAGATATGAAAAGCATGGTGACGACTGGAGACGATCGAATCGTTAGAATCTGGGATCGTAAGAAAGATAAAGGTGTTATCGATGGCAAGAAATCGTTAAATACGCCACAGACAAAGGCTTTCCGGTAATATATCCAGAACTAGTTTTTATCAAATCGTCTACTTTCGGAATTCTTAGTTTCTTTTAAGCGAAACGTCAACAAATACCGTGTTGCTTAAACGATTGTTTTAGGCCATAATACGATTGGTTAACAAATTTCCAACAGCTAATTAATCCAACAAGACAAAACATTATTAACTTGTATGAAAACCCGTCAATGTCTATAGCTAAGATAATTTAGCCGAAGAAACTGGTAGACAATGTTGCAGGTTTGAGGGTCTGGCAAGGCACATGGCGAGTAGTTTGGTGTAACGAAAAACCGAGGTCCGATGTACACGTTAACGTTCAATTAGTAGAACCCATGGCCGTAATACTGGAATATGATTAACTGTAGGTGAAAACGTCACTCTTTGGGCTATATATCCCTTTTTGGTGCAAAACAAAAAATATTTTAAACCTGATTTTGTTTCCGTGTTAAATTACCGAACCTATCAGAGTCAACAACGTATAGATCATTCTTAGACTGTATTAACGTTTTGTTTTGCATGTGTTCATAGGATATGAATAACTTGATATAACATATTTAAATGATAATTATTTATTATAGTTCATCTCTGTTCATTGTATATCATTAATATGATTTCAGGTAGATCAATAATATGATATAAAGATAAGTATTTATTGCAGTTTACCTGTGTTCATAGTATATCATAAATATTACCTGTACTCATTTAAATATGATATAAGATATTTATATGATAATTATATATTACAGTACACCTGTGTTAATGGATAATCCTCGATATTTCCTGAGCAGATATAAACAAGTTAACATCAACTATCTACAGATTAATGATCTAGCTACAAATTCACTGGTCAAAGAAATTAAGGTTTCGTTTATTTTTTTAACAGTTTTCATTGTTGTCGTCTTTCAGCACTATTAACAGAGTTACCATAATAAAACTATATAGAGTAAAAAACATTCATTCATTAAAATTATGAATATGTGAACTTCCGCTGTCCAAATCCTAATCGAAATAACATCCCATTATACCAAGTGCTTGGCGATGGGTTAGAAATCTAAATGTTTACAAACAGAGTGATATAGTTCAGGTGACCAAAATCATTATTTCTACAGTCACTGTCACCAAACATGTCACAGAAAATGTTTTCTAATCTATATTGTTTACCTTATTTTATTCGGAAATCACCTTCTATCATTACATTAAAATCGGACTTGAACATTTTTACATTGTCTTTCTCATTTTACTGTTTTTAAGAACTGTTTTTTTTTTATTTTGTTTTTTTATAACTTTTCTATTTTTATCATAAATTGTATTTTTCTTTGTGATTGTTAAGCCCTTCTGAACACTTCATTGAAAGATGCGCTATATAAATGTATTAAATATAATAATAATAATAATAATTGTTTAGGTGATCTGTATTTGCTGAAGATTCTAAATCTTATTATAGATTGGAAGTGTTAATTTTGTTTTACCTGTGGATAATACAAGATGTCTGATTCAACATGATAAGAAAATATCCCTGTTTGATCTACAAACATCATCTATAATTCGAACATACCAAGGTCAAGAGTCGCCTAAAACATGTACAGATCCGGTTATAAATTCAGCAAAAACAGGTCTGTATGATAAAAACAGGTCTGTATGATAAAAGTATTTCTTTTACATATTAATTATAAAATGACACTGGTAGCTGCTGGTGACCCCTTTTCACAGTTGTTTCAGCGATACAAGACTATTTCATCTGAATAATTCATCCTTTTTTATTTCACTTTCGTCAGTCCACAAAATTGTTTATCTTAGTTCAGGACCTTTATCCAGTAGCTTCAGCATTACATGACTGTTTCATCTACCTGTATTTCATTACACAACTATTTCATCTACCTGTCTTCATTACACAACTATTTCATCTACCTGTATTTCATTTAACAACTATTTCATCTACTGTCTTCATTACACACGACTATTTCGTCTACCTGTATTTCATTAGCCCAGTCGGCGTAGACAAGTGGAAACTTAAACCCCATTGAAATTTATTTCATCTTTATTTTATCTTTCTGGACTACGGAAACGATAATCATAATACGCCGTCTGGCTACTTTCATCCTTTCAGAATTCATTTGCGTCAGTCTGGTACAATGTGAGATATGTCCAATATGGATCTGATTGAACATCTGCTGTGACTACCTGGTGCCCTACTGTAATATCATTCAGCGGTAGTCAAAACTACACAGCTATTGACAGCACTAATTCGGACTCTAGTACAGTCAATGGGGATATTCTGACAGATAGGAAATAAACCACACAGTTATACGTAGAGCCAATACTACAGGTGCTTGTACAATAAAAAGTAATATTCCCGGGCCTGAAGCACTACCTGCTTACTAACAAGGATACAGACTGTTCAAGTTAGTCGTTTTAATTGACTTATCAAGTTGAATTTTCGGGCAATCAATAGTATGGGACAAAGAGACAAATTGTGACGATAAAGTATTTTTTTCTTGTTTCGGTAGACCCACCAAAACAAGAGTAGTTAATGGACAAATGATGAGTATATCTATGGCATTAGGAATCATTCCTACAGTAGTAAATCGATTGGAGAAGTCACGTCACTGTTGTTTTTAAATTTTTCACTTTATCACGTGACTGTGAATATATTTGTGTATTTCTAGGATTTTACACCATTTACTTATTTATAGAATTTTACACTCTATCACGTGACTAAGTTTATGTGTTTGTTTATAGAATTTTTCACGTGACTCTGAATATATGTGTTTATTTATAGAATTTCACGTGACTGTGAATATATGTGTTTATTTTAAAGAATTCACGTGACTGTGAATATATGTGTTTATTTATAGAATTCACGTGACTGTGAATATATGTGCTTATTTAAAGAATTCACGTGACTGTGAATGTATGTGTTTATTAATAGAATTTCACGTGACTGTGAATATATGTGTTTTTATTTTTAAAGAATTCACGTGAATATATGAGTTTATTTAAACAAATCACGTGACTATGAATATATGTGGTTTTTTTTTAAAGAATTCACGTGACTGTGAATAGATGTGTTTATTTAAACAAGTCACGTGACTGTGGATATATGTGTTTATTTATATAATTTTACACGCTATCACGTGACTGTGTATATAATTGTTGTTTATTTATTTATAGAATTTTTTTCCCTATCACGTGGAAGAATGAATATAAAGAAATATAATATAGAAACTGGCGTGTGTGAGATTATCAAAGGTTGTGGTGAAAAGCTCGGAGATTACATAGTGAGTATTGCAAATATTTTCACCATAGTGAGTGTCGCATACAGTAACGTCAATTCACACTTTTTATAGGAGCTAAATCTATAAATGATTTACAATACGTCTATTTTAATTTCTTATCAGTTTTGTTCGTCAAAGTACGTGAATATCCCACATTGAATGGCTGTCTGGTTTGCCATTTCACTTACACTCATGCATCAATGCTGTTTGAACATAGAGTACACAAGGGTGTGTTCTGGTGTTAAATTTCTTCACTGTGTCTTAAATGTTGATTTAAACTGAGCAAAAAGTCGTCTTTGTAATATCGAAGACTGTGGATAAGATTGAGCTTCACACCCTTTAAGTTCAAAGAGACTTTGCTGACATTATAACGTAATGATGAGAGAAGGGGGGGGGGCATTAACGTCAACTTAAAACAAATTAAGTCATTTTTGACTTTCATGGTATAGGGGGCCTTATCATTTATGCGTATGGGACCTTATCATTGGGTTAGACAGGTAAACTCTCTCCTTGTCAGGTACAAACCCCATCCTTTTCAGGTACAAACCACATCCTTGTCAGGTACAAACCTCATCCTTGTCAGGTACAACCCCATCCTTGTCATGTACAAGCCCGAAATCGATGCCACGACACGTGACTCAATGGCACATGTTATACCACAATGAACATAAGAGATCGCTAGCCAGGAAACGTTATCACTACTGACACGTGTTGACGTAAGAATGTTTTAAATCTTCTATTGTTGTATATTTAGGTAAATAAAACTTGTACAGTTCTGGCTGCGTCCATACACGACGATGAGTGGGTGGTTTTCTTTGATCTTGTCAATAAGCAAGTGATGTATAATATGATACCAGAGACGATAGGGGGAGATAAAAGAAAGAATTTTATAAATGATCATCTGGTTACTGACGATGGTCGTTATTTAATATTTTCCCATATGCTTGTACCACCCGTTCTAAAAGGAGTAAAAGATGCAGAGTCTACTGAATTGGTTGTGGTGTGGAATATACCAGATAGTAAGTAGGTTTTTTATTGTAACATGGAAGGGAAATATTTCTTTGCTCCTTTCGTTCAATAAGCAGATCGTTTTCCCTCTAGTAGATTGGGTGGATCTTAACCGTGCAATAACTAGACTTGTAACATGGACGGGAAATCTTCCTTTGTTCTTTTCGATGAATAAGCAGATTGTTTCCCTCTAGAAGATTGGGTAGAGCAACACGTGATAATGGCTGACACCAACATTGTCCTTTAAATATCACTATCAGCCATTAATGAACATCGCCATCTGTATCTGTAATATTTGTTATATTTTAATAGATAAGATTCACCAAATACTGTACGACGAAGAATATGCAATTAAATATCACCATATGGACGTGAATGAAACTGATATTGATGAAATGCCTGATATATCGGTGAATGATTTACATATCCTGGACGAGAAGACGGTGATTACTACTAATGATGATTATTTTATACGGGTGTATGACATCAAAACGGGTAAATATACACACATTTATTTATCGATATGAAAACAAGTAAACATACACACATTCATTAATTGATATTAAAACGGGTAAATATACACATACTCATTAATTTATATTGGCATTAGTAATTATACACTCATTCATTAAATGATATTTATACGAGTAAATATACATACATTCATTAATTGGTATCAGCATTGGTAAATATACACAATGCACACATTCATTAATTGATATTGACAATTGATATTGACACATTCTTTAATTGATATTAAAATAGGTAAGTATACAAATAGTCAATTATTGATATGGCAAAGCTACTGGTCACGTATCTTACATCCGGGTGGCGTGCAGCGGGTGAACGTAAAATGTTTAAAGGAACTATTTTGTTTCTATTTCAGGTAATCTTCTACATCGACTTACTGGACATTTTAGTAATATTAAGTTGGTATTGAATAAAGACAGCCCATTCCTTCTATCTTATGCCAACTGGAGTGAAGAGAATTGTATCAGACTATGGGATAGACAAACCTTTCATTGTCTGGCATCTTATTGTATAGAAACAAAGGTCAGTTTACGAGATGTTCTAATATGTGTACCCTCGGGTTATGAGTAGGTTCATCGAATCGGTGAATTGTCAAGAGACCTAATAAAGGCATTGGGACTGACCCGGTGTTTTACTGATAGAAAGTAGATGTTTTATCACACTTACAGTTAAATATTGGTGGAATTAGGGTGGAAATGATCGCCCTACCTAAGGCTAAAGAACATCTATAGAAACCAGGATCACTGTACGGATTATGTAAAACAACTTAAACTAAATCAAACCAACTATTCTGTAATTTTATATGTTGTGTATTCAGTCTATGTAAATAAAGACAGTTTGTTAAAATTATAAACGAACCATGAACCATTGGCGTCAATATTAAATCCATGGCGTTTTTTGACTTATAATAGTTTTTCTTAAAACATTCCTGTTATCTTAATCTTTATAATCACAAAGATTTGAACGCGACTTAAAACGTGGCGGTCGGGTACAGTTGAAATCAACCTACTTGTAATGAAAAGTTGTAGCATATGTTTTAATACATTGCATACACCGAGAATACATTACGACGATAAAGTGGATTACGATTGTCTTCAAGAAACTTTCAAATCGCAGATTAAAACTAATCTTTTCAACTAGACTTTTTCTTGTCAAATTTGAAAAATTGTGCAAACTTGAAAAACGCAAAAGAAACTTCCATAAAGTATTTTGAGCTATATAAATTTATAATTATTATTATCAACAGATAAAGACTCCCATGTTTTCATCAGATGGATATCATATAATAGTTACATATAAAGATGTCGGCTATGTCAGGTTTCATTTAAAAGGTGGAGACAGTATCTCCAAATATCAACCACCAAAACAACTTGATCAATATAAAGAACTATTTAAACCTACTGGTAAGTCAGATCTACAGCTAGAATAACCAGGATCCACTGGGTATCCGCTCATATAATTCTGTTAATTTACGGTAAAGTGTGCCTTGCGGGAAAGTTTCAGTTACTGGTTTTGAGTCATGCAGAATTATTCGTCAAAATTACGGGACAATTATTTTCTTTGTGAGGTTTTGATTTCTTTGAAACGCCAATGCCAGAACCCTTGTTGGACTGTATCGTATTTTCTGGTCTTGAGTTTGTCAGCGTCAGTGATATTTGTACATATGACATGGTGGTTAAGAACATGTAGTTGCTGTTACTAGGATTAGAAATAAAAACCACATTAAAGTTTTGTTCTCCTATCGCCATCAGTATTTTTATATAACCGCAACTAAGTACGTCACCGCGTTTATAACATGACGTGGGAAAACCTCACCGGAAGTCAAAGAGTAAATTATCCAATAGACTACACGCGTCCTTGATAGACACAAAACTTGATACGACAGTATTCGATAAATTCTACTGGGATTTATAAAATTGCTAGGTATATTGTGCATATTATGTTTATCAAACTGCTAGGAATATTGGACCTATGTTTATCAGACTGCTAGGAATATTGTGCATATGTTTATGAAACTGCTAGGAGTATTGGACCTATGTTTATCAGACTGCTAGGAGAATTGGACCCATGTTTATCAAATTGCTAGGAGTATTGGACCTATGTTTATCAAACTGCTAGGAGTATTGTACATATGGATACATTCTATAGATTATAAAGGATTATAAAAGTTTCACACTATTAGTGGAATTAAACAGTTTTATGTCCACCAAGCACAAACCTTTTCATTTTGAGACTAACATAGGTTCATTTATATTTCTAATTATTCGCTTTAGGGCAGACTGGAGGACCCATTGAACACCCCCGAACAGGCGACCAACTCCTTGCCATTTACAAATGTAGGATGGAAACCAGGGCAACCACTCCACTTGACTTAATGACAATAGACCATTCGGCCTCCCAACCACCCGTTTTATTGACTTGATGTGTAATCTTCAATATAAGTGCGAGTAGTATACCATATATGTATAGAGATGACCGAAATATAATATATATTTTACCTTTTTTCCCTTTTCATCAGATGAAATTGTTGAGTTGAAAATACCTAATAATATAACCTATGATAATCCTGACCCAGACACTGATGAATTAGAAGTAGCAGATGAAGACGGCGATGATGACGATTTTGATTGTGGTGATAGTTCATCCTATGATTCAAGTACAACTGACACTGATGAAAATTGAAAAGGAAAAATAGTTTATGACTGACTATATGTCAAAACTGTAATGTGCCAAATAAATTTAACTTAAAAATAATCAAATGTGAAAATTTGTGCTCTTAAAATACTTCAGTTAAAATAATGTAGGACGTGTTTGATTTTACCACTATATATTTTGAAAATATTGTACAATTTAAAGTAGCTAAGTCTCTAACTCAATATCATCCAAAATCTTCAACATTGAAAAAACGATTTATTTGTCAAATTAAATCAACATTCATGTTGTGATCTTACCGGAAAAAGATGGGCTTTTGATATCCAATATTTAAGACAAAATAAACATTTTACCATTGGTACACGAATGCGCTTCAGTCCCAGTTGAATCAAGAGACCCGAGGGTCGAGGCTAGACACATTGCACCAAATCAAACGGCGTATGTAGACTGGAATAACCAGACGCTAGAAATTTGCATTCTCTTGAGACTGCTGGCTTATTTCGCCGAACATAACTGATTTGAAATTGGAGTAAAAACGGAAACCATTGAATGTAAATCAGTTTATATACATTCATACTACAGTATTATATGTGTTGCGACCTACTCTTGTCAATTTCTAGGTCCCAAATGTTAGCGATTTAGCTCCTTTAAGGGAATACACAGGATACACAAATTCCAAGGTATTAATTTGTTTCCATGTGCCTTGTTGGTGGGGTATATACTATATATTATGTAAAATATTAAGTAATATATGTACAGTATAATTACAGTATTGTATAAATAGATAATAAATATGGTGAATTGATAAGAGGCCTCAGTGCAGGATTATATCGAGTTTAGCTGCAATTCACTATTACATTCAACTGGTTCATCTGTTATCTTGTATATCTCCTGTCATCTGAACCACGGACAACCGACAATCTTTATTTATCAGTGTATTAACCATCAAATAAAGATATATACCACATGATATCGAGTTCAACAGTCAGGCGAAATGGGAACCAACGAGTGTTATGAAATGGGAACCGGTGGTTGTAATGAAATGGGAGTCATTGGGTGGAATGAAATGGGAACCAGTGGGTGGAATGAAATGTGAGTCAGTGGGTGGAATGAAATGGGCACTAGTGGGTGTAATGAAATAGGAAAACCAGTGGGTGGAATGTAATGGGAACCAGTGGGTGGAATGAAATGGGGTTTAATGCCTTCGATCATCTGAAACTAACATTTACAGTTCAATAGTCGCTTGCAAAGCTGGTTCTGGTGGAAGTCGATCTTTTAGACTACTATTCTTTGAATGTCCCCGCCAATGTGTATACGGATCTATCCCGTGTTCCTTTGTCACATCCAAACAATTAGGTATTTTTATTGTCCGCGCCACACCTACCACTCTGCGGAGAAAACTTGTTTCCGGTTCTAATATTCACGGATTAGACCCGCGCTATTACGTCATATATATACATATTTTTTCAGCTCTTATGGGATGATGCCGCGAGAAGAAGAACAGCTTCGTGTTATTTTATATATCATAATAACTTGATGCATACATTGTATCATGTATTTAATGAGGGTATAATGTATAGTATTGTACTTTTATATTTAAAGTTATAGGCCTATAATATACTGCATGTATGTTTACAAGAGGGTCGTCTTGTAAACAACGTGTGTTGACTATTAATTAAAACTGAACATTGCTCTTGGCGATCAAATGTGACGTCCACCTAAAATAGCCCGTGACAAGTGCAGAGAGAAATGATAGTACTATTTTATTTCAATAATCTATTTGGAAGATAACCAGAGGACCCGAAGATTGTTTGGTTTAACTTGATCGCCGGAACGCAAAGGTGGTATCTGGGCCAGGAACTGACCAGAAATTGTGACGCCATATAAAAATCGATGCGCAATTGTCAAGTTGGTATTATAATTGTGAATTGAGAAGGTATATAAGGGCTGGACTAACTCTATATACTTTTTGCCGTGACATTTTATTGTTTCATTCTGTTTCCTGTTAGCTTAATCAACCATATGTATAAAATTTGATTATGCAACATGACAGCCATGCGAATAAATCAATAAATTAAACATGTTCAGAACTTGAATAAATTTTATTTTTTTATTCTGTTTCCCTATGTTTTAATCCACCATATGGATAAAATTTGATTATGATATGCAACATGACAGCCTGGTGAATAAATCAATAAATGAAACATATCTATTGCTTTAATAAATTCCTTTTATTTCCGCCACTGGAAGTAAACAAGATTACAAAATATTTTCATACCCGGTTACAGGCGCAAGTCCACACATATTTAAGTCATGCTATTTATCCGCATGTGGGAAATAAAAACAGCATTTTTTGCGTATTATTTTCTTGGTACTGGAAATATGCGTGTATTAAAACTAGGCAGGTAACGGAAAATTGAATGATTCGTCCGATCTTATATTTTTGTCTCAACCGAAGGGTTAGATATTCTTTTTTGTCCCCCGCCTTTGGGACACAATAACTCTCCTAATTGAGCTAGAATGTTCAAACTTGGTGTAAGGGTTTACTAGGTCAATGCCTTGATGGAGTTCAAAGATGAGCATTTTGTGCTTAGGCTAAGCAGAGATAAGCAATTTGATTGGTTGATGCTTTGCGACACTATAACTTTTGTTTTAATTAAGTGAGAGTGGTGAAACTTGGTGTATAGTTCAATTACATCAATACCGTGACTAAGTTCGATAATGAGCATTTTCTGCTTACGGTAAGCAGAGCGATAAGCAATTTGATTGGTCGAGACTTTGGAACACAATAACTCTCCTTCTAATTGAGGTAGAATGTTCAAACTTTGTGTAGGTGTTTATTGGGTCAATGCCTTGATGGTGTTCGAAGATGAGCCTTTTTCTGCATAGGGTAAGCAATTTGATTGGTTTATGTTTTGGGACACGATAACTTTATTAGTTCTAATTAAGTGAGAATGATGAATTTTTGTATATAGTTTTATTACATCCATAACTTGACTAAGTTCGATAATGAGCATTTTCTGCTCGGGGTAAGCAGAGCCATAACTCTCATTCTAAGTGGGCTAGAATGTTCACACTTAGCGTAGATTTTTATGAGGTCAATGCGTTGATGAAGTCCGAAGATGAGAATGTTCTGCTTAGGGTAAGCGGAGATAAGCAATTTGATTGATTGATGCTTTGGGACACGATAACTTTAGTTCTAATTTAGTGAGAGTGAGGACACTTGGTGTGTAGTTTTATCACATAAATACCTTGACTAAGTTCGATAATGAGCACTTTCTGCTCAGGGTAAAAAGAGCGATAAGCAATTTGGTTGGCCGAGACTTTGGAACACAGTAACTCGCCTTCTAATTGAGGTAGGCGTTCATTAGGTGAATGCCTTGATCTAGTTCGATGGTAAACATTGTCTGCTTACGGTAAACTGAGATAAGCAATCTGATTGGTTGATGTTTTGGGTCACGATAACTTTGGTTATAATTAAGTGAGAGTGATGAAACTCTGAGTATAGATTCATTATATCATTACCTTGACTAAGCTCGATGATGAGAATGTTCTGCTTGGGCTAATTAGAGACAAGCAATTTGATTGGTCAAGACTTTGAAACAGAACAACTCTGCTTTTAAGTGAGGTAAAATGTTTAAACATGATGTAGATGTTTATTAGGTGAATGTCTTGATTAAGTTCAATGATTAACATTTCGAGCTTAAAGGACAATATTGGTGCCAGTCATTATCACATATGTGATAGAACTGGTTAAACACGTTCCAAATGTTATTTTATCATTGCTACGATAGATGCGTAATCAATGTTTCAACAATCGGAAGTGACGAACGCAGAAGGAAAACACGAGTTATCCCTCTATATAACTGACTGAAGTGACGGCTCACTAGTGGCAGTAACCCTAGCAGAGATTGATTAACCATTTTTACAAGGGACAATAACAGTTTGTAGAGTGATAATGTTTCCCTGTAAGAATCGGTAAAGATACGTAATAAATCTATATTTCCTGGTAATTGAATATGCTAACCAATCATTAACTAGTCTATCGACTGTTGAGGATATAAATATTTAAACACGTGTTTACTATCGATTTTAGCCGATATCTACATGTATAAATGTGGGTACGCAGGGTAGCCAACATAGCCCTCATCAATGCAAAAACCGAAAATATTGGAGATGGTTGATAAAGCTCTAATTCGATGAGATTTCCTACCAGTGTGGCCATGTTCCTTGCCTTCCCAAAAAGTGCCCTCATTTCGTTTAGTTCTGGGTTGTTCAGATCTTCGGGACTTAATCATAATCTCTCAACCAAGTATCAATGTATGGTATATCATCACTCAAATACGTCAAATCTATTCTAGCATGTACCACTGAACTACAACATTGGTCTGCCTACCCTCCTTCGGAGGCCCCAGCACGCCTTTACATAATTATGTCAATTTCAGCGATTGCCGTTGCTACTGTCAAGCGGGATGGGGGAGGGAGTGTTGTTTTATTGTTGAATTCCTCAGTTCTTGTAAAACGGACTATACGGTCATAATGTTACTGATGTATTACCAATCACGTAAATCTTGGTGGTGGCAGGTTGGAGAGAATATTTAAATCTCACATGACGGTAGATGTACATTCATGACTAGTCGTGCTTTTTTGTTATTTGAATTGTATATGGCATTAAACTGAATTCTCTTCCTGTTATTGTATAGTACAGACATTAGCCTGGGTATACCCATACTCCCAGCAGTGTTTCGTTTGATTAGAGCTAATCCCACTAAACACTGCTTTAATGGAAGCAAATTTCTGTTCCAAATTTTGACTGATGAATAGTCCGATTAACAACCAATAGCTGAAATAAATGATGATGATGCCCGAAACATTTCGCGCTTTGAGCCGAGCGGCTACACTGTTTATTACACTAATTCCCGAAAAACTTATGAAACAAATAATGATCGATGCCCGCAAATTGTGACATAATACAGATTACTTCCAGACCAAATAGTCATGGGATTTCAAACTCGTAATTTGATGACTAGAAGACAAAAAGAAAAATAATGAAAAATTCCCGCCCCATATTTTTTTTCACACTTTACCCGTCTTCCCGAACAGAATCAGATCTTAAATGAAACAAATAATGCTCGATGCCGAAAAACTATCACATAATGTACAATGGCCTCAAACCAAAACTTAGTGTGATTTCGGGCACTTTATTTTGCCGACAAAAAAAGTTATTTTCAACGTCATGCATACAAATATCTGAAGTGGTTAATTTTTTATATTATAGATATTGTGGTGGGGTACCGCCAGACCCTATCATAGTACCAACTGGTGAAAACACCACCGTGATATTTTTGTCAGATTACAACTATCCATGCCTTGGTTTTAACCTGAGCATCACCTACACAGGTATGAACTCTTGTATTATATGTTTATACAAGTAACCACTGATATAGACTAGTAAATAAATAATAACTACTTGTATATATTTGTATGTAGATAATAACCATTGGCATAGTTTTAATTTGTCATTTAAAACAAGCATTTGCAAGAACAAAATACTGCATTTAAGTATGTCGATATATTTTACCTAATTCTCTTTATTTGTCTATTTTCAGATGTATAAAGCCAAGACATCAAGAGATGTATACATTTGAGACATCGAGAATAAGTCGTGTTATATTTCTTCATAAACAATTTTTGCCATCAATGTAGTAACTATTAATCTAAATTCATTTAAATAACAAAACTAAACCCATTCTGGAAACTGACTAATAACCTAAATAAACAATTCTTACTGTAATTTTCATTTATTC